GCAGTCGCAATTCAATGCGGGAGGCCTCGGTCAGGCACCCCAACCACAAATCAACAGCGCCCTTGCCGGCGTTGTGGCAAATTTACTGACGGGCCATGCTACCCAACCAGCTGCGGGCGGACTGGATGCTCAGACGTTGTTGAGTTTAGTCGGAGCCCTCCAGCAACAGCAGCAACCTCAGCAGCAGCCGCAGTTGGCTACGTTAGGTCAGCTCACGCAGGGACTGGGTGCTCAGACTCTTAACCCTGCAAATTCTCTAGCAGCATTAGGATTGGGAGGACTTGCAGGACTGGGACAACCACAACAACAGGCGGCAGTGCAACAACAACCAAATTTGGCAACAATGCTCTCTTCACTCTTGAGCGCGCAGCAATCGCAAACCCAGGGCCAACAAGCCACACAGCTGCAGCAGGTACCTCAGTCACAACTTCAACAACGGACGCAACTTGGCGGCTTGCAGAACCCCATGCAAGCATCCATCCAACCACTGGTTTCAAGTGCATTGGCAACTCAGTTTGGGGCGCTATCCGGTTCATCGACCACCGGATCCCTTCCAGCCGCTTTAGCGAATTTGCAGCGAATGGGCGTTACACAGCAACCACTGGCAAACCCTGCAGTTGGATCTACGGCGCCGACATCTGGGACAGAGTCTGTGGCGGACATATTGAATAGGTTGAAGCAGTTGCAACAATTACATCCGGGGACAAGCAATCCCCAGTCCGGGGCCGCTGGGAGAGGATAGGACGGCACGAGTCCGAATTGTGTAATAATTTTGGCATTTGCGAAAATGCTTGTGTAGTTGTAACAAGCAAATAGCAATAAAGGGAACTGCAGCGAAAGATTGCGAACAAGGTTCAATTCTATATTCATTGCTACATGTTGTAATCATTTTCCGCCTGCTGCCAATGGTTTTTCGATATAAATTAAAGATAGAAGATCTCTCTTGATAGCAGAAGCCTTTTGCCATCATTCTATACCAGGAGAAAGAAACTGCAAAACACAATGCACAGACTGGACAAACTGGACGTGATTGGCATCGCTAATAAGGCACTTTGTCTTGTTGAATATCCATCCAAGGAAGATGATCGGCGACAGTCCTCCCGCGCCACAATCCAAGCCGCGCTTTAGTAAGAGTCACGTGCTACCATTTTTTTATTTTTGAAATTTCTGATCTGTTTTTTGTGTTGAAAGTTCAACGGGCTGGTAGTTTTTCTTCCGTTGCATCCCATACCGCTTTTGAGCACCTTCTTCCTTTAACTTTTGACAATGGCATACGGTGAGTAATATACTGTCGCTGTGTGAGATTGTTTCTGGTCTAACCCAGTGTGTTTGGGCAGGTGCACCTCGCGGTGGTGGTGGTCGCGGCGGAGCTCGGGGCGGCGGCCGTGGTGGAGGTCGTGGTGGACCCCGAGGAGGTGGTGTTTCCAAGTTTGGCGGTGGTGGCCGTGGTGGTCGCGGAGGCTTTGGTGGTGGTGGTCGCGGTGCACCTCGTGGCCGTGGTGGACCTCGTGGAGGAGGTCGTGGTGGCCGTGGTGGAGCAAGGGGAGGAGCGAAAGGAGGGGCAAAAGTTGTTATCGAACCCCATCGTCATGAGGGTATCTTTATTGCTCGTGGAAAGGAGGACATGTTGGTGACAAAGAACTTGGTACCTGGTGAGAGCGTATACGGAGAGAAGAGAGTTAGTGTGGACGTGAGTATCAATGATCTGTGCATGCAGTGATGGCGGTTCTTAACTCCAGATCTTTGGGATTGATTGCATCCCATTAGAGCACTGACGGAACTAAAATCGAGTACCGTGTGTGGAATCCTTTCCGATCCAAGCTTGCGGCCGGTGTGCTCGGCGGTGTTGACCATATTCATATTGCCCCGGGAAAGAAGGTTCTCTACCTTGGTGCCGCCAGTGGAACTTCAGTATCTCACGTCGCTGATATTGTTGGACCGGTACGGACTGTTTTGAAGGTCTTTTGTATGATCTCGGATTCAAGATGCGCCTTTCTGTTTAGACTGGTCTCGTGTACGCCGTCGAATTCTCGCACCGATCAGGTCGTGATCTGATCAACATGGCCAAGAAACGCACCAACGTCATCCCCATTATTGAGGACGCCCGTCATCCCCACAAATACCGTATGTTGGTCGGTATGGTTGATGTTATTTTCGCCGATGTTGCGCAACCGGATCAAGCTCGTATTGTCACCATGAACGCCCACATGTTCTTGAAGAATGGAGGTCACGTTGTGATATCTGTCAAGGTATGTGTTCTGTATTAGTGGGGTTGCCAACCGTCTACTCAATATCTCATCATCTTGTCGATTGCAGGCCAATTGTATCGACTCAACGGTCGCAGCTGACATTGTATTCGCACGGGAAGTAAAGAAGCTTGAGGAGGAACGAGTAAAAGCACAGGAGCAGTTGACACTAGAGCCGTATGAGCGTGATCACGCCTTGGTGATTGGAGTGTACCGGAAACAAAAGAAGGCCAAGGCCTCAGAATGAGGTCGTCAATGTCAGTTTAAGACCTCGCCTATTCTTTAAGTGTATGTACATTCTGGTTAATGCTCGCGGTAACTCCAGAGGCAAAGGTGGTGTTGGTGGGGGCAGGGGGGAGAGGTTTTGCTTTTTAGTTTAGAAGGCTTTCGCTTGTATTTTATCTTTTTTTTGCCAACGACTGCATTTTCACAAAACCGTAACTTAGAAACACTCTTGCGTTCAAAATGATCATTATTTATTGATTTTTGCAGAAACTGAAATGCCAGCATTTATGGATATCCTACGTTGTCACTCGTGCTGTGAAACGAAAAAGTTTGCTCCCTCAGGCTTCAAGTCATACTGGTCTGCAAATTCCTGTACATGCCATCCACCGCGATCCTCTGGTAATTTAAGATGCCTCAACGATTTCGACTGAGCAAACAGGATAAACACGTAGCGATGCAAATGGGTGCCTTTCGGCGGTGTGGGGGGATGATAGGAAGTGACAACCTTTCCCTTTTTAACGTCACCGTGCGTGATGTCGGTTACGACCCAATGACGCCAGCATCTCTTGGCGGGATGCTCGCGAGACGGGGCATCTTTTGTGTGATTGAGTGAGTGGAACGATTCATTTTCAATACTTTTGGCTAGTCAAATTACCAGGATCAGCCAGGACGAGTGTGTAGAGATCATCGGGATTCGGTGGACTGAATGAGACTTTTGGTTCATGTTCAGCTTCGGAAGGGGATATTTCATTCCCCAGTGATACTTTTCTGTTCTTGTACGAAATGTCCAAGGCGATGGTCGGTGTGAAATCAGATATCACTAACCATGACCGATTATGAGTATTTTTGGTGGGCGATTCAATACAAAAGGGGGATGAAAATGATGCTTTTTTACCATCGGGAATTACTTGGCTGTCGACAAGGGCTTTATGCACTTCCTTTAGCATGTTTTTGATAATGTCTGGACGGTAGAGCCTTGACACTTTTGATGATGATAGGCGGCAGAAACGCTTTTAGTTTTTGCCAGCGTTCTTTTTATACTTTCAACCCGTAAATGTCGTATTGTGTCATCGTTACGCGGGATTGTCCATAACAAAAGACATGGCGGGCGGGAATAAAAACGGGCTTTTTGCAGGGCGGGGGCTGCAGTTGACGGCTGCCCATCGGCTGGTCAGTTGCTTTGAAGAAGGCCCTGAATCCGTGGCTTGTGGGCCAATCTGTGCTGCGCCATCCACCAGTTTGTTCATGTCGTTGAGTTTTGAATAAAGATGAGGTTAGAATAAGTGATGGTTATTCTTTTGGACAGCGGGCGATGAAGTAGATGAGCCAGTGTATATAAAAGGCGCAACCACCCAGGATATTCTTTTAGAGTATCCTCTACATTTGGTTGTTTTGCAAAGCCAGGGTTGCTAAACCTGTGTTCTTTTTTTGTTTCCTATATGATGGTTAGAACGACTGATTTTTAAGCGTTATGAAGCGTCAGCGATAGGAAAACGTTTGTGGACACAAACCTTGTGTTGGACATTTGGTCTGTTGGAAGGTTCCAAACTGATATGCCCAGTTTAAACCAAAGATGGAGAGACGCTAAACCAATGTGGCTGATGTCGTTCCCCAATCCCGTTGACCTGTGATACATGGAACGATAATACCAACATGTTCCATACTGTTTATGCATTGAGTGAGTCCAGATTTGTTGCGAGTTGCAGCCTCTACAGAGTTGCTCCTTGTGGGCTACTCTTCGAGTTCATCTGTTCAACACGTGCAAATAAACAAAAGCAACTAAACGGCGCCCAAATGACAGCAGAACGCAAGTGCCTCCCCCCTCCTTCTCCCCCTCGTACTGCACACAAACATGCGCAAACGGGCCGATTATCGTGCGATTTATCGCTTGCTTTTTCTTTTGCGTTTGTTTGCGTTTGTGATGCTTTTGTACCATGTATGGACTCTTGAATGAGCATTGTCACCTGTAATCCTCCCCCCTCCTTTTGCAAAATGGATCTGTGGAATGTTTACAAAAAAAGAATGTTGCGCACATCGTTACGTCCATTTGCCGTACATGGTCTCTGCAACTGTCCTCAAAAATCAACCCAAAATCAACACAAAAAAAAAAATTGGAGGAAAACTCCGCTCACGGAAATCGTTGAATTTCAACGCGTGTTTTTGAGCTTTTGGCTTACGCGGATTAAGGTCTTTTGAAGAGGTCCGTTTTTTTTTTTTTTTATTGCGTAGGTCTTTTGTGTGTGTGTTTTGTTGGGCTTTTTGAAAGCGTTTTCCGTTGCTTTAAAACGCTGCAAGTCGAAAAGGACTGTATTTACGCTTCACGGGCCAACAGTTAAAGATATACACACACCGGAACTGCCAACATTTAAAGGACCCTCGCTTACGTTAAGGCTCTAGTTTGCCCCAGCTGGCCAGCGCAGCGTCTTTTTGGGTGGAAATAGTTTTAGGCGCAATTTACAAAACAACCAGCTTTTGTGCATTCCATTCTCCTCTTGCGAACGAATACACACAAGACGAAGAAGGCAAAAAGCCAAGGTGTACGCAGAGGCGCTGGATACCCCCTCTTTTTTGCTGGAGTGGAAACGGGCGAAACGGAGAACCTTGGGTTGCAAAGGAGAGAAAACACACCTTGTTTTCTTGGACTTTTTGTGTACTTTTCTATCTTGCCACTACACGACGGCATTTTCTCTGGCATCATATCAGGATTCTGGGTCTATTTCGCGCTTGCAGTTGGCATATCTCCTACCAAAACCAGGACGTTCCGGTTACCCCAAAGAATACCCTGTTTCGTTATCTCCTGACGAGCTTGCGTGCCCATCATGTCCGTATCGAGAGGAAACTTGGTGAGAGAATATAAAATCGTCGTGGTCGGTGGTGGTGGTGTTGGAAAGGTATGTTGAACAAGAACTTGCGCCTTTGTTGTTTCCATTGTGATTCTTGTGTCGATTCCTGTTGATGCCGGAACAAGGGGAAGCAAAAAGTGAACAGTGGGCATGCTGGTGGAGCCTGTAGGATTCTCCCGCAATTGTAACTCACAATTATTTTCCATCTTCTTTTGCCTCCTTATTCTATCATCGTGATACATCACACCGTTTTGTGGATTGCTTTGACATTTACCAGTCGGCTTTAACCATTCAATTCATCCAATCGCAATTCGTTGACGAATACGATCCGACCATCGAGGACTCGTACCGCAAGCAATGCGTGGTAGATGGAGAAACTGCGGTGCTAGACGTGCTAGACACAGCTGGACAAGAAGAATACTCTGCCATGCGGGAACAATACATGCGATCAGGCGAAGGATTTCTGTTAGTGTACAGCATAACTTCCCGGTCCTCTTTTGAAGAAATTCAAACCTTTCATCAACAAATTCTGCGCGTGAAAGACCGGGACTGGTTCCCAGTCACGTTGGTCGGAAATAAGTGCGATCTTGAGGGTGAACGAGTGGTGGGAACCGGCGAAGGGAGAGAATTGGCAAAACTGTTTAGGTGCAAATTTATGGAGACGTCGGCGAGGAGTAAAATTAATGTCGATGAAGCGTTTTTCTCGTTAGTAAGGGCAATTCGAGATGAGAATAAGAAAACTCCTGGTGGAGGACAACAGACGGTCAAGAAGAAGAAGAAGCCGTGTATGGTAATGTGAATGGGGCAAACAAAGACTCTTGAGGTTGTTTGGCGACGAGGTAGAGACGGCGAGTGTTGGAAGCGCGGAGCCAATTTGCGGTGATCATGGAGGGTTTGGTCTTTTTCTGTCAGCAAAGTTACGTTGAACTTTTGCTGTCATTGATTTCGACGAGGGCACGACTGTCTTTTCATCATGAACAAACTACGCTGAATTGGTAGTGATGAAAAGAAGGATCGAGGGACGATGGGAGGCTTCTCTCTCTCTCTCTGATTTTTGTGTACATTTCGATATTTTGGGGGAGCGAGAGGTTTTTTTTCGCAAGGGACAAGTACCATTTAATAATAGAGTTTCCCAACATTTTACAATCGTGGTGCGAACAGCCGGCTGCTACTGAAAGGGACTTTCCGTTGAAGGAGTGTCCATTGCGGGCCATCGCAATGCCTTATCCAATCCAACCCGTTAGCTCACCTCGTAACAGGCAATATTCCCTCCGCTCCGATACATCACTAAAGTCACAACCACTATTCTTCCCGTTGTTTAATAGTTTCTTGATATTGGGAGCTGGTGGCTCGGACTCACTTGCTTGTGCATAGCTTCTAGAGGTTCGGACATCTGGAAAAATCAATTGGGATCAATGGACACTCCACCATCGATATCTTCAAGCTACACTGGACATTACTCTTGCTGATGATCCGGGACCACTTACGGAAAGTACAATTAGCAGGACAAGTCGGGATCACGCCCTTTTTTATTGGTAAATTATACTAAAGTTAACTCCCTACGGTATGCCTTCACCAATATGACATGTTTCTCTTCAGTTACATTGTATGTGTCTATGTGGAGTGCCTGACATTGTGTTTGACAAAGAAAGCGTAGTTTGGGCATTAGAATCTGCGTGCGGAAAGCTGTCGGGAAAAGCGACGTGAGAGAATCGGCTAGTCCAGCCACCATCGGACACATTATTTCAAAAGATTATTATGCTGACATTTTATATCGTCAAATCATATTAAGAAACACACTAATTTAAATGGCATCGCTAGATCGTATCAGTAGGTGCAGGCTCATAAAGCGACATAAAGATCACCACGACCCGTCACTGGCTTCCCTTGTCTCCGTCATCGCGGAGTGGGAGGGTTGACAGGATTCCGTGACTTGCTGTCCACTAAGGAGCGACGATCGCTCGGAGGTGAGGTTAATATTCCACTTCCTATCGATGAAGGGAACTCTAATTGAAAAGGGGATTCTGGTATGGTAAACGAGGCGAGTGACTTTGATGTGTTTAAAGAGAGGGGAGTTGGATTCGTTGAAGGCCTAGGGTCTGCTTCTCGCCTGTAATACTCGAGTCCTGCAAGCCATCGAGCACGATCTTGCAGATCCTGGGCCATGAAATACTGTAGAAAAGCAAGAAAGAACAGCCGGGTTTTAATCCGAGCTATATCTTTAGAATATGCTGAAGAAGTTATGGTACGTACGAGAGGCGGCACTGTCTTCAAAGCTTGTGTTTCTTGGCAGGTAACGTCGATTAAAGTTCTGCACGATCGATGACAGATCATCTTACAAGCTAAAATCATATTTTGATTTTGAGTTTGACCAGGATGCCGAAATATGCGTTTTCCTTGACCTTACCGGTGCATTCAAAGCCTTGGTTTTTATTACCCCATAGCGGTTCGTGGCACACCGCACAGTCTGTAGGCTTGTAATATTGCCTGAGTCTAAAAGCATGACCATAGCTCTCAGACTTTTCCGTGGCTTCTTTTATTCTTCTAATCACCGCCAATATCCGTTGCTGATCATTCTATCAAAATATGTCAATCATTAGCCGGCCACGGTAAACCGCTGATGCAAAACATGTAGCTACCGAATTCATGGCATCCAAGTCCTCTACGGGATTATGGATAAGCATCGATGTTTTCAAAGAGAGCAATACACGGACGCATACCTTTTATTTTGGCAACATTCCGCTCAGCGACCACTAATTCATGCTCTGGAGTTTGGGTGGAAGACCTCGTTCGGGGTTTATTTGCTGATCTCGCAACAGCGTTGGAGACCTTGATAAGACCATCTCGCTTCCTTTCCTCCTCAGCTAGCTGAGTTTCCAGTTTTTTGCGATAATATCCAATGTCCTCTTCTATTATCTCACTGCTTTGTTCCAATGACTGGCTCGAGGAGTGAGCCCACCACAGTATGTTCATTTATCAGAAGGGCTGTAACTTACTGTTGACGTCGTAGAAGGATCTTCAGATGGGAGCAGCGATCTGTACCGGTCCTGTTCGAGCCGTAATCCGCGAAGACGATTTTGGGATGCCTCAATTTGATTTGTTAATGTCGTTCTGTTCAATTCACTTGATAAGCTCCACATCTTTTCAGCAGCTTGTAACATTTTCTCTTCAAGTGCTATTTCTCCATCTAGCTTGCTGATCTTTCGTTGAACAGCGACTGTATCATTCTGCTCAGTGCCGCTTTCATTGGTCTGAATATACACTTTTGTCAATGTCTGAAACGGCAAATGATTGCTGTTTTGCAGAACGTTACTCACTATAGAACTAGTGGCTCGTGTGCTTATCTGGCCGATTTGATCTTGGTTGACCGCATGAACTTTGAGGATGCAATCAATGTCCTTGCTGTTGGCGTGGATGAGCTCATTTTGCGCTACCACCTTGGCGATGAAAATGTCGGATCTGACTCAAAGCATAAGACTCGAATATCTTTAAAATGATGGAAGGTACATGTCCTTACCTTATATCGACGACGAGACTTCCTTCGATGCTCCCCACATCTTTATCCCGGTCGTACATATATATCTTAAAGTCGCGCACAACCGCGTATCGTTGCTTCCAACCTTTCTTAACCTTTCCACCTTTTGGTACTTTCAGCCAACCCTTCAAGCCCTCCTTTGGATTAAACTCTACCGGAACTACATCAGAAGCCTTGGTCTGACCGGATTTTAATGAAAAGCTTGAAGATGTAGTGCTGAGTCGACGACTAAGACCATACTCCAATATCTTGGTACTATCATCTTCCCTTTCGGGCGAGAGTGGGGATTGGGAGTTTGACCGGGAATGGTCAGTCTTCAAGGGCTGGCTGTTTGTCCGGAAAAGCATGTTCCGCCAGCCACTCTTTGACCTTGCCTGATGCTTTTCTGGTGATCTTGTCATTTTGTGGTCAGATCTTGCACTGTCCGACATCCGTGTAGCACTGTCGTCTCCCATTTCCAACTGATGATGCAGCGCTGAGCATGTTTGTTCCAGCTCGTGTATTCGTTCAATGAGATTGCGGATTTTGGTCTCTAACAAACTGCATTGTGTCTCCATCTCGTCCTTGCCCCTCTGAGTCTCTGCGTATGATTGCTCCAACTCGTCTATGCGCAAGGCTTCCGAATTCATTTTCTCCTCCGCCAGTTTCACAGCACTTTGGAGAGCTGCATTCTCTGCTTCCAACGTTTTCCGATATTGCTGTTCGGTTGCGTAGCGCTGCTCGAGTGCCTCGTAGTCAACCTTGCATTCGTTATAGCGCGAACATTCCCTTTCCAGTGCACGATTAGCTTCCTCTAGAGTTACTTTTAAACGGTCGAGGTCCTCCTTCAAGTGGCCGTTTCGATCGGCAAAAGTTTTGTGCGATGACTTTGCCTCAGTCAACTGCTTATGTAGCTCTTCAATAGACGACTGAGCCTCAAAGTACAAGCTTTCGTAGTTTATGGCGTGCTGTGCGGATCTTATCTGCTTTTGCAGTTCTGCTTTGCTTGTCTCCAGTTCTTTACAGAGCGCCGTTATTTGGTCTTCCAAAACAGCCGTCTTCTTTTCGGCATCTGACCGAGCTGCTAACTCTCGCTTAAGCTCAGCACCTAACCTCTGGGTCTCAGCATCTGCAAGCTTTTCCATGGATATGATAAGATTAGCTTCAGCAGTGTTCGCTCGTGTCATTGCGGCGTCTCGTGCATTCCGCTCCTCTTCCAGCTTCCTCAATAATCTGTCCACTTCCACTTCTAAGCAAGCCTTGCTCTTTGTAATATCAGCCGCAGCAGCAGACTGTTGCCTAATCTCCTCGTTGGCCTGTTTGATCTGAGCACGCAAGTTTTCAAGCTCTCTCTCCATGCGCAAATTGGCATCTCGAGCGCTCTGCAACTCTGCTTTGTCATTTTTCTCGCTATCCAGGGAGTGCTTTAAACGATCCAAAGACCTCTGCAAGTCCTCCCGCTCCCGCGCATGTCCATCTCGCGTTGATCGCAGCTGTTCCAAAGTTGCGTCCGCCATCTCTTTTTTCTTTTCGAGCGCCGTGACCAAGTTTTGAAGGTCGGATTGCTTCGACAGTGACCCGGCCAGCTGTTGACGAAGAGCTTTTATTTCATCTTCGGAAGTTTGCTTTGCTACTGTAAGATCATGGATTTGCTGTCGAAGAGCATCGGCATCACCTCCGGAGAGTGATCGCGAAGAACTTCGCTTGCCCATTGCCGCCAAATGCCCTTCATGGCCGGTATGGAGTGATACTTGCCATGAAATGGCTGGGATAGCATCCTGGACGTACGTGTACCCCACGAATGGAAGATGCTGACCAGTGAACTCCTTCGTTTTCACCAGGGTTTTCTTTGTCACTTTCTTGCTCTCATCTTCCTCGTCCTCAAAGTACCTCGTATCATCAGGCCCACTTAGCTCGGGGATAAACGGTGGCGTCACTAGAGTAGAATCGTTAATGCTGACCAACCTTCTCCTACCCAACTGCTTAATAGATCAAATAGCGTACTGTTTCGGACCGCGCTCCAGTCAAATCCTTTAAACCACGGATGTCCTTGGATCTCCTGACTTCCTTGACGTCCTAACCGAGTTTCCTTCTTGCAAATCAACCTGATGGTCATCCAATCAGTAAACGATCTAGTCGGCATTAATCTCACTTTCGTGCCCACCTTCTCATCAAGTCTAATGCTTCTTCTGAAACGTCGCTATCTTCAGGGAACGCAAAATGTTTCTATAACAGTTATTGTTGAGCATTTGAGAAGCAACTCGATGCGCTTTTACGGAGCTTCGAGCGACAGTACCTCGTGATCCATAATCTTGCCGTATGTTTCCATCAACGATTCGGAATAGAACGGTACTTCATCATATAGGAGCTCATACAGTATGATACCTGAAGGGGCACCGATGAACAAGATTTCTGGTGCTCATTACAAGGACACCGCCATTACCTAATGACCACCTGTTACAATAAATCAGGGTTTAGAAAGCCAATTGCTACTATTGCGACGACTCTCTGCCGTACCAGTCACATTCTCTTCCATATGTTGAATTTCCTTCGTGTGCGCGGAGAATTTCGGGTGATATATAGTCTAGGAGGTACAGGTTCAGCATGGTGTTAAATTGGTCAATAACCATTCGAAGTTACCTGGTGTTCCGACTGTTTGATGTGATGTTACCTGGGTACGAACCTCAAGTTTAAAGAAATTCACGATCAGGGATATCTGTTGCATGAAAACATACTGCTTTAGCATCGTCCATTCGAATGCATGAGCCGAAATCGGCGAGTTTGAGGTGACCGGATCGGTCGATAAGGCAGTTTTCCGGTTTGACATCACTGAGACATTTGATAAGCTGGGGCATCAACTTTACTGACCGCAGAAAATAGTCTTACCGGTGTATGAAGTTGTGCTTATGCAGCTCATCCAAGGCGAGAAGAATTTGCGCAATATAAAAGCGAGCATCCTCTTCCCGCATTACTTCTTCGCGATTATTCAGTAGAGATCGCAAGCTTCCTCCCGATGCATACTCCATGACAAGGTACAGATTTTCCTCATCTTGAAAAGCCGCATATAATGTTGTAATCCACTCCGATGCCTTTGCAAACACCAAAGCATCACGCTCTTCCATGAAAAAACCTGCCTGTAGTGGTAGTTCCAGCCAGGAGTAAAGCAACCATTTAGCCTAGATTCGCAAGGAAACAAGAAATGCCGTGCATACTTCTTGACGGGTCAGCAAGTCTGTCTTCTTCAGTATCTTCATGGCATAAACCTTTCTTGTTGGCTTATACTTCACCAGACAAACCTACAATAGATCCACACTCGCCTCAAGTTGTATTGTAATGCCGTAGCCAGAAAAACGTTACCCTTCCAACAGCGCCTGTGGCCAGCGTTTTCACAATATCAAAATCAGCGGTGTTTATTCGTAGCGCTTGTAGTCTCGTCATTAGCTTCTCATCTGCAATTTCGGCGATGGTCAAAACATTTCAACCTCCTTGAATTAGTCAATAACAATTCACCAACATTTGTGAACAAAAGCAGCCATGTGCCCAGTTTGACTGCTAGCTGCTGTTTTGCAGTCGGTATAGACTGCAAGGAAAAAGTCCAGCAAGGCCTCGAGGGAAAGTGACGGAGCTGCGAGTTCATTGGATAGGACCTGCGATATCTGGTCCAGCCGAGGCCTGACGTGGGAAGCAAACTCTGCTGAAGCCATGTCTGTTGGCCGTCTTGAACCCCTCTCCAATATTCGTATAGCTTATACAGGTCAAAAGGGCCGGTGAAACTAAAAACAGCGAAAACGTCTGATCGGTGTTTTCAGACCCGCGCGGTGTTGTTGCTGATATAATCATGGCACGTGTCCTGCCTCATATCACGCCCGATGTTTAAGGCCATCAGCGTTTTTCAATGGCAAGATACGGGGCATCTTACGCTTTATCCATACTTGGAAGACGCTGGATAAACGTTGGCCTTGTCTCTGAGCCATGATGATGTTGTCGTAATTAGAGGAAGATACGCAAGAAACTGGTTTTATATGTTCAATCTTATCCGTGAGATGAAGTCCAGTTCACCTCATTTGCATCATCGCCGTAGCGAATGCATTGTTACTGAATTGACGACTATCGCAGTCTACTTTGATGAAGATGGACTGTTTCCAACCAGTTTTGACTTGAAATGTCTCCCGTACCTGGGTTAGCCTTTAATTGCTTTTCACTATATCATGAAGTTCTTCCTTTTATATATGGTGATTTATACTACTATGGATGTTGAAGTACCTACGACTGTGAGACCCTTGAAGGACAAGCGCAATATCCATCTAGTTTCACTGGAAGGTTTACTTACCTCCATGTCCCATCAAACCCGTTGATACTTAATGTCCTTGGTGAAGCCACGTGATTCGGATGTTCAAATTAGTATGGAGGTGATTGAAAATGGCACTAGGACCCATTATTATCCGGATTAATCCGGTTAATCATATCGCATAATCAGAACCCCCATCTATTGCTCAAAACGGTGTGGTATGCATGTAATGTTTTTTCTTTTAAACTGCGGTGAGGCACATGCCAAAGGTCTATAAAAGGGGGGCCTTCACTGTCTCTTCCCCTTCCTCACCAGTTCCTCGACTCAAATCATCTGCGCAACTCTCAAGCAACTCGCAAGTCCAATCATGAGAATGCAGATGTGGTGGTGCCGAGGACCTCCACCCAACAACGACAACAACATAACCCCTTACAAACACTACTACTATGCTGCTACGATCGCAGGTATGCATTATCTTTGTATTTTCCCACGCGTATTCCGAAGTCTAATTATTCTGCTTTCACTTAGTATCTGAACATCCTCCGACGCTTCGGAATCAAAGGGCTTAGTAGGATTTCTCTCGTGGTGGTGGGCCTAGTTACCCGGTTGACCAACCGTTATCGCATGTGTAATGGGGCCTAGTGGTAGTTAGTTAGTGGAATCGTGCTGCTTTGCACGTACCCCAGTTCAACCCAGGCTGGAACCTGTAGCGAGTTAGGATAGGGGTGGGACTCGTTTGCAGGATAGGTTATGAAGGGTTGGACAGGCTGGCTAATTGTAACTTAGAACCGGCTGTAGTGGGTTGGAGGGAGAATTTGTCCCTAGTGACATTTTCTACCACCTGCACACTAAGATCAGCGCTTTTCCAACGATCTAGCGCATCATGTTTCGACCCATCCTGCCAGCATGTCGTGCTCCACCTATACCAGTCATGGGCTGCTGTCGCCGGCATGCGGTAAGATATCTCATATTTGCACTTTTAGTGGATATTGCTTTGATACCTCGTAGACTTTGGCTGGCCCTCACCAAAATAGAATGTCCAGGATGCTCGCACCAACCTCTAAAGCTGTACACGCTGCGGATAATGCACATTCTGCAGTTAGTCACAATCTTCTGTTAAGGGCAGGATACATAAGGCAGGTAGGTCTCCACGGCTTCTTGGGGAATGGTTAATTGCCATCCACTAATAGTTTAGTGCCAAAGTCTTCGGCCGGAATGTACAGTTTTTTGCCGCTCGCCCTACGTGTTCTTGGAAAAATAGAAAGGATCATCGACGAAGAAATCCAACGTGTAGGTATGCTGGCACATCCAATGGACTAACATCAAGGTGATTCATCTGCTCATAAATGAGGTTTGCGCAGGTGGTCAAAAGCTATCTTTGCCATGTCTCCTCCCATCCGATGGTTGGAAGAAAACGGGACGCTGGGAATCAACTGGTTCTGAGGTACGCTGCTAGCTCCCCTCTACCTGGATCTGAAAATAGATATGTATACCGTGCTATAGATGTTTAAGGTTACCGATCGGAAAGGAGGCGAGTTTTGCTTAGCACCAACTCACGAGGAAGAGATCACGCAGCTAGTCGCTGCAGAGGTTTCCTCATGGAAACAACTACCGCTTCGCCTATACCAAACAGGTGAATAGTCTGGAATCGATATGTAATACTGTAGCCCATATTCATATCGAAACATGTAGGACGTAAATATCGCGATGAAGCACGGCCAAGGTCGGGGCTGCTTCGTGCCCGGGAATTCATCATGAAAGACCTTTACTCTTTCGATGCAACTGAAGAAGCTGCCTTAGCAACCTATGATGAACTAAGGAATGCTTACGACCGAATATTGAAAAGGATTGGCATACCGTTTGCTGCTGCAGAAGCTGATAGCGGAAATATTGGAGGAACGAGGTCTCACGAGTACCATTTTCTATCAACTGGTGGGTTTGCTGTGAGGGATAGCGTTTCTGTCAAGCTGAAGGCTGATGACTACGGGCAGTTGGCGAAGATACACTTTTGACCTGCAACAATTGCGGGTATACCGCGAATGAAGAAAGAGCAGTGGGAATCCTAAGGCCACCGCAGAATGACGACATGACCACGGAGGAACTACGATTCAGCTTCGGAAGACAGGATCAGAGCGAATGGTGCAATGCTAGTGTTACGGTACCAAATGGTCGCACGCTGAATCCCGCAAAGCTTAAAGCACATCCAGCCCTGAAAGGATTAGTCGTCAAATTCAATAATCCAACGGAGTCAAATGCCTTTCCCAACGAAACGAAATTCATTGATCACAGAGTTCGAAGAAGGGAAACTGCATTGGATGACTCTCGGACGCATATTGGAGACTTCACCATGATCCAACATGGTGATGGGTGTTCCGTTTGCAACAGTGCATCTCAACACCATGATTCGCAGCCATCTCAATTCCTCCAATCCCATCGGGCGATAGAGATCGGTCACACCTTTTTCTTGGGTACAAAATATTCAGCCTCCCTAGGTGCGACATTCAAAAACGAGAAGCAAGAGGTTGTTCCGATGCAAATGGGCTGCTTCGGCATAGGCGTGACTAGGATGATGGCCGCGGTGGTTGAGGCCAGCCATGATCAGCATGGCATTATTTGGCCAGAGTCTATTGCCCCATATCGCATATGCATCGTTCCAATGTTAAACAAGAAGAGCGCGCTAGAACAACAGCGGGCCATATCAGGTGCCATTGAGCAACTTTACAGCCTTTTAAAGGATGCAGCTGGGCAGGAGGATATTGTTGTTGACGATCGAGAAGATATGACCCTCGGATTCAAAATGAAGGATGCCTCGCTGATTGGGTATCCTTACATGATCGTGTTGGGAAAAACGTTCTTGCAGGACGGATTGGTGGAAGTCCATATAAGAAAAACGGAGGAAAAGCGCTTGATGAGGATCGAAGATATTACAACAATGTTCAATCATTAGTTATTGATACAAAGTTCAGTGTACATTGTACTTAATTTAATCTTCCTCGCATTTACAAAACATTCCTAAATAATTATTGACCGACACCGGCTGTCACCATACCGCTGGTGCCTCGTCCACGATCTCACTTATTGTCATTGGTATTGGATCTCTCGCAACGGTGTCAATCACCTCACGCAATACTTGTGCGGGTGCCGTAGAGAACAAAGTAGCCGGGTAGTTTCTGGTACCCCAATTCGGATGCACAAGGATTCTACAGCATCCTGCCTGGACGGTTGTATATCTCAAAAGCCGCACACTTCCGTCCACATCGGGGTATATACAGCTTCCTCTAGACGAGAACATTGGATAGCCTGAAGCAGGGTCCGTCATATCCGCCCAGTAATTGAGGTGGCGTAAGAAAGACACGACGCGAGTAGCCCACGCATATACCTACGGAGGTAGAAATTTACGCAATGAGACGACACGTCAACAATGAAAAGGGCAAGCAATGAGGGTCTCACATATTCCAATAGAAGGTCACGTTCCCAATTTGTCTCACCAGAGACGGCGACCAAGTCATGGACCGTCTTTTGGAATGTCGGCACAATGACCAAGTTTTCCAAGCCTGCGCTTTGACTTTTCAAGTTGGGAAAGATCAATGCAAGATCCCTCAACAGGTAGCGACTAGGTTTGTGAATGGAATACTGGAATTCCGTTGTATTTGGAGGTATGACGGCGTCTCGTTTTGATCTGAATGTGTTGAAGGTCGCCTCGGTTGACAGGATCGAGGAGTCGGTGGGGGAAAAGGATAGAAGCAACTTTGTTGGGGGGACGAGCGTAAGTGGAGCGGAACGTCTGTGTTCTTTGGGAGAGGATAGCGTAGAAGGAAGGATGTGGCAAGCAGATGCGCTTGATGTCGATGGTGGCATTGGGGGCCCAAACTGCGCGAAGTCCAAAGTCGGAGATCCTCCGACATCGCTTGGCTGATAAAACTGGAAACGGCAAAGTTTGGGGCGTCCCTCGTCATTTACCTTTTTATGGATAAATAATGCATGTGATTCCACGTGGCTTCAGAGCTTATCGTTTTGGGCGGCGACCAAAAGTCGACGGTTTCGTCGCACATTTGTAGGACACTTGCCAGAAAGCACTTTGACCGCATCAACAGGACGCAGGATGACTGTCAAGGATGTTATCAAAAATAGTGAGTGGATTGTAAAGTTTAGTTATTTGACCCTGCAAGCTCTTGACACCTGCCTTGTAAAGAAATCCTCCAGGACATGGTGCAGGCGGTGAACCCGCCGGGCAAGTGGAAGGTTATGGTAGTGGACGACGAGGCCCTTCGAATTTTGAATACTGTTTGCAAGCTCTCGGATTTAACGGACGAGCATGTCATTTGTAAGAACTGAAGCTATTGACGTTTCGACCGTACCGTCCAATTTACCCTACAGTTTATAGCGGTAGAAGGGCTTGCGAAACGAAGGCAGCCTTACCCCGATAGGGAAGCGATTTACTTCATTTCTCCGGATCCTGCCTCAGTTCAACGCATCATTGATGACTACACGCAACCGAAGCCTCCCTATGCTGCCATTCATATATTTTGCTCTGCCCGTAAGTCCCCGTGTTCAAATGTGTCAACCGTGCTTTTTGGTTCACAGATTGCTGTTTGTGATTGTAGCTCTCTCAGATACTCTGTTTGAGAAAATAAAACGGTCGCCTGCTTCGAAATTCATACAAAGCTTGAAGGAACTGAATGTTGACTTCTCAGGTACAGTGGCATTGAAGAAGAGATGCGATAGGTTCAGGAAACTGACTTTTCGGCGAATCAGCGCCCGAATCGCACGTCTTCACCGTAGATTTCCCAAACTCACTCAAAACCGCTTTCAACCCTCAAACTCCCTCTCTGCAAAACTACGAGCTGGAAAAGATTGCAAAGAGGGTATGTACAGCGTCTTCCACAACCGCATACGGCATCCGTGTCGGTAATCTAATGCCAACATCCTATTCCACAGCTCGCGTCAGTACTAGCATCTTTAGGGGAGTATCCGTATATCCGTTATCATGATCCATCCGGCGGGAAGAAGGCCAGCGCGGCCGGTAAACTAGCAGAATTAGTTCAGGCAGAGCTCGATAGTTTGTCTCGCATCAACCCAAACTTTCCGCCGCAAACTCAATATCAGCGAGCAATCCTGGTCATTATGGACAGAGCTGTCGATCTGCTTACACCCATCATCCATAGTTTTTCGTATCAAGCAATGGTGATGGATTTACTCGGCCTTGAAGATATGAAATACAGGTGCAGCCAAAACGAGATACTGCGTGGATGCTTGGAACAGACCGTGACTGATCTTTTCCTATGTAGCCCTGCCGACGGTGACCCGGTTAAGCTGGACGAGAGTGACCTTGTGTGGGTGCGTTCAGGGTTCTTTTGCGCTTGCGGCTTAGGCGACAGGCCATAACCTGTACATCATTTTCCTTTTACAGAATCAGGCTCGACACTGGCACATAGCGGAAGTCATGGAATATCTTGCAGACGCAGTAAATAAGTTCACTACCGAGAACAAGGCGGCCGCATTCGCCATGAAGCGGAATAACTCGGGGTGCGTTGATACCTAGGGTCACTGGTGCATGATGGGAAGTCACTGACTGTTACTGGTTTTGATACAGAGGGTCAAGCTTGGATCAGATCCAGCAGATGAAGGATACCATGGCTCACTTGCCTCAGTTCCAGGAAATGAAAGCCAAGGTGTGCATATCCGTGATCAGAAAGTTGCGCGAATATTCGCGTTTACTAACGATGGTGATCAGTATTCTCTTCACACAAGTCTTTGCCATGAGGCAATGAAAGCCTACAATGGCCGCCGATTAGAACGGATATCACAAATAGAGCAAGATCTTGCAACGGGAGAAACGTCAGATGGAAGGTCCCCACGACTTTCTTTGATGGAAGTCATATCGTTACTGGATGATCCGAGGATCGAGTATGTATACATTATCAGTATCGGTCGTTCAGCGGCATCTTTTTAAAGACAGAAATGAATTTGTTCGATTCAGGCATGAAGAGAAACTCCGTCTTGTGATGTTCTACGTAATTGCGCAAAATGGAATGTCGGACAGCGACCGGCAAAAGCTTATGGAGCACGCGAAACTGACGTTGGAGGAGTCTCAAGCTGTGCATAATCTCAGTATGTTAGGAGTACGATTGAGTGCCAGCTTAATGGGACGCAAAGGAGACAACAAGGTACATCATTAGCGTTGATTTCACGGTGACCTTGATGTCCAGCCTCTGACTTGGACCATGCGACTTCATACGTTCATCAGGGGCAATACGCGTATGGCATGCGCGATAAGGGGAAGGAACACAAGTTTGAAAATAGCCGATTTACACCCATCATCAAATATATCCTAGAGGTGAGTGTAACTCAAATCTGGTGTCATTTCCGAGCGATATTCATTGAGCGCGACGTAGGACCAAGTCAAAAATGTCGTTGAGGGGATAACCTTTCCGTGGGTCCGTGAGCCGCCATCTTCCGAGCTAGGTGGCAGGCCAATGACATGGGCGGCATCTGGATCAGCAGCGTCAGGAGCTCCATCTGCGGCCGGATCTGTGAGAACTAAAGCATCCTGGGCAACACGACGAGCAGTAGTGTCCGCTAACGCGAATGGGACTGCGACGGGATCTGGCGGGCTGGCGGGGCTGCAACCGCGTCCAACAGAGAATTTGCGCGCAAATGGGCCTCGGGTGATAGTGTTTGTACTAGGGGGCCTGACGCCGAGCGAACTGAAGGCGTGTTACGATGTCATGAAGGACCAGCAGAGGGAAATCATTGCTGGTAAGCACGCGCCTGTGAACTTGGGTATCTATTTTGCAAAGGCATCTTTAACCGAATATACATGATTTTCGTATTGATACTCAGGGTCTACCCACCTCATCAATCCTATGCACTTTGTCGAGGATGTTAAAGATCTGCACCGACATGGTCCTTCTAGACCACCGCGACCCGCAGGATCCAGCCGTGCATCACTTCCGGAAAGGGCAAGTAGCAGCCCATCAATAGGCGATAGATCGCCACGGTCGACGGCGCGAGATATGAATGGTGGTTCGGCGTACCCAGCGCGATCTTCCAAGCATTCTACAGCACGCACTGATTCTGCTCCTGCCATAATTGGACCTCGGACAGGCAGTTCCGGAGCCGTCGCTTCGAGAATTGGCAACATTGAAAACCGATTAGCAGGGATGAATCTTTCCGAGCGTCCGCCGATAGGGGGTGCGTCGGGAAAGCCTGCTAATGGACGTAGCGCGCTGCGAGAAGACAGTGCAAGTCGCTCAGTGAACATAGATAAAGAGCGAGAGAAGAAGAAGGGCTGGTTTACTCGAAAATAGGCCGTAGGAGATTTTGTATGGTTCAAAGCGGACTCTCATGTACATATTTCATTCCTGACACACAGGATGGGGTTGGTTAATCACCAGCATTTTGTCCCCTCCGTTATCGTCTTCCGCCTTTTTATACTTTTCATCATTTTGCCCGAGTACAACCCTTTTTAACACTGGTCGGGAGTTACCTGCTGTGTGCTGTGGCGAAGGGATCTTTGGTAAGCGAATCCACGTCAGCAAAATTTTGTGAAGTTGCGAAGCCGAGCAGCGGTGAAAGCTAGTTCATCACCAATGGCGCTAAATTCACAGGTAATTACCCGTATTTCTTCAAGTAGCGCTTATTCTGTAAAGCCCATCTCACACATTTTATCCTGGTGCAGATCGTCAACCTGCTGGTTGTCTTTGGCCTTGTGCAGATCGTAGGTAGTCCCTTGTTACATATTTCTACGATCTGGCGATCCGACAAGCCGTGAGCCTGCAATTGTGCAGCGCATCACGTCGTCCACACACGCTGTACGCTACCATGGTTGATTAACGCCGCTGTATCTTTGACAGGCTAACCGTTTTGATCTCGACAATGAGGCCAATGTGCAGTAAGTAGCTCAATGGACACCAATACGTAAAAGATACGCCCTCACGCAACCTTTTGTGCCATAGCTATCTCCGAGCCGCGTACATGGGCATGCAAGTGATTGTTGCCATTGTACTGTTCATTGTGTACAGGAGAGTGTTGGCCAAAAAAGGTGGGTAATTAATCGAGTGTAATATACCGACCGCTCTCTGATGAATTGCCTTTGACATTCAGATGAAACGCCTCTCGTTTATACGGAAGCGAAGAATCCTATGGAACCCAAGTATGATCTTGCATTTGTGGTAAAGATATCTGTGTTCGGTGGCAGTAATGGATTTTTCTTAGAAATGTCGAGACCGTTCGGACAACGATTAAGGACTACGACATCACTAAGTTGAAGGAAACTCTTCGGGGTCAAGTTGTTGCAATGGCCATTTTGGGTTTCATTCATTACAAGTGGGGTTATCTTCGACCACTTTTGCTGCAGTCTGTTCTGGGACTTCGCACTCTATACCAAGCTCAGCTTGTGCAGGTACGTGAAGTCTTGCAATCCCGAGCAGTTGCATTTAACTTGCTAATTTTATCCGACGCAGGTGCATATTCTTGGAAAGCCAGCTACTGGCGACTTGGCCAGGCCATGGAAAGCCGCGTCTCCTTTCGGGTGAGTATAAAAGGACATACAGTCCAGGGCACGATTTTCTCGAATACAATACTTTAGATTTCTATGTCACAGGCTGATCTTGAACCTATCTTATCTCTACCTACTAGCCAACCTCCCACCGCAGTCAGCGAAAAGGAACTCAAGGCCAAAGAGAAGAAGGAAGCGAAGAAGAAGCTCATTCACCAAGAATGAAGGATGGGGGTGTCTACGTGATATTTGGGCATTCCAAAAAGGATCCTCTCTTTGTTCATAGGGTTGATTTGCTAATTAATAGAGTTTGTCTGATCTCGGTTATACTTCATACTTGTGCGTTTGAAAGACTATATCCAATCTCTCGGCGTCCTCAGGACTTCTAAAAGCTCGGCCTCTGGGCTACCAGGCGTTGGCACATGTCCGTACTCCCAACGTGCAGTCAATGGTAGGGACATTAATACACTCTCAATACGCACTCCCGGCGTAGCGAGGCCAAACTTTGTTCCCCGATCATGAACCTAAGATAGTCGTGTTAGTTTGGACCGCAAAGCGCCAACATGCAGACGTAAACAAGTACCAGATTGAACTCTACATATCTCCCTCTGCGCAACTGCTGCCACAACTTGTTCTCTTTCGTGAAGGGCATATCCTTCCGCTTTTGTACAATCGGAACATACTGATCCACAAAACTTTCTCCACAGTCTTTGACAAAGGCAAAAATCTCTTCGGCGGGCCTGTCTTCCAGATCGTCAAAAAAGATTCCACCAATTCCTCTTCGTTCACCACGGTGCTTGACATCAAAGTACTCGTCACACCACTTTTTGAAGCGGGGGTAATAAGCTGTGTCGTGATTATCGCAAGCTTGTTTTATAATCTTATGAAAATGAATCGCATCTTCTTCAAATAGGTATGAGGGCGTCAGATCACACCCGCCACCAAACCACCATGCCACAGGTTCATCCCCGTTTTCTTCGACCAATTCAAAATATCGGTAATTGGCATGGACTGTCGGTGCCATCGGGTTATGAGGATGCATTACAAGGCTAATTCCGGCCACGAACATGTTATACGGTCCTTTATCAATTCCTTCTCGTTTGCGCGCGCGCATGTGCTGAAGCATGCCTTCTGGTGCTTTACTGGCCACAATGGAAATGTTTACTCCGGCCTTCTCAAACACCTTGCCGTCTTGAAGAACACATGAAACACCTTCACCACCTTCCTCCCGGATCCAAGCATCGTGGAAGAAACGGCCACCATTGGGACCTTCAAGTTCCTCTACAGCCGATGTTATTTTGTGCTGGAGATGGCGCACCAACTGCTCCATTTTGGCGCTCATCGGCTTCCGCAAGGCAGTCTAGCGAAAAGTCAAGAGCCACAGGTCAACCGATGTACCCAGTCGTTGCACATACTGCGATATGCGTACCTCTTCTTTCTGCTTGCTTGATGATTTACTTTGAACCCTGCCTTTCAGTTCCTCGGTCGCTTCGCAATCAATGGTTTTGTGCGAGATCTACATAGTACCAGTCAAGCGGCTTGCAGGTACACTAGAAGACAAACACGCATACCTGGTGCGCATAGATCCAACTACTTATACACACGACAGTAGTGCCCAGGATAATTGAAACCGATCGTTTCGCAGTTGGTCTTGCGGAGAAAGAGGGGAGAGTAGAGAGCGATGCCCGAGGATGTGATACCGTTGACGTGCGCCATGTGGAAGTCCATCTGGCAAGCGAATCAGTGTCCCGAATTAGGGCAAACTTGTAAAGTCGAGCTGTCTTACCCTGTGAAGCCCCGTTGTGTTTGGGCCCTTAAAGCTGAAAGAGATGTCGGATCGCCCCGACGGTGAGTTAGGAACTATGTGAAAGATGCCTAAATGATAGTGCCCCTAGCGCACCTGTGAAGAATAGTCGCATCTCAAATATCGACGCAAATCTGGTATGTCGAGCCTGACTTCCGGTTCACCGTTGGTTAGAACGCAACGGTGCTCTGCACACCGTCAAATGTCTTTTTATCTTGCGGGGCCGTACAAGGACGGGAAGCAAAGTAGAACGCATCATGACACACATTCAGTCAATATCACGTGGCTATCCACATTGTATTGCAAAAGATGAGATATCTGGCATCAATGCCAGTATGAAGAGCAGCCGACAAACTATACACTCATGGTATTATGTGATATCTTATGCCTAGGGATATTGAATGTTAACTGACACAAAATGATATGAGACTTTATCATTTCTTCCATACAGCCTTTTAAAGTCATCCGACACCACGTTCATCCCATGTAACGAAATGATGACCTTGGCAGACAATGGCAAAGGATAGCTGCTGAAGATCTCAATGCAATGTTGTACTCTTTGCTTATTCTATCCTAGTCATGCAATAAAAGATCCTTGCTCATTACATATATTTACAAAAAATAGGCACCAGAGCTATGTAGTGCCGCTTTCACCACTTTGCATTTGTTGATCAAAATCTGTGCTGCTTCAACGAACAGTACTTGTGGCGGTAATATACCGGTGGACTCGATGCTGACTGTTGTACGCCGCGTTGTTACGTGAGTAAAGGTTCAAGCGCGCCAAAGCATTCCATGGACTTACAGATGAAGTGATCACGAACACGAGTTAATCGCACTTTCTTTTCAAATTCAGCATGACGCAGCACCTCTCGGCTAACAGTATCTTTTCGCGGATTGACTACTTTAGCCTCTGGCTCCCCACTATCGTTCTGCTCGACCTCTACAACGCCTTTAGGGAAGCATTTTTGGAATTTGTAAGCTGAGTCCCCCGTTATGGGCTCTAGGATCTGAATGTCTGGCAGGAGACGGTATGAAGCCGTAGCTAGTGTTCCAAAGCAAAAGGGCAGGCAGCTTTAAGTATATATCCAAACCGACATGTGACAATTGCCGCTTACTGACCAACGGGCGACCACTTTGCATGTTCCTTTCCAATTCCCTTTTGACAGTGCAGCTCCATATCGATTTCCTACAAAATCATCAGCTCAGAACAAAATTGAGGCTAATGACAGGTCAAAAACAAACCTGTCCCGGCCGTAGCTTCGTAATCAAGATGTCATCTATAACCGGACGTATCGGATCATTTTTAAACTTCTCTGCCTGCTCTCCTTGCGGATCCCATTGTAAGTGAGAGGATAGCACTGATCATGACGTGGATATCACTCGTTATTACGATATCCCAGAGACCAAGTTCAAGTAATGACAAACGTTCTAACCACTTGAGTTTATGAATTTATCGCTGGGAAGTGCTGCCATCGGTGGTGCGTTGGGATTTTTGGAACATTGGATTTTCAGCTTCAGTACGACCGTATTGAGATCAGTCGGGGGATCGTCCGCTGAAATGGAGGCAGGACCTCGGTAAACAGTACAGTTGAAGCCGACCAATATGGCTACCCACCTCCTCGACGGAAATCGAATAACCGCGGATCAGCCTTAATGGGAATCAAACCCAATCGCTGTGCGAGGATCTCGTCGTGCATTATAGACGTGTTGTTCATGATGTAAACTTTCTCGATGGCCATCGTCGGTACCTTTATCGCCACCATAAGTCTAGGGAAACATTCTCCTTCCGCCTAATCATGCTTACTTCGCCAATCAAGATACGACGGAAAGCGTTTGCAATTGCGGCGTCTACGCCGATCATATCAAACTCCATGTCGTTCTTTCCAATGAAGCCTATAACTATCCGAAAGTTCTGGAACGCCATCAGCGACAAATTTTGATTATGAATAATCTACATGGTTTGAAATAATACCTCCTTGAATTTCGTTAGGTCCCAAGACAAATCCTCGTTCGGGAAAGTATGGGGGAAGTCCATTGAGGAAGGCTGTGCGGAAACTCTTTTTTTAAAACTCCACCAGAAAGCAGCAAGTTTCGAAGATAGCTTACATGGGCTACTCTATCCTTGTGCAGCACCACCCGAGTGCGCATCAGGTTGACAGCGTCCTGGTCATGCACAGCAGTCATGGCAGGAAATAATAAATAGAGATCAGTTGGAGGGCGAGCGGGAATGGAAAATGCCCAACTGTTCAACCAAAAACATTTCCAGCCTGGTTGGAGCCAGTGGCACAGTCGAGTCTGACTTTCACCGCTCTGTGCGAGTTTCTGCCCATCTGCCTTTTGGTTCTCGTTTCCCTTTGCTTCCACCATGTCGGCCGACGGACACGTACGTGATGCTTTGTCTGTTGGAGTGTGCCATTTTATTTACACTGTGGTTCTGGTGTTTGCAGCATCATCAGAAAAAGGTCAAGGCATCGGCGGAGGCTGTCGAGCGGCAGCGAGAGAAAAACCAAAAGAAGATTGCCGAGTACCGTGCCCTATGCGCACAAGTCCAACAGAAGGTAGCGCAGTCGGTCTCGTATTCTATCAGTGCATAACTTCGGCATTTGGGAACTTCGACAGCGCTAATATAAGTTGGATGGCGTAGCGTAACGACAAATCATATGACGACGAAACATTTCAGCTCACTACAAAACTACTTTCGATCAATCCGGAATATTACACAATGTGGAATCTTCGCCGCCAGATACTACTGGAGAAGTTCAAAATTGTGTAAGATGTAGGCGCATCTATACACGAATTACATTTTGGGAAACCAATATGCCCGCGTACAGGGGAGTCGAAAAGAAGGAAGCGCTGTGTTCATCCGAGTTGCGCTTTGCACAGGAAGGGCTCAAAGTTAATCCCAAGTCCTATTGGGTGTGGAATCATCGTCGGTGGATATTGGAGAATATGCCGAACCCTCCATGGGACCGAGAATTACGATTGCTGGAAGCAATGTTGGATCTAGATGCTAGAAACTGTAGGTCGCATGGTGAAGTGGATACGGGTTTTTCCGGAAAGCTAATGTACGCTTCCGAATCCTTCTCAGTTCACGGATGGAACTATCGACGTTACGTTGTGGCAAGGTCAAATAAACGAACACCTCAAGAAGAATTTGATTTTACGACAACCAAAATCAATCAGAACTTTTCAAATTATTCCGCCTGGCACCATCGTAGCAAGTTTTTGCCGCAAGCTTACATGGTGGAAGAGTTGACAAAGGTCATCGATGATGGTAATCTTGAGCTCCCCAGTCTGCAGCTATGCCTAAGGGGATATTGACCGCCAAATTGAAACAGAATTTGAACTTGTTCGGAACGCAATATATACGGAACCTGCTGATCAAAGTGCTTGGCTTTATCAGCGGTGGCTGCTGAGGTGAGCCCGGTATGTTACGCCATCAGTGATCATTTTTTAATGCCGACACTCTCCATGTAGTCTCAAAGCGGATGACGAGAAGAGGTGGAAAAATGAATTGCAATCAATCCAGGAACTGGTGGATTTGGAACCGGAGAGTCGATGTATGCTTCATTGTTGCTTTGCTATCATTGTCTCACGCCCCGAGTGGCTCACCTGATCATGTTGTGTAGGGGCTTTGATAACTCTGGTCCACATTATGGCGAAGCTACAGCTTCAAAAGGACGATGCATTGAAAATACTAGAAAAGCTTGAAGCCTTGGACCCATATCGGCGTGAATACTATGTGGATCTAGGTGAGTCTGGCAATGGTTTGAGGTCGATATGCGACATGAATGCTGACGAGCGTTGCCGATGAAGGGAAGCGAATCATGAATCCAACCAACCAACCACATGTGATTCAGGAGGGATCGCAATAGAATGTGCAAGCATCCGGTTCCATTCATAGGAGCTTCGGGTCCCCCCACGTTCCGAACGTGCTGCGGGCGAATGCGGTCGACATGGTCCCTTCATGGCTGCAACAACTCGATTGCAGGCGACATCCGCGCACTCTAGTCGTTTGCCCGTAATTGCCGAGGCGACGCTGCTGATTGGGCCTGCATGTTGGGCCACTCTAGCTCTTGCATTTCGGAGCCGTCTGTATGAAAGCGGGTGTGCGTGTTCATCGTGATCTCGGCAGAATATATATAGTTATGTATTAATGCAGCTCCGCCAATATCTAGTATTTTGTCTTCTGATAGCGGTAGCGCTACTTTGCCTAATATATCGATATCCATATGTAACCCCGCCCTCTCGCACCGGGTGCTACCGGTAGGTTGTTCGAGGTGACGACGAAACCGTCTTTTACTACTCCTAAGATGCCTGTTGCATTCCAGCCCCGACGCTGAAGCGGGAACGGTGGCTGGACTTATACTCCCACCCTTAGTTCTGGCAGCTTTGATTCTCCGCCTACCCGATGGAATCATGTTTGGTAGGGCAATTTACTCAACTCGAGTGCTCGTCATTATTTGTTTATCTCTTTGAATGGTAGCCTACCTATTACCGTTCCTCCGATTAAGCATATGGTTCAGCCTGCTTGAAGCTCTACCTATTCTTACCCAAGGATGGCGCAAACACTGGATTATGCTGTGGGCGATGGGATTCATTGTTCCGACTACGAGGCACAGTGCAGTCTATTATGGCGTTTTCGGTAAGGTCCCTCTGTCCATGCGATCGGTCACTGATGCTAATACATTGTTTACTTCTAGTCCAGCCATTTATGTTTCTTCTGGGCCTAGCGACGTTCAGAGGCACTTTGCATCTAGTTCTCACCCGATTTCGACGGAGCTTCACATTTGGAGAAGCGTTGGTGGTGACACAAACGTTGTCGCTGCTTTTCTTGGACGCTCTTGTTAGCACCTTGACCAAGGTGAAATCAAGCATCAACACATAAATACCTCCATCTCGACTAAAAGAATCTCTACCTCAGTTGCATCCGACGCGAGTACCACAGGAGATGAACATCGATCGTAGTGAAACCAATGTGTTCATGCATGCGCTGCTGTTCGGAATGCTATTGATTGGCGTCCTATTGGTTCCTTTGCTGAGAAAAATACGCGCCATCCGCTATCATGCAAGCCATCAGCAATTCGTTGCTCTTTCGATTGGATTTTATTGTGCCACCTTGGCGATCGTGCTTTTCTTGATAGCTCCGTGGACGCAGTTGTGTCTCGGAGCTGAACCTTTTACCTGGTCGGTGTCAGACGGCAAAGAGGGTGGCAACGTGGATAACTCATTAAATGCCTTCCATCACTTAGGGTGGTATACTTTATACTCACTCCTGGCGCATATCGTCTAGGCCTAATTGGTTATTGGGCACTGATTATCGCTATTGGGGTAACGGTGGCATATCAACACTTCCCAACGAGCACCTCGGATCTCGCGGTGTTAAACCTCAAACGAAAATACTTCCATGTGCTCGCTACTCTTATGTTTATTCCGGGATATATATTGGATGTACGTCTCGTTTTATGAGCTTGGGCGTCGGTCGTATTTAAACCGACACGACCTCTCCAGCCAGATTTCATGCATTTAGCATTTTCAGTTGCATTAAGCGCCCTCATTCTGTTGGAATATGTGCGACACTATCAAGTCTGGCCCATTGGGAAAGAGGTCAACGAATTTCTGAGTCATTTTCTGGACAAGAGAGATCGCGGTCCGGTCATTTTGTCGCACTTATATCTGCTCATTGGGTGTGCTCTCCCTGTATGGTTGAACAGGTGACATTCATATTGTCGGTCGCAGGCGCTAATCCACTCAAAGTCAATACTGACGTGTATGCTCCATTTCTAGAATACCCCAGGGACATAATTTGGCGGCCGTGAGCGGCATTTTGACTCTCGGCATTGGAGATACAATGGTGAGAATGGAAAGCCTCATCAGTTTTCCTTCAATAGCAACAGGTTTTTGACATGGCTAATGTCCCATTTTGTGCCGTTCCTAGGCTTCTATACACGGCAAGCGTTTTGGTCGCATTCGATGGCCGGGGACATCAAAGTCTGTCGAAGGCACAATGGCTTTTGCAATCACTGTCACCGTTACCTGCTGTCTGTTGGCCGGTATAGGTGGCGTGATAGTGGAGGGAGCCAAGCAGGTAAGTAATCGGACCCATCGAGCTGCAACAGATCCTACTCCTAATGATTCTCTTATACAGTGGTTGTCGGTGCTACTATGCATCCTGTTAAGCAGTAAGTTCTTCGCATGCCGGCTCAATAGCTTCTTTTTTCCAAATGTGTAACCATGTTTTGCATTCTTGCAGGCTTCCTGGAGGCTTTCTCTGATCAGAATGATAATCTTATCATTCCGCTATATAGTTTTGCATTACTTCATTTGTTTGTCTAACTTGCTTTAGTGTGGGGGTATTAAATATTTTTATTATGCGATAATGTTAAATTATTCAATTCACAACCATGTGCGATGTGTGTCTTGTGTTCAAGTGCAGGTCGCACGTTCGTGTCACGAACCAGCTATCTGTGCTGGCTGTTCGGATGGCTTTCGTCCAGCGAATTACTTAAAGCGTCGATGACTGAAGATCTTGAACTATAGCATTTGTCACCGCAGCATCCGTGAGGTTGGCCACTGGCTGCGTGGTGACGTCCAGTTGACTAAAACGTCGTAACAAATATGCAGGACCGTCATACGTAGATTTCTGGTGCTCTGGCACGTCCTCCATCACTCTTACGTCTACTGGCGGCGGGTGACAACGTATAATGATCGTCGGGAATTCGATGACAGTTTTGCCTCTCAATGCATCTCGAAGAGTGTCCTTTGGATTTATTGATAAGTAAATGGTTTGGTTGGCCTATGTCACATGGCATTAACAACCCGATCATGGCATGCGCGAATGAAAGGTATGCCTACAGGTACGTCGACCATCTTCATGTAGAAGAGCAAATTCTTCAATCCACGCTCGCAATACGGCTGTATTTGGTATCTTGTGACGGCGTTTCCTTCCTGCCCTTCAACATGTTTTGCGACAAGATCTTCCACCGTGTCGGTGTCCTTTACCCTAAAATGCACATTTTCAGAACAAGAATCCATAAGTTCCGGGTGATGTGATGACTTCTTATACCTATGATCCACGATTGTGACTTTACTCTCCTGAAAGTCCCATTCCACCGTCCAGGAAGTGAACTCACGTCTGAGACAAGGATTTGACAGGTAAGCCTTGTTCGCGTTCGATGTTGCATTACAAACAATGCCTCAAATATTGATTTTACTTCTGTATGTATATCGACTGATTTTGGTCATGTCTCTTCATTCCAGCGGGCATGAATTTTATCCGTATTCCTCGGCTTTTGCACTGCTTCGCCAAAACTCGTTGTCGCACGTTATGCGACTTGGAAGCGGAATGTAAGCGATCATTGTCCCGAGTAGCATTGTCTGCGGTACGATAAATATCTTCCAGAAAGGTGTAGTCTTCAAAGGATGACGATAAACGAATAGTTCACAACGCATTTAACGATATTACAATTGCCACGCACCACTCGTCATGTCATTCGCCGTATAGTCGGCAACTTTGATGAATTGAGTCTTATCCCGTTGCCCAGTACAGCCGCTTTGATCCTTGTGCGATCTGGAGCAAGCCAAGGAACAGGTTCGGCAGAGACAACCGGGACATTTATACTGAAGAAGGAAAAATGTTCAAAATAAGCGTCATTTTTACATTTCTTGACATTTTTGTTCCGAACCTTGTATGGATGAGCTTGACATACTTCGCAGAGAGAACTGGCTGTGCGTGCTGTAGGAGATGGCTCTTCCTGGTCATCAGACATGGTTATTGCCATATCACTGAGTTAGTTGACGTTCTGCTCAACTCATCCTGAGCACGTGACTAGTTCTTATTGCCATAGCAACTCGCATGCTCGCCTGACAAAGCGATCAGCAGCTGGGCTTCTTCCCCATCGACCTGCACCGGCATTCCCCCAATATTAGCGTGCCATTTACAGTTTGCGCCGCTGAAACGTCTTGCACTGGCTTCCTCTAAGAAGCGTCGAGCACTTTTCTAGGAGATTTTGAAGATCAAGTACCATGTTCAACTCGCCTTATCCACAAGGGAAGGGCGCGATGTCGTTCCGTGGTCAGACCCCTTTTGACGGTGAACGGGTGCACTCTCCAGCTTATTTCACCCCGGGGGAGAACTTCTCCTCACCGCGGCGCACACAGAGCCCTTCGAATGGGCACGCTGGGTCTATGTATGGGAGATCGCAGCAAGGATCGCAACATCAATATCAGCACAACAATCATGGAAACTTGTACGAGAACTTTCATGAGCAGAATGGGTCTCCGCCGCATCAGTCGGGAATGTATAGCCATTATGAATCACCATATCAACAGCCAAACTCGCACGATGAGCACGAGCTTGCACAGCACCAACCTGGCATGTATGCCGAACAGCAGCAGAGACACCAGCCTTCACAGGACGAGGGTCCCAAGTATGTACCATCATTTCTTACAGAAGCACTCTTGGGAAGCCCCAAAAAACGTCCCTCGCCAAGACTATATCAGGGGCTTCGAGATCGGAGGCGATCGTCGTCAGGAGCAGATGATTCAAGTAATGTGAGCACATCACCTAGACAGGAAGACGATTATATACCGAGAATGTCGCTATTTGTGGACGGCGCACGTTGCTACGGGCTTCCGTACACAGGATATGAGGATGCAGATGTCCACTCTGAGCCCACCTCCTGGGCCGAAAATAGCGTGGGCAGTAAAGGAGCGCGAACAAACTATACCCAAAGAGGACGTGACACAAGTGTTTCCCGATCGCTGCATGAGGAGGGAACGATGCTACCGGACACGCCAATGGATATGTCCCCACTGTCGGTCGGGTCGAGGAGCAGCGTGGCGCCAGATACCCCGACGCCCAATCCCCTTGGCAATACGGTAACCGTATTGGGGAGCCGCGATGTAGATCTATTATTACAGGAGTTTAGCAACCTTGGACGCATTATTAGCCACAAGAAGGGTAGAAACTGGATCGTCATTCGATATGCGGATCACAGTGCGGTGCGTGCGGCTCTCCGTCATGACAACACGTTATGGAACGACGAGGTCCTAGCAGTAAAATCTGGCGATACTGTCAATGCGTATGGGAGCGGCATCCGTTCTGCGGCACCAAGCCTGTCATCACCCATTGCGATTCCCGGGGCATTTGATTGGGCCACGTCCCCTGATGACGGTTCAGCCAATCCACCTTCCGAACCTGCTGCGGTACGGACAGAAGAAAACGGTCTGGCCAGTACTGTCAGCAATGATTTTGAGGACAAAAGCAATGGCGTCGCTCCAGGCGCAGAAGAGAAATATGCATCACCAGCTCCCCGTAAGGACGATATACTGCCTGTCACACCGCCAAAGTACGAATCGTGGCCTCCTGTCTACGATAATGCGCATGGAAATCGGATCAAGCCCGGCTATTTTTCGGATGGAGTTTTAGGATATGTTTATGACTTTCTGTTCGGATCCTAGTATTTGACGAGCGGCCATGCTGACTGTATATATCTAACTTACCACGCACCCAGCCCATCTCTACACTTAAAAATGTATACTGCCTGATAAACCTGGGTTTCTATCGGACTGAATCCTGATGTAATTCTATATTTGCTGCGGTCTTTCGTCGTTCTTCTTCTTCCATTTTCGCCTCCAGTATCGCCTTCTCTGCTTTGCGCCGATTTCTCGCCTCAAAGCTAATAAGAAAGAGTCATTACCTAGTTAGTGTATATGATAGCCCCGCAAAAGCCAATGGGAACCCACATTTTTCTGTGCTCGATAATCCTGTTCACAATAGAATCCGTGGTCAAGCCGACCTTTGGTGACTCAATTTGCACAAAGATACCAAGCTCTTTCGGTAGCTTCAGGGGCAGATTCATATGAGCAAACTTAACGAAACATCATATGCACGAACTCTTTCTTACACGGTAAGGGTCGCTACCATCAACGTCCAGATCAATGGCACTGCTACCATGCACAACAACTCCCACATTGTACACCTTTTCAAGAACATCCTTGGTTACACTATACGGGGCACCGATAATCACTTCGTCGACATACTAGTGAGAATAAATGCTGAGTAAACGAAATAAAACTGTAAGATGGAACAAATCGCATAAACTTACTCGGCAAGCCAAGACACTCAAAACTCGCTCGTGCAAGTTCATGATAGGGTAGTTTGAACCCTTAACAGCATGGACCGACCGATCATCATGTACCCCCACAAGGAGATAATCACCGAGCTCTTTGGCCTTTTTGAGGAACTCAATATGGCCTACATGGAACAGGTCAAATCCACCATCGACGTACACGACCTTGTCGCCTGGCTTCGGCTCTCGTCCTTCAGAAAACTGAACTATACGCCTAGTGGTTGGTAGAAAATGCGAGATGGCGGTAGTGGGTTGTGACTGTGATGAGCCCTACAGACGTACCATTGTAAGCGCATGACTCTAACGACGCATTCCATGGATTTACTATGCGAAACGCGTGCTTACCGCACTAAAGTTATCCAGATTTTCGGCATTACTATCAGCCCCAATAGACGGCCTCCTCCGTAAATGCTCCGTCGACATCAAAAGCATACGTCCAACAAGTTCTGTCGTTGACACCCCTTGGGTACGTTTGCATTCCTTATACCGGCCAGCGTCCTTCACCGCCTGATAACAGTCTGTCCCATCGGCCAAAGTCGTGATATCATCACCATGCACACAAAAATCGCATTCGTACTTGTCCAGCATGTCCACGTTGGTGAAGTATGGCGCATCCTTCACAACTTCGTCAACCCATTTGCATGCCGCCACCGCCGCGTATCTTTCGTCCTCCTTCATAACCGTAGGCCCCTTATGCTTTTCAATTTCCGCATCGGAGTGCACTCCTACCACTAGGTAGTCCCCAAACGCTTTTGCCTGTCTCAGAGCATTCGCATGCCCGTAATGCATCATGTCAAAGCATCCGTCTATGAAACACCGTAAGAGGATGGAATACCAACATTTTGCATAGAATAGACAGTGCACTTACCAACCCAAATACGTACGGGCTTTCTTTCCCCATTGCCGACGTCACGTTCGTTTGCCATTGTGCAATGAACAGGCAGGGATCTGGACGTCAAACTCAATTGACAGCTTGTTTGGCCGCACTTTCCAAACTTTGGGGTTGGATCACGTGCCTGATCTGATTACTTAAGTCTCGTCGTCCATAAAACAATTGTTTATTTTCTTTATTTTCAGTCTATCATTAATCTTTTCCGCAGTATCTCGCACATAATTCGCTTCCTGAAATATGGCATATGGGTACCATCAAAATCGAATGCCCTTTCACGCGCTGTGTATTCCATAAAAAGGCAGGTGAAAACACCACAGTCGTTGCCATTTAATTGCACCGGCACATTCTTTGGTCAGAAAGCAGGATTAGCGCGCTGTCCTAGTGTGCTGAACCGAGCGCCGGGCGGTGTACCTTAGGAACATGTTCGGTCCATTCGCTGAGATCCACAGTTGTTTTCTTCTTGTCCTTTGACTCCTGCTCCAAGTAATGTCTCAAGTTCTACATGTAATGAATAATTATATTTTACAGCACTTCTCAAATCATGCATCCCTCACCTTGAAGATGGACGAGTGTCCTCCATGCAACGAGTCGTAATATTCTAGGCGTTTTCGCTTAAAGTTGATCACGGCACAAGTCCAATGGTTGCCCAAGTGCACGGGCATGATGACATAATCCAGTGCAAAGATATCAAACTGCCCGACGATGAGCACATGTTGAAAGGTAGGGTTTTGCCGCTAGAATGATTACCTTCCGTGTCCATTTGCGCACCAGTCCATAATTTTGCGTCAGATACTTGTAGAAAAACGTGTTGAAGCAGTGTAGCTTAGGATATCGCGCCAGATCTTCCTTTGCCCGCGTCATGATCAGCTGGCCGTAGAAATTTATAACCTAGGAACAGAATCAGTCTTGCCGCACTGTCGATCCGATTCATCATGAAACCATAGTACCAACCTCATCATTGAGCCAATTCCCGTCCAGCAACGTCCGAATATCCGTTTTTGTCATATCAACATTAAAACCGGACACCACAACGGCAGTACCAGGTCCAGGGGCGAGAGCGCTTTCGATCTAAGAGAACATCAGCACTCAATGATTTCCAAAGAGCACAGAATAACTCTACCTGCATTTCTTGCTCCACAGAGAGAGCAGCAAACGGCTTTGTTCTTCTTGGGAACGCCTGGATTATAGCGGTCAGACCAAGAGTAGTACAATTGCCACCCATCGCATCACTAACCTCATCCCATTCATCTTCTGCAAAGTCCTTGAATTCCTGCAACTGCAGACACAGCCAAAGGTATACGGGTGAATTAGAAGCTCGTCCAGCTTTGAAGTCAGAAAGGACTCACATCTCGCTCAATCTGATTACGTTTGGACACGAGATCGGCATAGACGGGAGTCTCAGGTTTCGTTTCCAGCAATATTCCACTTCTACATACCAGTATCAAGTCATGTTAGAATATGCTCAAGGATCACTTGCGAGGACTGTAATACCGACAATCGTAAAGCTTCCTTAGCACGCTCGGTTAATGCTTTTAACATACGATCTTTGCCAACACGTGGTCCCTGGGAGCCGTTTCGAACCCTAAAAGACAGTCATCAAAACAACCTGCTCTCGTGAGGGGATGCGACTGAGCGGCTTACCTGATCCGCTTGGCAAAGTTGCGTGAACCTTAAACAACCACGATCGCGTAAAATGAGTCTCATATGTGAGCGTCTACTAAACACCGAGATTAAACTGACCATTTTCACAGGTATCTGGCTTAATGGTAGCACCTAAAGTTGAACGTCAGTACAATTTAACCCGGACCACCTTGTGGGGATGTCAACCGTACCAATGATTCTTGCATAGTGTTGGGGCATAGTGCTTTTGATCAGCTTCAAATGGGCGGCAGCATGGCGCGCTTTACGCTATCCGACATATATGTGAGTGATAGCTGCGATTTTCACAGTATCACGACCGTCGGGTACCTGGGAGCGAACCGCCGACCACAAGCGACTTTCCACGGTATCACGACCGTCAGGTGCCTTTCCAGTCTCTGCAAATACATTAGGTGCCGTGGCTAACGAACAGACGGCATCAAGACTACTTGGTGTTTTTACGGGACTGAAGGTATATTTTTCCCGTCGAACCGCCGACCACAAGCAACCCACATGGTCGCCCCCTCCCAACAGACCAAAGGTCCAGGAACGTGAAGAGCTGTCAGCTCCCCTACTGAAACTCTTTTCACCTCGAGTACCTCCAAAGGTACACCAAGATCTTATGCTAAATTTCGATGGGGGTAGCACGTCGCCGTCAACGTCTGAGTCCCGGCTCCGCTTCGCCCCCATGCGTGAGACGAGTTATACGAACAGGTGGATTTCCGAGAGCAATGCGCTGGAATATGATGCAACCTGGTAATCTGACAACAACGTTGTATCAGTCAAGAGCTACAAGATGCAAGAAGAAGATCGCCAAAAAGTCTAGGACGAGGTATTCGAGGTCCGTCCAGCAAACGTTATCCAAAACCCGTGACTCGTGACATTTCGCGCTTCGTTCAGTTCCACCCTGTAGGGCCCTTTTTCTTTCAACCATTTTGCACTGATTGAAGACGAGGATGCTGTAAGAACAATCGGAAACAATGGCTGAACATTCTTTTGTTAGCCCAGTGCTGTATTGATACCGGGCGAGCTCTGGGAGTCGTCACAACCAACACGTACGGAAAGACGCACAGAACCAATTGGTCGCGGCTCACTGAGACGGCTTTTCCCTAATGTCACAACAATTGATATGGTGCAATCGACCACGTTTGGTCGGCGCGCTGTGGAAAGGAACTCGCAACGAATCGAGGAATGTATAAAAGGATTTCATTTACAGCGTTTGCCCGCGGCACTTGTCCCTTATCCCAGGTTCAGCGTGCTCCTAGTTTATTGAGACCGAATGATCACCTTGGCCATCTATAGAGTATCAGGAACACCATATCTGTGCATGGCGTGCAGTTTCTGCATAATTATGAGTCTCGCTAGCTGAAATTGAGACCAAGAGTATGTTTCTTCCTATTTTATTGATTCCCACGAGCACTGCTATCTCTTGGAAGATTGAGAAATCAAATGAAAAAAAAAAAAACAAATAAAAATCAAGCGTCCGTGGCAGGAGGTTGCTCAGGCTCCGGAGTGGGAATCTCTAAAGCACCATATTTGTTATCTCAAGAATGATATCAACCAAGCGTAACATGCATACCTGGAGGAATCTGTTCAGGAGCCCAAACCTGCCCATGTGGTGGGGCTGGGATCATCATTGGCTGCTGGAAATGCGGTATCATTTCGGGAGGATATCCGGGCATCATCGGCGCTAGCCAAGAAGAAAAACGGTCATCACGATTTTGAACACGTAATAATCCATCGGCTTCATTCATTCCTCACCAGTTTGGTATATCGGTGGTGGGCTGCCCATGAATGCAGCAGGTACTGGTGATGATGCGACCGGGCGCGATTGGTAGCCGTCCGGTCGAAAGTGCCCACCTAAGAGGTGATCAATCATTGTACTGTGACCGGATGGCTTTCAGGAGTAACACGTACCATTTTCGTCACCGACGAAATTCCCTGGCTGTCCTTTTTGGTACATTCTCATGTTAGCGTTGGGGGGCGGAGGCACAAATTGTGGAGGATAAACCGGGGCGTGTGGTACAGGAGCGACAAAGCCGGGCGGAAACTGCCCTTGAGGAACCTAGAAGGCATTTTCAGCTGGGAAGACAAGATTTCGCTTCCTCACATAACGGAAATACATACCGGCATTATAAAAGTAGCCCCAGGAGGCATGCTCATACCTGGCATGCCTGGAACAAAAGGCCTGCCAATCATTGGCTTTGATTGCGTTGGGTCAATGAGAACATCATGTCTAAACAATGACAGGAAATGGTCCTTACCCGATACTGATAAGGTGGAACTGGGTATGGGAAGTATTGTTGAGGTTCCACCCCTTGTGGGTACATTTCTTCTCCATACTGAGGAACTGTGTTCACATGGCTAAAGTGAGGACATCGAATTACTCTGGACAACAAAGACTAGCTTACCATAATGCCCAGGCTTCGGCGAGCCATTGTTTTTCTGGAAACCCTTTCCGTATTGTTGCTTTCCTTGGTAACTGCCTTGATTCTTTCCAGTGCGCTTACCGCCAAAATAGGGCGACTGAATAGGGATTAGTCACATCACGACCCTGCCACGAGACAGCAGCGACATACCTTCTCTCCATGTTGAGGTGACTTATGCTGGGTCACCGGGGTGGCGGCCGCGGGAGCGGAAGATGGGGTAAACTCGAGGGCTGCCACGTTGAACTTGAATTCACTCTTTGTAGTAGCAGGAGGGGGAGCCGTATCTGATCCAGATTCCAGTTTTGTGGGTGCGACATTATCTTTTCCATCTTCTGATGCTGCCTTAAGGGTTGAGCCTCTCTCCGTTTCAGCTGATGCAGGTGACGTGCCGCGTCCGGACGATTGCGTGCGGGTTGCATCGTCTTTCGTGGTAACTGCTTTATTTTCCATTTTGCTGGGTCGAGAATCTGTATCCTCCTTTGAGGTCTCCAATTTAGCTTGAGGAAGTTTGGGGGATTCCTTCTCTCCGCTCTTGTGCAGAATCTCTTGTAAGTCTTCCGGCATTGGGGTCTTCAGCTGCATTCCGAATCAAGGCATCTTCAGTGCTCTGCATATTTTCCACCAGTCTCTATTGGTAATACCTTGAAAGATTTACTGAATGTTTTGAATTCTTCAACAATTTGATCCTTTTCTTGCTTCATTAACACTTGCTTCCGCTGCATCAGCATTTCCTTCTCACCAACAGCGAAGTCCTTGAAAAGTTTGGCAATGTGGGCGGCTAAATATCCACAATCACAATGAACACAATCAGACCCTCATTATGTTTAGAAGCCTTTGGTTAACACTTGTTCATCATACCTTCGACGGGATTGGGAGGCATTTCGGGTAAATCCGCATTTCCTGCCCCCTTCTAAGAATTGTAATCATCCTGGCTTTAGCAATTATAGTGGTAATTCTCCTTCCCGCGCAAATCTCACCTTCTGCGCCAGTTTCGTAAGCGCCGCAGCGCTTGCCCCATGCTTTCTGAGCGGTGACTGTCGTTGCTCAGTACTTTCCGACAACATCGCTTCCTTTTGCTGTTGTTTTCCAGCATTCTTATTTGCGTCCTGTTGAGATATTTTTGCCGGTATTGTGGATATCTCCTTGGCGACAGGTTCCCTTTTCTTCACATCCTTTGTGGAGGACGTCTCTCGCGTTGTTACACTGGAGGATGCTTCATTACGCTTTCCTTCCTTTGGCTGCTCAGCCTTCCCAGTGCTTGCCGCAGCCTTGCGTGCTCCAGGAGGAATGTATTTGCCAGGCTGCCGAATGACGGACGAATACCTGGCGTACGTCCGGTAAGTCATTAGTAAGAAAATATGAACATATCAGCGATCGTATAAAAATTGTACCTTTCCTCCTCATCGACATTTGCCGTGCTTATATCTAAACCACGTTCCTCGGCAATATGAGGGTTATTGACGGGGCCCTGCGGTGAAAAATTGTAAGTTTGCGGTGATATGAACCATACTGAAAGTAGCTGTCGTGCTTACCCTTTCGATTTCTCGTGCCAATCGAATCGCCTCAGCCTCGCGGCGCTTAAAATTGGGATCAGACTTATCTACAGTCGTGGTGTACAGATGCTCATCAAAGTCCGTTGTGACGCCGAAAAGCTTCTCGTTTGTGGCAAACTGATCCCACTCGCCAGCATGGCCAACTTCATCTTCAAGTCCGATGGCTGCGTCCGCCCCAGTATCCGGAGCCCACTTCTGAAGATGTCTCTCCCTGACAAGCCCCGAATGTCCACTGATCGTCGTATCGGTTTGGACTGTCAACAATAGGGAGTCAACTTCATGGAACCCGATCCAGACAGCAATCAAAAGTACCTTCTCGCTCTCCGGAAGCTTTCTGAGTAATCGACAGATCCAACGGGCGGGCACTGATACTACACACGTCTTTAGGCATAATGATCAGGTTTTTTATGGTGACGCCCTCGGAGCCATCGGACGTTTTTTTGATTGCCATCTTGAGTAGGACTCCCAAATCCTTACTCGTGGGCGATGCGCTATAAATGCCTTCGTATACTGTGCCATTGCGGACCTTGACCTCGACTTTCGTGCCCTGCAGTGGAAGAGGGTTAGCGCATCTTGACCTGTGCTGTCTCATGTATTGTTGCATACAATCATGTTCGCGAGGATGAACAAAAGTCTGGCATGTTGAATTTCAGCAGATGACTCGGACACCGTGTTGTCCTTTGGGAGTGGACGGTCGCGCGATGCTTGGGCGTGGCCCATCTGCCCAGATGGAGGTCCCCATTTGCTCTTGCCGCCCCTACTCGATGCCGAATACCAACTATGCTGTCAGCTATGATTTCCAAGTTGACTTTGTTTTAAGACCTTGTCGCAGTAACTTGCCTGCTATACTGCTGCTGTGAACCTCCGTGATGTACATCCGCGAATTCACGGCTGCCGTGGAAATCTTTACGAGTCCCTCCACCCCTGGGTCTTCCCCCGCTTCCTCCGCCAGCCCCCGTAGAGGCTTTCCTGTTCATATTGAAGACGCTTGAGGAGAGCAGGATTGCAAACAGGTAAAGAAAGTTTCAACCAGGGATGCTGTTGTTGGAGACGTGTTAACAAACACTGACAATTTGCCTCCAATTCAAGCTTGCACCTGTGGAAGAGAGGAAAAGATCCAGAGAATCGTGTGCAAACAAGGACGTGTAAAGGCGAGTGGGATTGTCACGAAATCAGCTCCAAGGCGCGGGGATGAAACAACAAAGCTTCACAAATGGGTAATGTAGGAATGGGGGTGGTGAGTCTCACAGCGTAACTGTTTGGGCGATCACTAGGGCACGTGTCACGACCTGAAGGATTGGCCTTGACTTTTCGCCTGCTTTCCTTTTTAGATTGCAATGCCGATTATTGGAATTGGAGTGGACACTTGCCATCTACCACACCTGCACTCGCTCCTAACGCGGCATTCTCCCTGGCGGCTAGTTCGCCGTATCTTTACAGTTCGAGAACGAGAATTATTTGAGCAGAACTTTGGCGCACTCGATTTACACAAACCCTTGTCGAAATATCCTAACCCTGAAGGGGGCCCACATTGGAACCGTATACCGCCCCCACAAAGAAGGCTCCTGTCATATTTGGGTGGCAGGTGAGCAAAGAGATGTCGTTTACACAAAAGTGTTCCTCTGACCTTTAAACACTCTCGTAGATGGGCGGCAAAAGAGGCCGCGTTCAAAGCCCTGTATCCTACTTATCACTTGCAATTCCGTGATGTTTCTATTCTTAAAGAACAAGGTTCGCATATCGATAACGTGTCTGTTGATGACACTCTGCATCGCTGATATAACTCAAATTCCGGCTTCAATTATGTAGGAGCGAAGCCCTGTATTGTCCTTTCTCCGGACATTGTAGAGGCTGCCAATGTATCGGCTAGCCATGTATCATTATCGCACGACGGCGAGATTGCTATGGCATATGTAGTATTTGAACGATCTTGCGATGAGCAAACCTGTGCCAAGCTCACGAAGCAATGAGCGCGTGCGCAACAAACGACACTCTCGCGCCATATCAAGGCTGCCAATACAAGTCCACAGTCCAGCAAAGCCTATGAGCCCATTTTGCACGGCACGGTCAAGTAATCTCATTGGCTACCGGTTCGCAGCTAAGGGACAACACCTTCGACCTGGAAACAGTAAATAATGGATCCTCTGGGAGTAAGCGCCTAGCCAACGAGCATATTTTAGAGCTTAAAGAACTCTGCGGGGCGATCTCGTTATGGGTCGTTGTGACTCGACGGACAGCCGATAGTGGATGCCTTGGAGCCCGGGGAAATGGCTTGCCATTATCGACACGCCATGCTCTAGTCTCCTTGGTTGAATAGAGACCAAGACTGCTTGCTGCACAGCATAAATGAAATCTTTCAACTAGCAGCTTTTGACCTATGGCGAGGTCCATCGCCGATTTCACGACGCTGCCCTACGTGGCTGCAATACCTAATATGACGGGTGTGAGTAATCGGCTGTTCTGTCATACTAGGAAATTGGACAACGACCCGGATTGGCGTCACCTTTTCCTGCAGACATCCATCTGTCTAGACATCGTATGCATCACAGGAAATAAGAACTAAAATGTAGATATATATGTATCATGTAAATTACATCCGGTGGTTGTGTATATTTGCAATACGATAAATGGCAAGCTTACAGCTAACTCCATTGATATCCAAGTTTCATCTGTCAAATGCTCGCGACAGACACTCATTCTGTCCCCAGCTCATTTGCGAGCGACGCAAGTCTTCACCATCCGTATTTACTCCATATGACAAGGATCGCCTTCCATATTACAATGATCCCAGTAAGCAGTATCGGCGGAGTAGATACGTTTCTCCACCCAAAGGTGCTACCCAAGAGAAACATCACCACAGTCAGTGCCAGCACAAATGCCAAGTTGCGCCACACCGCGAAACATCTGAGCCATTCGAAGCTGGGCAAATCCGGAAGCCCAGGATTCCTTCGTCGCAGAATAGCGTACTAAATTATAATGTCAGTTGAGTCGGTCATGCAGGCAGCAAACACCCTACTTTTGCAGATAATGCTAACCTGCTCATCAAGGTAATGCGCCAACGAGGTCCAGAACCATACCAACAGGGAGCTCTCGTATGTTTTCACCATTTTGCCTACACTGGCATCGGCAAAAATGGGAATATTATCCTTGCTACTCATACGAAGGCCTGCTTTCAACTATTCTCGGGGCAAAGGGTGTGATTAATACTTTATGAAAACATATAAGCAGGAACATGCTTGCACCTGGTCTCGGCCTCTACTCGTCAAAACTACAACTCCGTCGCTCCGAACCCTTTCTTCCGGTGCCAGTACGCCAGGTGCCACGCTCTTGAACACCACTTCCTCATGGCCAAGAAGCTCCTGGTCAGAGGCGGACGTGCGACGCGACGAGGGTGGTGATGCACCAAGTGTGCCTTGGCCAGTTGTCTTCCTGACAGGTTCAGGCACTTGTAGCTGTCCACTCCAAATTGCCACCGCTGCGTTGATCGTCGTCTCTAACCGAGTAATGTTTTTCCGTGCCGTCTCCTGATTTGCAGTTGTGATATTCTGCCGTGGTCTTAGTCGATCGTCTTCTCGGGGAAGGAATACGGACATATCGAGCCAGCCACTGGCTGTTCGGCCAGTACTGGGCCCTGCAGCTTTGTCTCCTTCCAGGTATATCTTCAGTCGTTCTCTACTATCAACGAGATTCCTAAGGAGTCCCGTCGCCTGCAGTCAACGCGTCAAAAAAGCGCACCACAACAAAAGTCTTATCACAATACTCACACTTTCCATCCCTAGATCTTTTTGTTCCGTACTGCGAGCCGGTTGGCCCCGGTCTGGGATGAATACTGGATAATCGTACTTTTCACCGATCTGCAGCATTTTTGACCGAAAATCGTACATTCTACTCAACGAGCCGTGGCTCGCATTGGAGTGCGGCTCATTCGGATCCGAATTACCCCCTGATCTATTAGATCGCAGTCTTAGATCTGATTCGTCCAACGAAAATATGGATGCCTCAATCGCACGAAGAGATTGAATCAACATGTCATCATTGAAAGCTGCGAACACCTTCTCGACCGCATTCAAATAGTTCTTGTTGAAGGTTTTCGTTCCAGCAACAGAGCTCACAGGCCGCACCGAAGAGTATACATCAAAACTCTTTGCGCGGTTCAGGAACCGTCCGAAAAGGACGGTGTAAAACATGAAGTTGTCTTGAATGAAAGGTGCCCTGACGAATTGTCACACAGTCAACAGGGAGCAAGCAAGACTTATAAACCAAACCAGGTCTCACCAGTTGCTCGAGTACTTTGCATCTGGAGACGATCGTTTCCAGGGTGTCACATACGTTAACCAGACATCAATAATCTTTCATGGTAAGGGATCAGTAAATTTCACACTCGAAAATTATCGGATGCCATTACCATTGAGATACTGTCATCTCGAGGCCAGTAATCAAAAGCCAATCGCAAGAACCAGTAAAAATTAGGCTGAAAGATTTGATATGCCCGCCTGTTTCAAAGCAGGATCAGTATGAAAAATCGGCTCAAACTGCATGGGATGGCATCTACATACACCCTCGCCGTAAGTAGTTCAGAAGACAGGTAATCCTGGTCACTGTCAGAGGTGCCTCGAAAGATTCGATAGAAGTCGGCCGACACAATCTGATTGATGAGCTGATCTATGCACACCATTTGGGTTTCGGTGGGCTTTACATAATTTCTAGTCTGGTTCCCAGGGACGAACGGTTAGGGGTCACAGGTTTCTGTTCACAAACGCAAAATAGAGAGTCTCACCGGCTGACCCAATTGGACTGGGCTAGAGAGGACGCCTGCGTCGTTCTGACACAACCAGAGTTCAACAAAAGCTCCAATCACGAACTCGGAGGCGAGACGCTTCTGCGACAAATCCAGCTCCCTATTCCATACGATATCAATGAACTTGGGTCTAATGGACTCTGATTACCAAATGGGCCTGCGTACCGAATGGTAAAGATGCTCAGATTATCATTCTCGCGCGATACTATTCGTGGGCTCCCTATTTGGCCTGGCTTTTCGTCGGTCTTCCAAAGATGCTCAACAGTGTGAACAGCGCGCGTAAAACTATCGCGCAGCTGATTTAACTCCCGTCCCATCTCTCCCAGTGGAGGGCGACCCATCGGTGCATTTCCCCGAGTATCCTGTCTTTTTCGCAGTCCAGACGCATCTGATAGTCCAGAATATCCATTGTATTCCTCTCCATTACTGGAGAGCGGCAAGAAGAAGTCCAGATACGCTTGAACTAGGTCAAAGAAAACAGGATTTAAGGACGATGAGGGCCTGTGTCCAGGTGAATCGACCTTCGCATCCCTCTGCCAGTGACCAGCAACAGCTTTAGGTAAATGAATGGCGGATAGGAGTCCGTGAGTGGGGGTGTTCGGTTGGTGTTTGGCGTGGTCGTAGGAGGATAGAGAGGCGGATTTCTGCGTCGCACATAAACTGAACATTTCGGTTAATAGTTGGCCACATGAAGTTATTCAGCAGAAGGAACTTGACTCACGCGAATGAAAAGATGTAGTACTCGAACATATCTGACGTGTATAATGAGACCAGAGCAGCTGGTGGTCATCATGATCGACAAACCGGAAACTTACTGAACACTATCTCAACTTTACTTGACTGTCCACCTTTTCTTGGGGACCCTACTGTAGGGCTTAAATTGCGTTGTTGAAGGAAGGGCTGCTGTCGCTGCTGTTCCAAACGAAAGTGGTTTTTATATATTGCTGGCAGCTGAGACCAGTCGGAGTTGCTGATAAGCCGACGGGAGGGGGCCTGGATTAATATAAATTATCAGCTGTACATTGATAGGTATTCTTGCGTCAAGCCAGGCTACCGGAAGCTGATCGAATTTTATCTCGTAAATCAGATCTCTCTGGTTAAGTTTGAGTAACGTGCGGAGAAATATGCCACTGGGATGTAAAAAGTGTAGAAAGTCCAAGCGCTCTTTTTCAGGTCGAGGGCGTAGGATATAACATGCTTCGGTGCCTCCTCCTGAAAACAGTTTCGCCGTGATTCTTGAGAGAAAGCGATGCAATGGCTTTGCACGTGTTGAGTCTGGATTGTCTTTCAGCCAAGCTTCGACCCCCTTAACAGCGACAAAAAAAGAGGGCAGGTCCGTGGCAGCGACTAATCGTGCAAGGGGATGATTTGGAGTGGCTTCCATTGTCGGCACGATGGTCGGAAGGAGTCCGCGAGATCGCGAGCTATTCCTTTCGATTTCTTGCTGGACGTTTGCGTAAACCGTGCAATGGTTGGAACCGGTTAAATCGGAAATGAAGTGACACTCTGGTCGGCATCTTGCAAATGCCTCTTTTGTGCTGTGCTGCATGGCGGGGAATGGAAAGCAAGCATGAAGGCAGAAAGTCAGCGAGAACCAGTTTGATAAAAGATGGGAATGAGAGTGTCATTGCTGGACATTTGCATTTCATCGTCTAAAAAGTTCATGTGGTTTTCCCCAATATACTCGCAATAAATCAGCGCGTTGCGTTTCATATTTTCACCTTGTGTAAAGCTTGAACTGGGGCCATTTGGACCGCTTCCCGCTACAGCAGAGAATTGAGCAGCAACATGGCCGCCGCCGTAATTGTAGATACGGACTGTCTTGCAGATGCCGTGGTTGAATGGGTGAACACTTTTGATTCCATATCCCGTCCTTGTCGGAGCATCAAAGACCTTGCTGATGCGGTGGTGTTGACCGACATTCTATCACAAATGTGAGTAGTGCTTTCTTGTTTGGTCGGGACTCTGCCACGGTCTCGTAAAGCAGACGGTCACTCTACACGGCTGTCGCCCAAAAGCTAGCTATCCTCTGTCCAGTCGCAATGAGTAGAGCCCAGGCTACGATCCACTGTTGCTGAGGGCAAAGGTGGGATGAAGGAATTCAACAGTACTGAGTGACTTTTTCAAATGTCGGACAGTGATCCCCAATGGTTCAAGGCCGCCCGCGCTGCCGAGTATGGTGACAATTGGGTACTACGGTTTAATGGTCTCAAGAAGCTTCACAAACTTTTGATGGGTTATTATGAGGAAGTCTTGGGCCAAAACTCTGCAGGTTTGGAAACTCCAAATCTGACGGCAATCGCTCGGGATGCGGATATCCTTGAACTTCTCAAGCTTGCCCAACTGGTCATCGCGCTCGCTGTACAGTGCGAAAACAATCAACGATATGTCATGAAGATCCAGTCGCTTTCCCAAGACTCTCAGCATGCATTGATGCTTTCGATCGAGACGGTGCGTCTTGCTCAACATGCGCTTTTCAAAGTATGAGGTTTGACCTCAGATGCAGGTGATGGGTAGACTGGCGAACAGCACAGGAACGACTCAAATATCCCCTTCTACAATGTGAGCGTTGAGTCTCCAATATCACTCTGGAAAAAACACTCTAAGTGCAATTGGAATTACACAGCGATGCGGATATGGAAGGATCGATCACTGCTGCCTTAATGGCCGAGAAGTTGGAACTAGAAAAATCAAATAACCTTCTGTCGGAAGAGATGGAGGACCTTCGAACAGAATATGTAAGGGAACATGGCATTCACGCCCGCACTCCTCCTTGTACTGAAAATGAAAATTAAAGGAAAGAGTACTGGAAGGACGGAAAGAGCTACAACACAAGATCAATGATATGGAAAAAAGCTTGTCCCAGTTGACCGAAGCAGGCCAGGTGGACTTCATCCTCCGGACCGAGATCGATAACTTGAAGGCAGACCTGTATGTTAACTCAACTACAAGAAACACTAGACAACTTAGCCTCTTGCTGATTGCACTTGCTTCCATAGAGTTAAAAGTGAGAATCGGCGTGTGGAACTTGAAAACCTTTTGGAAAAGCAGACTGCCGTCATTACAGATATGACCCGCAAAGTAAGTGCTGTGCCGGGTGATACGTAAAGTCGATGCTTTGCCTAAACGATGCACAGGTGGAAGAAACATCCAGGAAAGCGGAAGAAGTCGATCGTTTGAAAGATGCCCTTGACGAATTTCGGCACGTAGCTGACAAGCTCCAGAAGTCAGAGGCCATCATAGACAAATATAAAAAACGATTTGAGGAAGTGACCGACCTGCGTAGACAACTCAAGGTTCAGGCCGTTTCTTGACATTAGTGGCGATATCGGAACTGACGTGTCCATTTTCAGTTGGCTGAAGAGCAGAATCAACAACATGCCTTGCGCAATGCACAGCTAGAAGAGGAATTCCGCAAGGTGGCCGGTATCAAGCCCTTGGTGGATACACTAAAGAATCAACTCAGTGCCTCGGAAACAAAGAACAGCTCGTTACAAGTTGAGGCATCAACGCTAGCGTTTCAGCTGACGGAAGCCCGTTCGAAGCTGGAAAGATATGATTTAGAAAAGCGAAGTGATCAGGAACTCATTCAAATTTTGGAGGATCGCCTTAAGGACATGGAACATCATAGTAAGAGTGGCTTATATCTAGAAACTTTGTGTTTTTACTAATTGATGAATGTATCCGATCTTACGTATTAGGTTCAGGAAACCCTCCTCTGGATCGCGAAATATCTGAAGCAGGAGGCGGGGCTGAATCGGCAGTGTAAGTGCACTAAAAGCGTCTTAAATCTCTGCATATTCCTAAGACTTTTCGGCTACAGTGCCATCAAGATGGGTCAGTTGGAGAGGGAAGTGGAGCGCTTGCGCGCTGACAATGCTTCTGCACATGCTATTGGCGCAAAGGTTATTTTACTTGAAAATCTCCTTGAAGATGCCAATCGCTTGAAGGCTAAATTTGAGGAGGTGGGTGCTAGTGGATTGGTCAAATTGATGTGCATTTGCTGCAGGATGGCGCTGACTATCAAGTTATCAGGATTATCGAGTTGCGCACGAAAAAAATATTGCATTTGAGAAGGAAGTGCAAGAGCTGCGCTCATCCTCCGACCGGTGAGTCCCAGTCCATCTCGTGAATGGCCTCCTTTACCAACATACGCGTATTTTAGTCCTGTTGATTCGGCCACCGCACTGAGTAGCGAGAGGCAGCGTGCATCGGTAGACAGTGCGGCTGCTGAACCATTGCGAAAGCAGGTCAAACAGCTGAGCGAGCAACTCCGACAGTCCATGGGACAAATTAACAAAATGGCCTATGAGAGGGATAAGATCAACCATGATCTAATGGACGCCAAAAGCACTATATCGCAACAAGAGCGGATGATCAAGTACGTAACTATTGTAAATGTTCTTCCACTTTTCACAAGCATATTTCTTACAAACGTGTTAGCGAGTTGCGAAGCGATCTGGCGGCGATGGAGAGCCGCGGACAGTCGTCCGACGAATCCGTTCAGAAGATTGCAGCCATCACTAAGCAGGCAGTAGAAGCTCAGCATAAGAACGAGTACCTGCACTCGGCCCTCAAGTCAGCCAAAGAGGTATGTTCAATTTCTTCTATTCTTTTTTTTCTTTGGATAGACGTGTTTAGGATGATTCGGTATACCTTTTCGTAGCACATTCGTATGTTGGATAACCAAGTCAAGGAATATGCTGCCATCGTACCCAAGGTATTCTCAACATTTCTGTGACGCACTCTGACAATGTCGACAGTGCTGATTCATTATATGGGCAGGATGACAACTTTGCAGAGGCGATCGCATCTCTACAATCGGCCTTAAGCGAATGTCAAGCTGAAAATGCACGTCAGAAACAAGAATTGGCTGATACTCGTGCCGCAGCCAAGCGAGAGCAAATGCTGATGGCATCGGCGTGGTACAAGACTGCCACCGAACTGCAATTGAAGGCGTCGGCCCGACTAAAGTCGGCGACACCTGATAGTCCAAAAAGCTGGCTGGCCAGAGAACGACAGAAGGTGATCAGGGAAACCATACGTAGATAGATCATTTCAGTACATGTATAACAGTGCAGTTGGTACATTTCGCTTCCGGCCTGAGTTCAACCAGAGTTTGGGCAACAGTTTTATGTTTAGAGTTACGAAGAAATGCTGTTTTTCAAATACCAGTATGACACGTTGACATCTTTCGGCACTGACCTACGGAGTGATTGCCACCGACTTTGGGCCAATAGCATACAAAATCGGTAATATCATCATGTGCTGGGGGTGCCCAAAGTCGCTTGATGTTCTTTCAGCATCATAGGGTGTCATGCAACAAGTACAAAAAGAAAAATTGTAGCGATAATGTTTACAGGAAGATTTATCACCAGGTTGCTACCAACAATCCTGCTCAACGTCATAATTTCCACCTTTACTTTAACATGCCTTCCCTGCGTCCCCATCCGGCCAATTTCAAGCTTTCGTAACAGTCGATTTCGGGAATGTCGCAGCCCACAATCCCTGCCTATTCGCAGCGACAGACACATACTCATATTCTATTGGACACGTCCATTCCCGACATGTCCACCATGCCCTTCTTCGCGATTTCCATATCCTCCACGATTGTAATTCGACCTATAGCCACCTCTTTGCCCACCGTTGTAGTTGCCACTGTAGCCGCCATAATTTCCACGTCCACGACCTCCGCGACGGTATCCACCGTAACCGCCCCGGCGATAATTCCGTCCGCTGTCAACCCCAGTCTGCCCAAACGTCTCCATGTTAAGTCGCCGTTCTTCATATTGCCGAGCCCGGCGGTTGCCACTAAAATCGTAATATGATCAGACACATAATCAATTCTTGTGTAAATATCGGTGAGTATACTTACCGGCCGTCACCTTCTGCCCGATCTTTGCTCTCGCAAGAGATGTTATCAAAAAAGGATGACTTTTGGTAAAAGCCCGCACCTTCTTCATCCTCTTCCTCGGCATGACTCACACTTGGCTCTGGAGGAGGGATCGCCTCGATAGGCGATGCGTCACCCCCGGTTTTCGTAGCTGCCTCCTGAGCGAGCTCTGTCTTGTTAAACTTTGCATTTGCGGATTCAAAATCAAAATCCGAATCAGGAACAGGAATTCGAACGTTACGAGGATTCGCAGGATATCCGCGTCGATTATTGCCCCGGCCACCTCCCCGGCGATGGCCGCCTTGCAAGAGATGAGCACCAGTACCGGGTAAACGTTGCCCCTCAGAACGAACATCTGTTCCATTAGCGCCTTGGGAGCGACGAATCTCTCCCTCTGATGCTCCCGATGCATTTTGCTGCGACTGTTTGGCATCATGCTCATTCTTTCCAGCAACAGCAACTACACCGGCGCCGACGGGTGCTTCCGCAGCGTCCGGCGCTTTATGGATATTGCTGGGTGTACCTCTCTTCTCCTCATTGCTTTGCTGTGTTGCCTTGACGTCCCTCTGTGTAGATCTTTCCGGTCTTGCGTCCTGCGCAACCTTCTTTTCCTTTGATTCAGGTGCAGTATGGGACATTGTAGATTCATTAAGATCCAACTTGTCCAGAGTAGGAACGAGACCGGCTACATCTTGATTGGCCTCACTTTGGGAACCTGGCTGCTGGCTATTCGATGGCAGTGCGTTGAGTCCTCGCGGTTGCTGCGGCGCCGAAAATCCGCCCACCTGCAGTCCAATGAGACGGAGCGTTAGTGTTAAAGTGACTGCATGATGGTGGAAAATATGCACGTATTACCGCTCCAGGAAATACCGGCGCACCAATTTGCTCGGGTCGTCTGTCCCAATAGTATTGAGGAGGTTCTTGCTTCTGCTGAGAATGTGGGTACGGATAGTTCACACTTGGTGGTCCGCCGTACGGGCCCATTCCTTGCGGCATCATAGGAAAGCCAGGTTGAGATGTTTGGCCTACCATCCCAGCAGGTGGACCGTATCCAGAAAATCCGGGAGGACCGCCTGGTCCAGGAGGCCCTGGCTGCGGAGGCATATGACTTGGGGGTGGAATCTGGCTTCGCGGGTGTTGCTACACCATATGCCGAACAGGTTAGGCGCAAGACTATTTACGTATCACCATAAGGGCCTTCAACCTCACCCTCACGATAGCCGGATCATTCGGAACCCTCGACGGCGCAGGTGCCTTCGCTGGGGCATTCATCACATGAAGGTCCTTGACATCTGACCCTCTAAACACGACAAATGGATAGATTTCGTCGCTAGGAGGCAGTTCCTCGGCTGGGTTGCCCTTCCTGCCTTCTGTTCCGAAGGAACGTACTAGATAAGAAACAAGATTGAAGTTAAGCAACTGTTTAGTATAGGTATGAAGTCTCTAGATTTGGCGGACACGAACCATTTTCAAGTGCCACAGTCGACTCCTGCTGGTTGATTTCAGTCAAGATGCCCACATAGCGGATATCTGACTTGGATATCAAGCTAATTTCGGATCCAATGTACGGCATCATCTTGAAAAATCCTGGAGGTGAGCGACGAGCGGGATCGCACAATGGCCCCTGGTTGATCTAAACTGCAGCTCACTTCTCACGCAACTGCCAACTCCCAAAAGCCTTTGGCGTCTCCTTCCGGACGGCAATTTTCGGGGTCACGTGTTTCATCGCGTTCGGGTTGCGTAAGCAAACACGACGGGGTTTTCCTTGCGTTGTTTTTGAGGTTGACCTTGTTTGTTATATCAAAGATGACATCGATCAAGGGAGCAAGGTAAGCCTGCATCAAAAGGAATTCATTTGATACGGCAGCATGACTTGTACTATATCGTTAGCGATGATGGAACGCATTTCATTCAGAAAACAATTCGAGATACAGGTTTGGACAAGCAGATGGGAGAAGAACAGGTTTAATGTTGACCATAACGACCCTGTTTGTTTACAGAAAGAAGTATGGCCAATTTGCGCCGGACATTGGCTGGCTATCTAAGAAACCAAGAACGTGAGAAATCATAGTGGTTATGTATTTGTTTACTTTGTGATCGATCAAATCCATTCAATAGGCCTCCGGCGAAAAAGTCTTAAATTGGCCGTGGTACTCAAGATGTTCTCGGAAAATGAGGCGCCTGCCCTTTCCACAGTGTTGTCCGGTCTGGCGGAGCTGGTAACAGAACGTGAGAAGGCCCGTGAAGTTGCAACCGATAGAATAAACATAGTATCTCAAGAACCATTAAAGCTATATTCGGTACGGATATGCTTCACAACCTGTCCCTAAGGCTTCTCTGACACAGTCGACATTTGCAGATGATATGTACTAGAATGAAGGTAACTCCCTAACGTCCGAGTTGAGAGATCACATGTCTAAAACATATGCAGAACGAAGTGAAGGCAAGAGAATCGGCTGCACAGAAAGAACATAGAAAGCAAGAACAGTTGGATAAAATATTGATCAAGGATGCTGCAAACCGTACCAGAATCGTAAGCCCTGCTTTTTTTTTACTAGTTTAAAATCTTGTTCGCCCCGAGTCTAATAAGTTATCAGTCTCAGGTATAGGTGATTGGGCTCTGTCCAGGTTGCATTCTCCCAATTTGCAAAATCTTAACGTTCATCAATAGAGCCAATTAGAGCTAGCGGGTGCCACACAGGATGTGCGAACAGCAACTGGCGCATTAGTTGACAGCGTCCACAGGTTTGAAAGTCAAAAGCGAGCTGATCTGCAGGTGGGTTCAATCACCAACAACTTCCCCGCTGTATTCAGGACAACTTAAACAATGCACAGAGATCCCTTGGAGAATTCCTTTGGAATGAAATGAATTTCCATGCACAAGCCCTGGAAATACTGACCGAGGCACATCAGCTCCTGATGACAGACGATATGAGCGCTGATTTGGCAGAGATTGAAGAGAGAGTGAATCTAGCAGCATCGCGAACAAATTCTCCGATTCGGGGTCACCGAGAGGACGCTTACTACGACAGTGACGAGGACGACTCGAGAAGTCCGCATTTCCGCAGGAAAGACAGCATCAGATCACGAAAATCTGTCAGATCTCATCAGGACAGGTTAGAACCACCCAGATCAGAAAAAAGACGCCAGAGCGCTGGTCACGCAAGAGGTAGAAACAAGTAACTGTCTCCGCAAGTGTATCACTGAGCTAAGTGCATATGTCAATATACATATATTTCAATACAAACGGATGCCAGATCGGGAGGAACTATATGGCTAGGATGCTGTGTGGTCAAAGTTGAGGGGCGGTTTACATGGTCAACTCCTGAAAACGGCAAATGCAGGGTAGCGGGTTAGCGTGACATGGAATGGCGACAGAAAAACATTGGTTGTGAAACGCACCATGATGGCGTTCACAATGTCGTTGTTGTGTGTCTTCAATGCCTTCACTGCCTTGGACCGGCTGACGTTGGCTTGTTGCATAACAAGCTCAATGTCCTTGGCTTCGACACCAGTCTCATCCACGTTCTCCTCCTCCTCAGCAAGTTCAGGGACTTCCTCTTCGTCCTCTTCTGTTTGGTTGAGCTCCGGTGCCTTGAACTGGTCGGCAGCGGCAGCCTGAGCCTGAGAGTTCAAGTCTTCAATCTTCGCCTCTCCAAAGACAATGTAGGTGTCGCTGGTCGCTGACTTGTAGACGTCGGGTTGAGCAACAACGAATAGAATCTAGAACGATTTCGTAGATCATGTCACGGTTTGTCACTTTGATGAAAAATATAGCTGCACTAGAGTTTCAACTCGACTCACGTTCTTGGGGCGGCGAATGGTTACGCGGGTAATGCCAGGAATCGGCTTCAATCCAAGCTTGGCCATAGCCTTCCGCGCCTTCTTTTCGCTGCGGCTCTGGTTCTTGCCGGGGAAAAGGCCTTCCAAGTCTACGCCGGCCGCGGCAGCTCCCTCAGCGTTCTCCTCGAGCTCTGGGAGATCATCGTCGGAATCCTCATCCTCCTCGATCTTCTCCACCTTCTCCTCGGGCTTTTCGTTCACAACGTCCGACGTCATGCTGGAAAACGAATGAAAGGAAATAGAGCAAGATCAGCTCCGCATTCCAAATGTCGAATCACTCCAAAATGGTCAGCCCAATCAGTTCTCTCCTACCCCATCCACTCCTTCATCCATCCATCCATTCGCCCGTCCAATCATCCATCCATCTATACATCCATTCCATGAGTTGCTCCTCTCCCCAGCTTGCCAACTTACTTGCTAATTCGCTGCCGATGCTTCGAGCCAATGATTCAGGCAGGACGATGGGAGGCAGTAGATGGGTCCTTCCTTGTGATGGCACAGCAACAATTCGAAAACTGTGCCAATCTGAGGTCGTTATGTAATCGTCCCGTAACCGGAAGCGCAAACGCGGCCAGCTCGGACCAACACTGCAACCACACCAGCTGTAGACCATGGCTACTCGAAGTCGGACCCTTTTATTTCTCCAGTACCGCAATTCCTTTGCTAGAACTGGAACTAGGAGACCAACACGGCCACTTGGTGTGGATACGTCTGAACGTGCTGGCCTTATTGCCAATGAGGTCGACCAGAGCACAGAAGTGGTGGTGGAGCTCTCCGTATTACCCCCAAAATGGTAAGACATTGGAAGTGCAACGCTCTCCTCGGTATATACTTATTTAAATTCACTCTCATATGTGAATGGGAAGGATTGACATTGTTGACGAGGTATAATGCCTTGAGAGTCGCACGATGCCTTGACAGTTATTGAACAGTTACTATATTGCAGGTCGATGAAGACGTCGACCGTATCAAGGCGCGACGTACGTATATGCGAGAATACACTGGCAGATTGTTTGCCACGCCTAACCGGCATCAACTTATTCACAGTAACCGAGTTGGAAGCTCTACATAAGAAACATCTACTACCTGGGTTTGATGATCGATTAGGAGAGGAGCAATCCATTGAGCGACTTACGACCAATATCACCGATGTGAGTTCAGGATGCGAAGCATCTTTCTAAGATAGCGCATTGGATGGATCGCTAGACCATTCGTTGTCTTTCACTAATATCGCATTGTTTCCCGGAAGTGCAGATGTTTCGTGAATGCGAGCGGAAAGTGAAACGTATTGCGAATGAGAGCCAATATGCGCCTGCAACATCGAAACAAAACCAGGTTTTGGCTCGCAACATTCAGACATCTCTTGCAACAAAGATGCAAGACCTCTCCAGTGCGTTCCGAAAAACTCAATCAAATTACCTGCAAAGTAAGGGTCGGTGCTAAGGATGCTGTCGCAAAATATGATTTACAATATCGTATTGTCACTGTCCAGAACTTCGCGGTAGGGAAGTTCGCAACAAGGATGCGTTTGCAATGGAGTCGGGACCATCAGACTCCCAAGAAGACGATTTAGATGCGGTATGATCAACCACTGTGACAAGTGCTGGCCAGTTATACTAATTAGTGTGTTTCTCTGTCACAGGTTTTTACAGATGCGCAACTTCAAATCGTACAGAACAACGAGCGAGCAATCACAGAACGAGAGAAGGAGATCAACGAGATCGTTAAATCCATGCTTGGGGTGGCGGACATTTTCAGAGAGTTGCACACAATGGTGATTGACCAGGGGACAGTACTTGATCGAATAGATTACAACATTGAACAAGTCAATGTTCACATGGAGGACGCACATAAGCAATTGCTGCAGGTTGGTGTTGAACCGGTGTTTATTGCTCACTAGAATTTTCTGCTGACGGGCCTGACCTTTCGAAAAGGGAGCAAAGTACCAGGACAGATCAAAAGCAAAGCTTTGCATCATCCTGCTTGGCATAGTCGTATTTTTATTGTTTTTGATTCTAGTGTTCAAACGACGGAGTACTTAATATTAATCATATGCATACATGTCTGGGGAGATCGTTTTATGATAGCATTGATACCCCTACTATCTGCCGTATTCTTGGGACGCCCGCCGCTGTACGCGCATCCCGCTATGCGATTTTTGTGAGTAGTTGCTTATATATCTTGTTCATTGGTCGGTTGTTGGCGAGGTGCTTCGCCACATAATGAGCGCAGACTTGTGCGTCCAAAAGTGGATTTTTGATGACGTTGACTTTCAAATGGATCGGTGAATCCCGGTAAATTTGTAAGGAAGCAAGGGGGTCCTGTTCCGCGCCCAAAGCTTCCAGAGGAGTTGTCGCATTCCCTTTGAAGATATCTTTGAAGTAATGATTTCCTTTCGCCAGTTTGTCCACTCGCCGTTCTAATCGTCCAAGTGCCTCCAGTGGGCGGACATTGCGGAAGTCTATGGTGGGGTTTCGCACGCGTGGGTGTGAGCTTGGCTGGTTGTCACTTTTTGTCTGTTCAAGAACTGTAAGGTTGATCCATATTCCACTCGTCGATGCTCGAATGTGTGGTTCAGAGATGACATTGTGTTGAAATATGTGCTTCACGTAGTCAGCGAGAAGCTGGTGCCGGACGTTTCCAGGCCAGTTGACAACTCCTCGCAGACGGAGGGCGAGAGGATTGGTACGACCCATTATGCAAAATGACTTGGACAAACAGTTCAATCGTGCTCCACTCAGGTCAACTCGGTGGTTGACATGGCAACTAGCTGTATTAGGTAAGCCCGTGGCTTGTTTGAAGAATCTGGTCAACGAGTTCAGGTTCATGGTGAAGGAGAACTTTGTACATTTTTATCCGAGGCTTTAGTCCATTTCACAAGTGCAGCACTTGTGAGGACGGGCTGCAGCGTACCTGCCATGACGAAGGCCAAGCACACTGGCTTCAATCCTGTTGGTCAACCAGGGCGATCAAAGCAAACCTCTCGCCAAGGTGGCCGCTCACTGCAAGGAGACCTGGAGAACAAGCTTGTGCAGCGTATCGAAGAGTATCAATTCCGTCAAAGTCAGATAGAGGGTCGAAATGACAGTGCTCTGCGGGACGAAGACGCCATCCTAGCGTACGTCCGCTCCGCCGACGCCAGTTTGGCAAGAAAACCGGAGAGAAATTTACGACAAGCTCTTTCAAATGGTACCGTACCGTACGTATTGTGACGAAAGCGCGACCAATGTGCTTATAAAAGTACTTTTCAGCCATCAAAAGGGTCAAAAGCAGTGGAATGTCCACAGACTTACCTCCGAGCGGCGATTCCGATGAAGACTTTGACTCAGACTTCGCGTTTGAGCCTGATGTGGCTGTAATGGAAGTAAAGGTGTGTTATTGCCTGTATTCAATTTAAGCGCAAATACGGTAGATAATTGCTGGTGGATTAACGGTCGTAAAAACTATATTGGCAGGATACAAATTCAATGAATCTATCCATTCTTGGTATATACAATCAACATAAACCCCCAGATAGCGTGTCGTCTAGCCCGGTGCCACCTTTAGGAGACTTAAGCCTAGAAGATGGTGAAATAAGCAAGTCAGCAGCGTTCGCTACCACCGAAACGGAGGATCGCGCGTCTCCGAAAGTATCTAACCTTGACATCCGAACATCGGTGGTGAAAAGTAATAAGCGCCGTCAGAAGGAAACTGTATCAGTTCAAGAGTCCAAAAAGGTTAAGCGATCGGGTTCGGAAACCTCAAAATGGGCAACACCGACAGCACGTTTAGGAGATCTGGGTGGCATGGATCAGTGCATTGACGAGATTTTGCAACTCGTTGGTATGCCCCTGAAGCATCCTGAGATCTATTTGCATTTGGGCATTCAACCTCCGCGTGGTATACTTCTTCACGGCCCACCGGGTTGCGGAAAGACGATGCTTGCTCATGCTATTGCTGGCGAGGTTGGAGTACCCTTCATAAACATCTCGGCTCCCTCAATTGTATCGGGAATGTCTGGGGAATCAGAGAAGAAACTGCGAGAAATATTTGATGAAGCAAAGGAGCTTGCACCATGTCTCTTGTTTATTGATGAAATTGATGCGATCACCCCTAAACGCGAGACGGCACAACGGGAAATGGAGCGAAGAATAGTAGCGCAATTACTAACATGCATGGATGGTAAGGTTCTTTTGTCTACATAACCCTACTGGGCTGTTTGTTAATGAATCGCTTCTTGTCAGACCTTTCCCTAGACAAAACGAATAATAAGCCTGTTCTGATCATTGGTGCGACAAACAGACCAGACTCATTAGATCCAGCATTGCGTCGTGCAGGCCGTTTCGATCGTGAGATAAGCATAGGAGTGCCGGATGAGACTGCAAGAGCCAGGTAACATGGTAACATCGAAAGCCGGCGGGCGTATCGCCTCATATATTAAATTGACTCACCCCTGTTAGGATACTGGCAAAACTCTGTGCCAAATTACGGCTCCGTGGTGATTTCGATTTCGTTCATCTGGCAAAATTGACGCCTGGATATGTCGGGGCTGATCTCAATGCTCTGACCGCCGAAGCAGGAATGCTCGCTGTTAAGCGCATCTTCCACTCCTTGAAGGAGAGAATTGTGTCCAGTTCTACGGACGGGCCAGCGGCAGTCGTGGATGACCAGGCGGCTATGGACATTGACGATAATAAAGTGGGAGAACCCGACAAGGACGATTCTGCACTCGCCAACGGTATACGTGATGTGATTGCAAGGAACATAACAGTAGCGGACTTCTTAAACACACGACCCGAACCCCTCACCGAAATCGAACTGGAACCTCTGTGCATCACGAGCGATGACTTTGTCAAAGCTCTCAAGAAAGTGCAACCGTCGGCAAAACGCGAAGGATTCGCTACTGTTCCCGATGTGTCGTGGGCAGATATTGGTGCCCTGACGCAAGTGCGAGAAGAATTACGCATGGCTATAGTTGAGCCCATAAGGCATCCGGAATTCTTTGCACGCATGGGAATATCAGCTGCGATGGGTGTGCTTCTCTATGGCCCTCCTGGTTGTGGTAAAACCTTGTTGGCAAAAGCAGTGGCAAATGAAAGTCATTGCAATTTCATATCCGTCAAGGGACCGGAACTCTTGAACAAGGTATTTGAACAATTAGCGTCATTGGAGATGACATGCGATGTACTTACGTAATAATATGTCTGTAGTACGTAGGTGAGAGCGAGAGAGCTGTCCGGATGGTATTTGCGCGGGCGCAAGCATCATCTCCATGTGTGATCTTCTTTGATGAACTGGATGCTTTGTGTCCTGCGCGATCGAACGAAGCCGAGGTATTCCAGGCAATATGCTCGTTACGACCCTGCAGACTGTGGGACTGACCAATAAATGTTACTAGTCTCAATCGTCGTCCCGTCTTGTTAATACTCTCTTGACTGAAATGGACGGAATGCAAGGACGGAAACAGGTTTACGTCATAGCCGCTACAAACCGTCCCGATATGATCGACCCTGCAATGCTTCGTCCAGGCAGGCTAGATAAAGCTCTATATGTTGATCTCCCGAATGTTGAAGAGCGATGGGATATTCTGAAAGCGGTCGCACGAAAGACACCCCTGGCGCCGGACATGGACTTGCATGAGGTTGCGAAGGACGCTAGGTGCGAAGGATTCAGTGGTGCGGACTTGGCGGCATTGGTGAGGGAAGCGGCAGTGGCTGCCTTGAGGGATTGCCTCTATGCAGCCGGTCCAGGGGTTCCCCCAATAGATTTGACGACACACAAAATGGTTGTGCAGCAGAAACATTTTGACACGGCGTTCGTGAAAGTTTCTCCTTCGGTTAATAAAAAGGTATGCGATCTGTGGTCGGCGTCTTGAGTGATTAGCGCGCTTAACCAGGTGATTATAGGATCGGCGGCGTTACGAGCTATTGCGTGTCAAGTTTGGTACAGCCACCGATTCAGAGAAGCCCGGCGCAGGGGACCGGTAAGGAGTCACGGATGCGGCGCCATGTATATAGAAAACACTTGCTGTGCATGTAAACTACACTTGGATTCCGGCAGCAATATTAGGATGTCGGATGTTGTTTGTGTTGGTGGCAAAGGGGAAAACCGGATGAGATATGGTATATTAGAGGTTGGCTAGCTGCAATGAATTCGATCTATTGCAAGTGTCCCCTAGATAGATTATTAGTTTGCTGTAGCCCACTGGTTCATATTGTAGAACCGCGACCGCTGCCATGAGTATAGCGCTGATACATAGAGCCGAATAAGAGGCGTCGAAGTGTCTGTGGTATTATGCCAAATGGTTCACTGTGTAACTGACCATAGAGGTCTTTGTACTAAATTATCTTAAAATTGAGTCCATTTCCCTTAACCAATGACAATCTTTCCATCACTCTCATTGAATTCGTACGCAGGAATCTCAAGGTTCAGGGGAGCAGGACCCTTCCTGATTCGCCCGCTATTTTCCCATGATTTGTTAGAGCTTAGCACTTTAATATCCGCAAGCAATTGTCATCTAGACTCTCACCTGATATCATAGTGGGAACCGTGGCACGGACAGAACCAACCTCCATATTCACCAGCTGCAAACAGAACCATTGTCAAAACAATCTCCCTCGTCCGTTCCAGTAACACTGACAAGCGCGTACCTTCTCCAATGGGAACACATCCCAAATGGGTGCATACTCCCAACATTACCAGCCATTCTGGCTTTTTTGTCCTGTCCGCGTCAGTTTCAGGGTCACGAAGTTCGCTCAAAGACACAGAGTTGGCCTCAGCAATTTCTGCAAAATATGTCGAGTGAATTTACGATATGCAAAAAATGAAAACATCGTATCATGTACCATCCGCGGTCCGGTGACGGATGAATACCGGCTTTCCACGCCACTGTAATGCAAAATGTTCAGCAATGCAACTTTTTAAAAAGGAGTTTCGTCCTGTACCCATCCCTCATTCACGCAAAGCCACGGTTGACTTGCTTTGCTTACCTTAATGATAACATTTTTCCCTTCCGGAATGGATGCCATGTCGACTTCGACCTTGGCGAGAGCAAGCACATCCGCCGACGCCGCAAAGTGTACAAGATAGTCGGTAACAATGTTCTTGGCCGCGGCCGCGCCGATGAAACTGTACGTGCCAATCATAAAGTAGGCAAAGTTCCGGTGAGCGATATCGTCGGTGTTTCGCAGTCTGTATGCCTCCTGGTCAGAAGGTGGGACGGCTACATCGGCGTCGTAGTCGACCTGCTTGACGGGGGAAGCGTAGAAGCGTTTTTGGCCGGCGATGGAGCTTGGTGCTATAGGTAACGTAGCCACAATGCATCAGCCACCGATGCATAGAAACAAGAGTGCACAGAGGCGGCGAGCTGACTAGCTTTGGCTGTACTTCATATTGCCTCCAAGCCTGTCCAAGCTTACCTGTAAACGTGGTCTTTGACGACAGGTAGGCGCCGTTAATGTTTGCGGCCACATGCTTGGCGACGTTGGGAACGGATGACTTGGGGGCTCCAGCGGACGCGGCGCCCAATACACGCGGAATGCCCGTTGCCGGTCGTGAGACCCAAGAGCGAGAGGACAAAAGGGAAGGGGCCACCTTGCTCGCCATGATTTCAAAAAGTTGGAAGGTAAAAAATCCAATCAGGTTCAGGCGTTGAAAACCGTTGCAAAAGGTTTTGTTGCTTGCCTGACTCTTCCGATGCGAAATAATTTCGGATGGGCGCGGGGGATTATCACGTGAAATGACTCACGCTATGCTAGGTCACGTGGACAGGATTGCACAATCCAACAGATCCGATAAGGTTCGCGTGAAATCCGCCCTCGGCTTGGCCATCGTTTTTGCCATTGAAAACTTGTGTGTGATGGCCCCCATCTCTGCGCTTTCCCATCTGACTCTAACGGCTCCCAATAGGAGACTCCACGAAGAGTCTCTCAATTTCTATAGTCGCCTGGGATTCAAGGCCATTTCTCAGGAAACAGACGACGTATGGTTGCACTTGTTCCCGCCTCCGAGTGCCAAGCACGGCGCTGGCTTCACGTTGCATTTGATAGTGGACAATGTACCTACGTTTGATGAAAGCACCTTTCAAAGGAAATGGAAAAAGACAGCAGACTCTTTAACCGACGACAAGGTCGGATACGCGTCTTGGGGCTGTTTTGTCGTCGACGACGTACAGGTGAGTGGATATCGACCGTAGGTGATAGCCAGCAGAGGTGCTACCTCAGAGAGCATTGTGATTCTATCAACGTAAATTATATTGGAGGGGCGAGAGAACTTGCCATTCTTTAAGAACAAAGACGTCAGATTGTCCTGCAAAGACATGCATCTGTTCTTATTTGTATATCCGTCATCAGGCAATCCAAGCTGAATTGGACAAAACCAATTACCCTTACAAAGTGTCCAGCCTTCAATACTCACAACTTTGGACGTCTCAACGGGTCACTTCCCACTCGCACATTACTGGTCCCGCCAGCGAAACCCCACAGACAGAAGCGGTTGCACTCCAGACATATGATCCTATAGGTAACCTTCTGACTTTCACGAACCGCGCGTCTCCTTTTGGAACGGGAAAGGTGGATGCCGTTGCAGTATCCCAAACATCCTTGGCCTCTATAGCTACCGTGGATGGCATCCCAACCGCGTCAACGGACGAAGGGAAACCACGGCAGCGCAAGCGAATTGGAATTCTAACCAGCGGTGGTGATTCGTCAGGAATGAACGCTGCTGTCAGATCCATCACTAGAGTAGCGTTACAGCGTGGGTGTGTTCCATTCGCCATTTATGAAGGATACCAAGGTCTGGTTGATGGCGGTAACTACATCAAGCGTCTTGGCTGGGAAGATGTTCGTAGTCTGCTTGCAGTCGGAGGCACTTCCATTGGTACAGCTCGCTGTGCGGACTTTCGTACTCGAGAGGGGCGTTTGAAAGCAGTATATAATCTCATTACAAACGGAATTGATGCATTGGTGGTAATTGGGGGCGACGGGTCCCTTACAGGAGCTGATATGTTGAGAGCAGAATGGAAGGGTTTGGTAGATGAGCTCGTGGCTCTTGGAAAAATAAAGGAAGATGAGTGTCAGCATTTACGGGAAGATCTTACCATCGTTGGCATGGTTGGGTCAATCGACAACGACATGTCGTCCACAGACATTACCATTGGTGCCGTAACCTCGCTCCATCGAATTTGCGAGGCTGTCGATAACCTCACCTCGACGGCACTATCTCATCAGCGTGCCTTTGTTGTGGAGGTCATGGGCCGTCATTGCGGTTGGCTAGGGTTGATGGCGGGTATCGCTGTTGGCGCAGATTGGGTGTTTCTACCCGAAAGGCCTCCTCCACTAGACGATGCTCGCTACGGTGACGATTGGGAGACTGAAATGTGTGATACCATAAAGAAATACCGAAGCAGGGGCAACCGCAAATCCCTCGTAATTGTATGTGAAGGTGCCATCGATCGTCAGTTGAACCCGATAAAGGCAGACTATGTACAGAAAGTTTTAACTGAAAGGCTTCATTTGGACACACGTGTTACTTGCCTCGGTCATGTACAACGGGGTGGGACTCCATGCGCATACGACAGGTTTCTGGTAAGGGGAAAACATTAGACCACCTGCTGTGTGAATACATTTCTAACTTATATGTGTCATATAAATAGGCGACGGTTCAGGGAGTGGAGGCGGTGGAAGCGGTGCTGCGTTCCAAGCCTGGGGTTCCTGCACCGATGATTGGCATTAGTCATAACAAGATCACCGCCGTTCCGTTGATGGAGGCAGTGCAGTTGGTACGAAGGTAAAATCGTTATTGGCTGCGAAGAATATCACTAAATTTTTGCGTATCAACACAGACACATGCAGTGGGAGAGGCAATTAAGAAAAAAGACTTTGCTCGAGCTATGGAGTTACGCGATCCCTCGTTTACTGCCATTTATGATGCCTTTTTAGAGACAACCATCTTCTCACAAGGCAAAAATCAGCCTGGTCCCGACGGGCAGGTACAATACCGTACATTGCTACTATTGGCGCTGACATACTGATCTGATGACGCCGTTGTCGATTAGAGACTTCGCATTGGAATCATTCACACTGGTGCCCCAGCGGGTGGAATGAATGCAGCCACCCGTACGGTGGCACGTCTTTGCCTGAACCGAGGACATGTACCTATTGGAATTCGCAATGGGTTTTCCGGTTTGATTCGGGACGAGGTTGCACTGTTGAAATGGAATGACACTGTGGGGTGGCAGGTTCGCGGTGGCTCTGAACTGGGCACTAACCGCGACCATCCGCAACCTCTACCGGGCGGACCAAAGATTGCTCCCAAGGGGGATGGGGAATTCGTTGATCTCGGTCTCATCGCATATCACATGCAGAAGCATGACATTCAGGCTTTGTTGATTGTGGGCGGATTTGAAGCGTACACAGCGCAGCTCACGTTGACGCACGCTCGAAGCGTGTTCCCAGCATTTTGCATACCAATGATTCAACTTCCAGCTACGGTTTCTAACAATGTTCCTGGCACGGATTACTCCATTGGCAGTGACACGGCATTGAATGCCATTGTGGAAGCTTGCGACCGTATCAAATTGAGTGCGAATGCTAGCAGAAAAAGAGTTTTTGTTGTGGAGGTTCAGGGCGGAAACTGCGGGTATGTGTCATGGTCAGATTATGTTCCCCCCACGCAGTTCTCATGAGTGTCAATTTGCAGGTATCTCGCTACGCTTGGGGGCCTGACAACAGGGGCCACCACGGTATATATCCCCGAAGAAGGAGTGAATATCGACAAACTTCAAAGCGACATTCGTCATCTCTGTAAACGTTATACAGAGGAAGATCGGTGGGGTATACCTAATGAAGGTCGTGTTATTCTTCGGTCTGAAATGGCGTCAAGCACGTACACCACCGACGTGATTTCGAACATTTTACGCGCAGAAGGGAAAGGTTTATTTGACTCTCGTACTGCGGTTCTTGGTCACCTGCAACAAGGTGGGGTACCCAGTCCGCTGGATCGTATCCGGGCGACTCACCTAGCCGTGAACTGTGTCAATTGGCTTGAAAAGGCTGCCGCTGCCGCAGGCGAGGCTCTGGCCCACACGCCCGTAGCTGGTGCCAGTTCTGTGTACACAAAACAACCGAGTCATAGCTGCATCATCGGGATTGTCGGTGCTGAAACAGTGTATACCCCAGTGGAAGACATTCTCAAGGAAGCAGATGTGAAAGCTCGACGTGGCAAAGACCAATGGTGGATGGGCTTCAACCGTTTGATTCGGGTCTTATCAAAGTATGAATACTCCGCGGATGTAGTAGATACCGACACAGTGGATCTCCTTAGGAACAGAGACCCTTCGAGGACAATGCCGAAACACTCTCACAGCGAATCTGATGATCGCTGAGAGACATATTCGGCACGGACCGATTTAGATAGTAGTAACAGCATTATCCTCAAATCAAGAGACTTGAGTTGCCGCATCAACACTCATACAATCGCACACCGTCCTCTGAACGGCAAATTCAATATAGTTTTGAATATCAATTTTCAACATTAAATGGAGCATATTTTTTCGAATTCGTTTATTGGAAGCCCTATACATCACTAACCCAGACCTCAATAAACATTTTATTCGGCAGGGATTTCAATTTCCTGCATGCGAATATGAATATTAGCACACTTGAGCCAGCTCCCTTAAACTTCAGATAGTAAACGTACCCCAGAGGCAACTTTCTCGCTGATGTCCTGAGGAGATTGACCTTCGACTGTGCAGCCAACGGAGAAGGCAGTACCGAGAATTTCCCGGACGGTACCCTTCAATTCCTTGGCGTACGACTTGAATCGCATCTTACGAGCAACATCAATGATTTGGTCAAGCGTGAGGTTGCCAGTGTGTTTGACTGACGGGATGCGGTGTAAGTACATATCATGAACTGCCATTTTAGCCAGTTAATACATACTGTTCTTCTCCTTCTTACGGTCCCTTGGGGGCTCCTTCAAAGCCTGGATGACCAAAGATGAAGCACTTGGGAGCACCTCCACCGCCGCTTGACGGTTCTGGATCACCAATCGGACAGTGATCCTGAGGCCTTTGTATTCCTTGGTAGCCTTGGCGATGTCTTCACCGACCTTTTTGGGAGACTGTAGAGAGCGCATCATTAAGATTGTCGTTCGTCATCAACTCCATACATTGTCAGTCAGTACGTACCAGACCAAGAGGACCGATCTTGGGAGCCAAGGCCGAACCACCAGCAACTTCACCACCAGTCGTACGAAGGACGACTAAGGATATTCAGAAATTAAGTGTTCAGTCTAAGCGGTCCCAAAAAATGTCGGCACTATGGTATTGCCTTCACTTACCGTAGCTAACGGCGGAGGGGTCAAACTTGGGTGGCATGATTGACTACAAAACACGGGAAGAGAAGCAGGGGTTCAGTCCAACTGAGTAGTAAGAAGCGTTTCTTCTATGATCCCATTAATATCCGATGTCCTCAAATCGACGTCCACTGGTCATTTCTGGGGATGCAGCGACCTTCCAACGAGATCGCCAATCTCAAACCATGTCGCTCGCTCCTTGACCCAGAAGAATACTACTCCACCCGACAATGGTGCACACAGTCTCGTTTTGCTGTTCGCCAATAAAATCCAGGTCGCTCTCCAAAGTCATTTCAATCTCGCCATCCCCCATGCACCTCCAACTCTTCCTATCCATCCCATCCATCCCATCCATCCATCCATCTCTTCAGTGTCATTCTAACCCCGAATACATGCAGCGCATCTCTGCCCACCCTCCGCAGGACCCGTAGAGGCAGCAACGTACCTAAGAGTCTGTGTGGGAGCACGCAAGCACTGCTAAATCTCGCGTAGATGCTCTTTTGCCGCAGGACCCAAGCGCTGAACGGAAAGGCCTAAAATGCTTCAAGTCATAGATCACATGATCAGAGGCTTAGTTATGACTCATTCAACTGCCAGTACGCGCGCAGGCGGCTTTCCAACATTGCTGCTTGTCGGGACACTTGAACAAACGTTCAATGTACCCTAGACGGGGGAGAGGCAATCGAAGTGCGATGGAAATACAGCTAAAGACTTTATTACCTGACAAAATGGCACATAAGCATCGCGTATCGGGCTCGGAAGATGATTCATCACCACTAATGGACGAAGAGGCCTTGTCGTCCTCCTCTCACGATGTATGTGCCACTTGGTCGAACTTTTTATTTGCACATTATCAATACGCAGCCGTTGGGTTGGGGGTTGCGATTATGAATACAAGAATGATATTCATTGATTGTGATCATTGATATGGGAGGAATATCCGACCGATTCACTGTTGAATTCCTCCACTTAGTCGTTACCAATACATACCGGCGAACAAAGGCGAGCTGCGCCATCGAAACATAGAACCTGGATCAAGCGGCTGATTACAGGAAGTGGTCCTTCTAAAACCCCGAGAACCATACCTCTTGCTGGTGAGAGCGCCATACGCCGCAACAGAAGACTTTTCCACCATCATCTTGACGAGATTCGTTGGGTTTGCATGCTTCTATTGTAGGAAATGTACCTAGCGAAAAATACCCTCCCAACGTCATCAAGAATCAAAAATACAATGTGGTCACGTTCTTACCTATAGTCCTATATGAGCAGGTTCGCTTTATTTTTATTTTGTGTACGGAAAGTTACATGTTTTAATCTCCACTATCATTAGTTCAAGTTCTTTTTTAATTTATACTTCTTGCTCGTCGCTCTATCGCAGTTCATTCCTGCCTTGAAAATTGGTAAGAGGCTGAAAGCAGCCTCCTTCGTACGCAAACGGCCTTTTATTTATACATCAACTTATGTGACAGGATATCTTTTTACATACTTTGCCCCGCTCTCGTTTGTTTTGGTAGTTACCATTGGAAAGGAAGCCTGGGATGACTGGAAGCGGTATAAACGAGATCAAGTAAGGGAATTGTTGATTGTCTTGAGGGTGGAGAAAGGCATTGACCGAGAGCAGGAAGCAAATTCCCAAGTATACCAAAAGCTTACGAGCTCGGGATACCAGGGCACTCCCAGCTCTGAAATCAAAGTAGGAGATCTAGTATTGATAGAGAAAAACCAGAGGGTAAACGGAATGTTTGCAACCAGTATACTTGGGCCATGAGCTGAAGTGTATTTTGGACACCGATAGGTTCCCGCTGATTGCATACTATTGCGAACCACAGAGTCCGGCGGGGCATGCTTCATTCGCACTGATCAGCTTGACGGGGAAACTGACTGGAAGTTAAGGTAAGATACACCTGGGTCTCGTCATGCGATTCATTCCTCAATGTATGAACAGAATAGCAGTACCATATACCCAGAAGCTTGCAAACGACCAAGCGCTGTTGCGCTTACGTGCATTTGTTTATGGTGAGGATGAGGATACTGCGTATGGTGTTTAAGAACCAGCCCATCTGATTGACCGCTGACTCCAAAATAAAATAGCTGAAAAGCCTCACAAAGATATTCACACCTTTGTGGGAAACCTTAGTGTCGAAACCCCTACGGTTGGTGCTGTGTATCGTGACTTAGTAGTGCATATCATACAGAGCCTGATAGCAACGCCTGAATTTGACATTAGGGAGATCAGGTAGAACCGCTCAGCGTCGAGAACACCCTTTGGACCAACACAGTAGTTGCCTCGGGCCAGGCTATTGCAATGGTTATGTACACTGGCGTCGACACCCGCGCAGTGATGAACACAAGTTTTCCCAGCACAAAAGTAGGGCAGCTTGATCTCGAGATCAATCGACTCTCCAAAGTGAGTAGTTGTGTGGGTCTATGCTCCAAATGTCCATCAGCGTCCTGATGCGGTAAGCGAAATAGATTCTAGCCGCAGTAACATTCGTGCTCTCGATCACCATGGTTGCATTGAATGGATTCCGAGGTTTATGGTATATCTATATGTTCCGTTTCCTCATTTTGTTCTCTTCGATCATTCCCATCAGGTAAGGAAACTTAGTTATGAGCACGCGACGTAAAGGGGTGCTAATTCATTTTACGCAGCTTGAGAGTCAACCTAGACATGGGGAAAACGGTGTATTCTATGCAGATCATGCGAGATAACAGTATACCAGACACAGTTGTTCGAACAAGTACGATTCCGGAGGAGCTAGGTCGAATAGGATACCTTTTGACTGACAAAACTGGCACTCTCACGAAGAATGGTAGGCGCATATACCAACAATTCGACGCTACCGGTGTCATCAATGCGCTTGACATTTTTAGATATGGAACTTAAGCGTCTGCACATGGGAACAATGTCTTATGGGGGCGAATCAATGGAGGATGTACGCGGGCTTGTGCAAACTGCATATAGCGCCCGTCAAGGTAAGCAGAATAGGATTCGCTTAGAGGACTCCTAGGTTAGCGTCCGCAAGTTTTGGCACTTCCTTGACAAGTGCCTTGTCAGGTACGGAAGGTTCCGCATTCCGCTTTAAGCGTGCTCGCGATATCGCCTCTCGAGTTCGAGATATAGTGCAGGCCCTTGCACTTTGCCACAATGTGAGACATGGTCGACTTTATACAGCGCTTGATTTTTTGCTCTAACATGATAATATAGGTGACTCCTGTGATTGCGGATGACGGTGAAATAACCTATCAGGCCTCATCCCCAGACGAGGTAGCAATTGTAAAGTGGACCGAATCAATTGGCCTGACGCTTTACTTTCGGGACCGCAATGTCATACGCATTCGCACACCTGATGGTCAGATGCTGGATTTCCAAATCATTGAACTATTTCCGTTCACGTCCGAAACAAAGCGCATGGGCATTATTGTCAAGGATACAGCGACCGGCGAGATCTTTTTTTACCAGAAAGGCGCCGATGCTATTATGAGCAAGATAGTGCAGTATAATGACTGGTTGGACGAAGAATGTGGAAATATGGCAAGGGAGGGCCTGCGGACGTTGGTGATTGGAAGGAAACGGCTCTCAGAAGAAGCACTCCGGGAATTTCAGAGGAGGTATATTTACGTCGGAGTATCGTTTACCGATGGGATGAATTCTCAGTACCATCTGCATTCTGTAGGTATTCTGAGGCTAAAATTAGCGTGGGTGACCGAAACAATATTATGCAGCAAGTCGTTTCAGAAACGTTGGAGTGCGACTTGGAGCTTTTAGGGTTGACTGGAGTTGAGGATAAACTGCAGGTATGTGGATAGCTCGGCAGGTTTCGTTGGGAGAGACCGGTATTTGACAACTATTGTTAGGATGGCGTGAAGACAACATTGGAGCTTTTGCGAAATGCTGGCCTTCGAGTCTGGATGCTTACAGGTAACCGGACGAACCTTCTCGGACCGATACTGGATACAGTCAACTCACATGTGCCTAGGTGATAAAATCGAAACTGCCACCTGCATCGCCGTGTCTTGCAAGCTCGTTTCACGCAATCAAGCCATTCACCAGATCGCTAAAAGTAAGTGCGCTCGTACGGTGCTGACCCATCTAAAAAGAGCTGATTTGGCATTGTAGTGACCAATTCTATGGAGGCCATGGAAGAATTAAGTCTCCTTCAAGGAAAGACTGATTGCTGCCTGGTAATCGATGGAGAGTCCCTACATGTATGTTACCTTCGTTGCGGCTGTGTGCCCATGTTTGATGTTTATTAATGTCCAAATCCATTTCTGTAGACTTACTTGGATCGCCACCACCTTGAGTTCATCCAAGTCGCTATTCGCTTGCCGGCCGTCGTCTGTTGTCGCTGCTCGCCAACGCAGAAAGCGGAAATAACGAAACTTATCAAGAAGTATACTGGCCAGCGCACATGCGCTATCGGAGACGGAGGCAACGATGTATCAATGATCCAGGCAGCGCACGTGGGAGTGGGAATAGTTGGCAAGGAGGGGAAACAGGCGTCACTGGCCGCCGATTTCTCAGTGACTCAGTTCAGCCATTTGACTCGACTACTACTATGGCACGGGCGAAATAGCTGTGCGTTCACGGTCGTCCGTTCATATTCCTCCTGACGACTTATCTTACGTGCTATTTATCTTTGTAGATAAGCGGTCGGCCAAATTGAGCCAATTCGTTATACATCGGGGTCTGATTATATCCATTATGCAAGCCGTATTCTCAGCCATTTTCTATTTCGCTCCAATTGCGCTATACCAGGTAACATTCGTAATGTTCAGTACCTGCATGTCATGTAAGTTATTGAATCTTCCGATTTGATAGGGCCTTCTGCTTGTTGGGTAAGATGTTGTTCTTCCACTCTGGAGTTAAACGTTTTACGAAACTTGGGTAAACTAGATACGCGACGGTCTTTACCATGGCACCCGTCTTCTCCTTGGTGCTTGACAAGGACGTCAGTGAAGACACTGCGTTGCTATATCCTGAGCTCTATAAGGAATTGCGGAAGGTAGATCAAAGAACGGTGCAATCGCGTTGGTTTGATGTTTATCATTCCTATGGCATAGGGTCGCTCGTTGTCGTTCAAAACTTTTTTCATTTGGCTTACGATTAGCGTGTATCAAGGTACGCTTTTGCCGCGCCTGTAGCATGTGAGTATTGCTAACGATCGCATCCTTGTTGGCTATAGGCGGTGTAATTATGATGCTTGCTACTTGGCTGTTCGAGGACGAGTTCATCAACATCGTATCAATTTCTTTTACGGCACTTATTTTTAATGAGCTGCTAATGGTTGCCTTAGAGATCAACACCTGGTACGTCTCCAGTGGTGCTGGTTTCATAGTCCTATTTTGTGCTGATTTATCTCCAAGGCACCCTTACATGGTATATTCTGAGGTCATAACGGTAGCACTGTACATATCGTCTATGTGGGTGCTGAAGACAGATTTCGGTCAGTGTAACGCATTATGCTCGATTGACCAGGATAACGCTGAACATCCACGTTTATCCTTAGATCTGACATTTATTCTCACCACTACATTTATTTGGAAAACCGCTGTGATAACCGCTGTGAGCAGCTTTCCACTGTACATATTGAAGTTCCTGAAGTGGAGGTGGAATCCGCCTAGTTATACAAAACTTGCAGGATAACTGTGTCGATTGATGGTCATTTACAAAATTTACAAATTATTACACTTTCTAACTTGCCGCTGCTCGCAAATAATAAATCCAGACGACATTGCTTTCCCCATGACTAATCATTAACTTTCCCACTTTAGATATCGGGCCGGTTACAGTTTTGGCTGGTGTCGTTGTCGGAGCAATGGCTGCAGCTGTGTCCTTGGCTCGTTCGCTTCGTTCTCGACGCGAAGCGGGCGGCGCTGTCGCTTCTTCTTTTTCACCCTTCTCTGCGTTTGGCGTATAAGGGACGCCCGAAGGCGGTTTGAACGCAATAGAGACCTGTATGGTCTTTTTGGGTCCAATGGTTTCCGCTGCTTTAACAGCGAATGCAGGATTATCCTAAAAGGACAGACTTTCAATTGATGTCTTGCGAACCACAAGAAAACTATATCCATGCTTACCACAATGAAATTAAATGTAGCGCTCGAATTGAAAATATTCTTGAAGGGCAATGACGCTGGTACACCAGGTTTGATGCTGACTGGTCCTTGGGGACGGGGTGATATGCAATGTCCAAACAATGGACATATGTAATCCCCACCGGTTGGTGAAGATACAATCAACTGCGTGCGTGTGTCCCCCAGTCGGGATGGCTCGTATGTTACGTCGATGCAAACCTCACATCCGCTATTGGTGGCTGGTAGATACAATATTAGACAAAGTTCTATCACCCAAAAGACATTCACCTTCGTACCTGCAGGCACTAAAATCGTTTTTTCCGTGAAAAAGTCGGCACTATCGATTTTGCATGTATATTCTGTTTTCGCTTTGGCAAAGCTTACAAATCGGAACGATTGAACTTGGCTACCGCCAAGACCGACTTTAAAATGTAAGCTGCGTTCTGGACCCGCTGGATTTGCTATCAGTTTGAGGTCGTACTGATAGACGCCTAATTCGCTAGATGATATTGCGAGTCGTGCGGTCGACTCGCGTGGTTGCAAAGGTAGAAACTCAATTGTGCATATGCTTTCAGCTCTATAGATCGCGGTTAAAGGTTTGAATATTGGGTATGTAGATGTTCGCGAAACTTACCGAGGCTGAACAACCAGTGAATGAGGAACTGTGATGTCCGGATAATTGCATGACACATTGAAAGCCACTGGGACTGCAAGGGGATTCGCGAGGACAATATCCTTTGTTGTCGCCTGTCGGACAGTGGTGGCGAGTTCAATCGTCGAGATAACCCCGGGTGACGTGCTCCGGAAGGTCACATTGAAGAACGTAAATTCCTGGGTGGCCTCGTTCTTAAATATGATTCTCGCACCTGTAACTCCTTCCTTGTACGCATAAAAGGAAAGCTTGTAATCCTTGCTTAAAAGAGACGGCAGGTCGATGAAGTCATGTCCTTTTAAGATTACGCTGGGATCGGGCTTCGCCTGTTCGATTATTACTTTTAGACGCTGCGGTTTCTTCAGCCAGTTTGTAACAGATAATATCTCGGTAAACTGCGTCTTTGAAGGGACGTCGCGGGTGATATTGCCAGCAGCTACAGGTTTATCGGCAGTACCATACAATTTGTACAGCATGCCCGTCCCGTCTGGAAGGGGAAAGAAAATTGATCCCTCGTGCCGTCCACCATCTCCATCGCCGGTCATTACCAGAGGAGTGAAGGTTATATCGTACGATTTACTCTGGCCGGGCTCTATGTCGATAATTTCTGGTCCGCTCCAGAAGTCATTTTCTATGATCGGGCGAACATGCCAGTATGTGCTAGTTCTATTCGACAGTGATATGCTCTTTGTATCTGACTGACGTACGGGTGCGGCAAACTTCAGTACTTCATTTTGCACTGGTGGCGGGATACACATGCCGGTTAAGGTAAGATACAGAGGTGGTATGCCTTCAACATGACATGTCAGATTCTCATAACGGATATCCGGATTCAATTCGGTCGGGCGGAAGGTTATCTCCAGTGCAATCTCCATGCCTGGAGAGATGTAGCCTTCCGATGGCGAGATGGTGAAATCGGGAGCGAATTTGGACACATCCCAATGGAACGTCGCGCCTATGTCCCCAACGTTCTGCATTTGCACACGACGAGCGGCCGTGCTGTGGTAGACTACAGCACCAAATGGAAGCGTTTCATTCTCTAAACGGACCTCCGTCCCTTGGCAAGCACCGCTAACTATCGCGAGAGACTTTGAAATCCCAGGTGCCTCTAAGCATATCTCCTCCGAAAACGCCGGAATGCGGGATTGAGGATGAAACCGAACGTCGACGTTGAGGGTACCACGAGGTCGAAGGGTGCAACTGCCGCGAGGAGATAGTTCCACAGAATGTGCCGCAAGACTTTCAAGAGCAGACGGTGGCCCTATGTTAAAGTTGGCTGGAATGGTGCTATGGTTCACTAACTTCATGGTACGACTAACAGCATGGCCGACTCTCGCTGCACCAAAGTTCAATGTCCGCTGTTCTGCATGTAGGGGCTCTACACGAAATTCCGTCCCATTCCCCTTGACGATGAAATCCACCGTTGACAAACCATTGATTTCGATTTTTATTATTTCAGTATAGGCCACAGAATCTCGCGGATAGAATGATATCTCAAGTGGTGTGGTCTGGCCAGGAGGCAGAGTACTAGCAACTCGTTTTACATCGAACACAGCTGAATCCAGAGGAAGAATATCGAATAAGATGTCATTCACGTCCTCGTTGGTTAACTCGATCGTAGTCGTAGCAGGGTTCATCCCAGCTTTGTAGACGAAATGTGTGCCAAAATCGTGTAAGACCTTGGAAAGTTTTAGGAGCGGTCTCACTCCACTTCCGCGGAAAGCAATCTGGTACGATCGACCATTTAAAATATGGCATGTGGCTTTCGCCTCCTTCAGGGATACGACTTGTGTTGGTAGGAATGAGACATCGCAGACCATCCGTTCTCCCTTCCGCACAATGCCGGTTTCTGGCGTGATACACAACGCTCCACTTCTCTTGCCTTGTAGCTTCCAGTTGAAGTCAAAATTGAATCTTCCAGAATTGATGATAGCAATTCGCCGAAGCCGCTTTTCGTTCAGTTGAACCATCCCAAAGTCAACCACATTTTCCGCCGTAGGCCCAGATATCAAATCTGCCAATGCACCATCTGGAAGCTCACTTTGAAGAGAGTCGTGTATCTCGTACCCTTCTCCTTTGACATTAATCGACAAAGGAGAAGGTTTCTTTCGAACGTTACATAGAAGGTTATAATTGAACATCTTCTCCGCTGACGGTACAAATGTAATCTCGATGGCAGCTTCGGACTTAGCCGCTATTGTACCCGCCGTCGGAGAAAATCTCAACACCGGAACGCCATCATTATTCATTTCGAACGAAGTGTCGTTGAAGCAGAAACTGAACGGCACAGCTTCGTTGTTCACTAATTTGACAATTTCCTTCACTTGACGTCCGACAAGAACTGATTTGAAGTTCACACTTGGTCGATCCATGAAAACGTTGGGCTCCATAGCTTGTCCAACGAGTAAAAATGAAACAGAGAGCTTATGACCTACAATATTGAAGCGCCAAAGAGATTCCTAAACGAAGGATAATTCGCATTAATAGGCGACTACATCGATGAGAGCTACGCAACGCACCTTTAAGTCAATCGATTCCGGGGTGAATTCGAAGACTATTTCGTACTTCTTGTTTGCCGTAACAAGACCTCTCGGTGTGAGACACTTGAACATCCGCTCGTCTCCTGCTTCATGAACCCATTCAAAACTGTAGCTGATGTTGGTGGGATTTACCAGATAGAATCGCTTGGTGTTTCGGATCTTCACTCCATAAGAAAAGAACTCAATCACTTTGGTGCCTGGATCGAGAACCTTTGTAATCGCAGCGACTGAGGTGAGATCCATGTTGCGCCTAACTAGGTAGTCACTCTCTTCAATCTCGAAGTGGCAGAAGGGTCGCTGGGAACTTCCCTGGATGTGAAGCTGCATGGCCTTTTGCCCTGCTGCCAGATTGGACATTGAGCTCACCAGCTTAGCGGTGTATGTTCCAACTTCTACTGGGGAAAATCTCAGGGTGAAGCTGGCCGTCTCCCCACCCTCAATAGTGCCGGACGATGGTAGAACACTGAAAGGACAGTCTACCGAATCCGGGTCCAGTGGGGAATTATCATCATCGATAAAGGTGAACGTGTAAGGTAACCGCACCTTGCCCGTGTTGCGGACTGTGAAAATATATATCCGTGTTTGATACATCATGGTGTCTTTGAAGCGAACATTCGTCACGTCACATTCATACGAAGAGAATTCGGCAAATCCGGAAAGAAGCAGGGTGCGATCCGGCAAAATATGGCCGAGTATCTCGACAGCTGGCTCCGGATGCTGTTCAACAATCTTCTTAGGCGTCATCACCCTGGACAAGTCCGTCATTACCCAACGAACTGCCTTCATAGAATCATCCCAATCCGCATCGGGTGGTTGAGATTCATACTTGATTTTGGCAACTTTAACCGGTACATGGACACCAACGTGTTCATTGGGATGCCGGGCTAGGAAGGAAGCGGTAACTTCCTTACTTCCCTTCGGACGAATGTGCAAGCACGAAGGTGAGAAGCTGAAGTCGTCGTGATCTCCGAAAGCGATACGTAAATACTCATGCGAATGGTTAGTTACGCTGAATGCGATCTGCTTTGGTTCGTTCACAAAGCAGTCTCCGAAGAATAGTTCGTTTTCCGAGTCATTCGGTAAGCCATCGAAGCTCAGTTCGTCAAGATACCCTTCCCCAGAAAGCTGTATTGAAGTATCCTCGAATGTATTATCAATCACACGGACACGCAACTCTGCATCAAGCTTTCGGGCAGCGCTTGCACGGCATCGCACGTCATAACTACGACTCTCCTGAGGCTTCAATGTGTATGTTTGATTTAGTCCAGCACAGTCAAAATCATCTGTATCTTTCGCATTCCATTCCAGTTTAACCTTTGCCGCTATAATTCCATCATTTCGAAGCACAATAGGTAAAGTTTGCGATGCGCCAATCAGCAGTCTTCGGAAATGGAGTAAAGGAATTCCTGCCTTGTTTCTGAGCGAGGGCCTGTCAACAGTTATGCGTGGGAGTGTTCCTTCCCCTCGTAATTCAAAAGAAAGAGTTTTTGTTTTGCTCTCGGCGACATTTTCGACGACTGCCTCGAAGATTCCGGCATAGCTCTGAATCAGCATAGGATGAAATGTGACGGTAATATAGCGGCTTTCATGGCTTGGAATCGATAACCTCTTCGGTTCTGAATCAAAAGCGAAGTCAGCAGCTTCACCACGGGCTTTTGTTCGGGGTCGCGTTGATATAGTCACATCGCATGGGATTTTGTATGGATTGGACAGCTTAAAGCGAACCTGCGCTTGCTGCCCCACTAAATACGGTCCAAAATAGAAAATGCGATCATCCTCGGCATAATAGCTGGTTTGTGAAGAGAACAGTTCCAGGCGTTTGCAAAGGGTATGCTCCTCAAAGATTGATGCGTAATCTGAAGTGTTGATTCCAGGTATGCAGCTTTCGCCGATTAAACGATACTCCAACACATCAGGATACTCCGATGGAGAACGATCCGATATGTCGATTGCTGCAATTTCCTCGAAACTGCCAGGAGTTTCAGAATGGAATTCGACAGTAATAGGCTGTTTTTGGCCAGCGCTTACAACCCCACTTGTGGGGAAGATGGCAAATGCTCCAAAATTAAGCGTATCGCCCTGCTTGATAACATCTTTCCGGCTCATTATTTTAGATGATGGTGGCGAAGTTGCCCGTCCACCTGTTTTGCTGGCCCGTGAGTTAGTTCTTGTCTTGCCCCCAAGTTTGTTGTCCGTCAACGCGGCAACCAATTTGTAGATGGAGTAACGGAAGTCAAATTCCCCCAAGTTTTCGATTATAAATTGCCGCGTTGCTTTCGTTCCATGGACCAGTGCTCCAAAGTTCAGATCTCGTACGGGAAGGATACTAAACTTGCTAAATACAGCCCGTGCAGAAAGTTTCACTGGAATAGTAGCGGTAACCTCTCCTGTCACTGGTTCAAAGAACTGGCATTTGCACGAGGTGCTATCTCTGATTGTCAGCTCACGGCCGCTTCGGAACACTAGCTGCACTTGGAACGGCTTGTCGGACGGCTGAATGACTCCTTGTTGTGGGGAAACGGTAAAAAGGTCGCTGCACTCCTTACTGTCGAAGGCAAATCGGTACCCAACTTCGTATTTGCCCTTGTTTCTGAGCGTACACATTTGCTTGCCCTCCTCGAATACCTTGATGACGCCGAAATCTAATCCCCCCTCGTAACCCTTGGGAAAATGAAGATCTACCGCGATATCGTACGCTTCGGCAGTCACCAAGATAGGCACCTCCTGTACAACGCCCGCTATTCTATCAGTATCGCTGACCTCGAGGCGTACTAATTTCTTGACTACAACTGGTTTGTTTCCCTTGAAATCCGCTGCAATGGTGCACTCCTGTGCTGGGTCCAGCACCCCTTCCACTGGCCCAACTTGAAATTCATCTCCAAGCGCATCGGCTCCAGCAAGCTTCCATGCCACTGGCAAAAGGGTGTTATTCCTCAACCGCAGTTCTCGCCTTTCCATTTTCCCCAATAGCAGCTTATCGAACGTCAGAGATTTCTTGTCAATTTCCAATTCGGGCTTTACTCCAGTACAAGTCAACTTAAAGGAATAGGGCTCTGGATTGTCTTTCACGCAAATTACGAACAAATCTTCTACGTGGTTGGTATTGCGCGGATATGCCCATATTGACAAGGTCTCGGTCTGTCCAACAGACAGATCCATACTCTGTGGCTCAAAAAAGAAGACATCACCCTTTACATCGTTACGGAGTCCAAATGCCACCTTTATTTCCGACTTGCCAGGGTTGGTGATATTCAACAAAGCTCGGTTTTCTGGATATCTGTCCAGGTACTTCTCTCTGGGTTTGCTGTAGAGAAGGGGGCCAAAATCGTACGTTCCTGTCGATGCAATGTATTCGCCGTGCACTATAGCCTTGTCATCCTTGGTCTTTCGCCATTTTTGAAAAATCTTTTTGGGGTCGCCAGCAATCTGAGCGTACTGACAATATCCAGCGCAATGAATGGAATATCGTCCTTTCGCTCCGACCAACTCAAAGTTGAGGGTCTGCTCAAACTTTCCAACTTCCGCAGCGCTAAATTTGACAAATAGCTCCTTTCGTTCGTGCGGTTGAATTACCCAACGGAATCGCCTGATCTCATCTTTGTCAATATCATCATCACTCTCAACTGCAAGTTTGACGTCTTCGTTGACTTTTACCACCGGGCGTGCACGTCTGCCATTATCCGTTCGCGCACCCGTATTGCTGGAGGTACTTGCAACTGCTCCTGTCGCAGGAGTTGTAGCAGCGGGTAGAGAAGGGACTACTTCCGTCAAAGGAAGGGCATCATCCTCGCTTTCAATAGCAGCCGGGGCGAACAGGCTAAAGTATTTTAAATGAGGGGCTACATCAGCCCTTTCGGGAGGTAACGACATAATCTGCTCTATGTAAGGCTCCGGCATTCTGTCAAAAACATCGACTCCCTCCTCCGCTTTCGACTGAGTGGGAAGATGCTCGGTGATGGTCTTAAAGACAGTGTCCTCATCCAAGTTTGCATTGATTTCAACATAATACCGTGCCATACTTTCTTCCGCACCGTGTTGCTCACCTTCCGAAGTTGAGAGAACGCCGCTCGCTGCAGCCACGTCCGGAGGAACTGTCCCTCCAGCACCAATTTTCGTTTTTGGTGCCTTTTTTTCTGCCTGTACTGTCCCGGCTAGCTGCCGACCGGGGACCGGTCTGTCCCCATCCTTCAACAGATTGATAACTGCTTCCAGCGTTGAAGAGTAGTTGTCAACTCGTCGATAGGTACTCTCATTCAAAAACAAGTCACCTCCTTCGCTCAGGGTAAAACGCGAAGACAGATCGTCAAAAGCGTCTTTGTCAATACGCTCCCCCAGCTCACTGCGAGTACCCTTCTCTGATCCACGTTCTATTTTATCCAAAGCAAGTCGCTTTATGACTTTCGGAGACATTGCGTCCGTTTTTACTTCACCTATCGATAAATTGTTACGACTCAATCGCGCATCGCTCTTGCTTCCAGGGGATGGGGCAGTTTTGTCAGGTTTGTCAATGGGACGGGTACTAATGGGTGGCCTTCGTGCTCCCTTTTTGGCTTTGGCCTTTTCTTCCTCAGCTTTCCGCTCAAGCCTGATTGCAAGTTCGTCCTCCCAATGTCGATGCTCCACCTTCTTACGATCTTGTTGCTCTTTCAAACGTCGCCTATATTTAGCTATCAAATGATCATATTTTTCTTTTTCTTGCTCTGTCATATTGTCGTAATCTGCTTCTGACACCTCCTCAACGTGAAGAGCATCTGCATCTTTATCACCGCCACCACGGTGTGCACTGCCTTCACGTTCACGGATATGCAAAACATCCGCAGCTAGATTGAATAGCAGAGGTTTTCGGCTCCTTTCAGGGTTGCCGCGCATAATCGCTCGCATTATCACCAAAGGCGTTCCATATTTGCTTTCGAGCCCATCAAAGACAATTCCGCGAGTGCAATCTTCCTTCTGCAATCCGACTCTAATGATGTCTGCAATGAGGTCTTCGGATAGGGAGAACTGCGTGTCGCCCGTATGGTAATGATCGCGCTGAGGGGATTCCCCATCATCGCGTTCCAGTGCTGGCGTTGCCGAGAATGGGTAATGATCGTCAGCATCTGCGGCCACACTAGCACTCACGAGTACTTTTGCGCCCCCCGCACCTCCAGAGATATTTTCAGCATGAACTCCTGATAAAGCTTCTTTCAGCCTAGATGCAATGTCATGCCCACTACCTTCAGCGCCTAGGTGGACATCAATCATCTCATCCACTCGCACATAGACATAACCAAAGGTCTTGGAGATACGTCGCGCCTGTGTCTTACGACCGGCAAATGGAGGTCCATGAAGAATGATGTTTACTGGGACATCTGGGGTGGAGACGGTTGAACTTTCGTTCGCATGTGTTGTCCCTGTAGGCAAATGCGATAAAGCGGTAGAGGACTTTGCAAATCTTGATTGTTGCAAGGAACCTCCCACTGGTAGGGTTTCTACAAGGTCGCCAACACCAGTGTCACTGGGCATAGGCTCCTTGCCATTTCTCTCCTGTTTGATTTTTGCAAGGGCGGCTTCCACGATGGGTTCAGGTAGGCCACCTCCAGGTTCTCGCGGGGGAATATATAGCACTCCATTTTGGTACCAGCCATCTAAATGTTTCAATAGCTCTTCTTCTTCCAAATACTGCTGATCGAATTCCAAAGAATACATCTCCAAAGGGTAGTCGGTGGGATTGTATGCAATGAATTTTCGCACCGCTCCATCAGAGAACGGTAGTACTGGCCCCATAATCAGCGCCTCAGGTTCGAAAATGATAGAGGGTTGAATCCCTTTGCCGGTGACACGGAGTTGAGCGGCCTTTGCATTCATCGTAATCTTGATGGGAAAGGTTTCGTCGTAAATCCTATCTTCCATTGGCACAAAGTGCACCATCATCATAATCTTTTCTCCTGGCTGCAGGATGCCCGAAGATGGGATGAAATCAAACTCTCTTATCACTTGCGCTCCCAGCTTCTTTTTGACTTTCTTCTTTGTTGGTACTGGGACAACATCGGTTGTGACAACCGTCCATTCACAGGGCACCGTGTAAGAATTGTGCAGTCGCACCATAACTGTCTTGCGATAACCACACAGAACCTCTCCAAAGTCAATCTCATTGGTTGAAATCGTGAGGTCAGGGACCGTTACATATGCTCGAAGTGCAAGATCAATGCTCGGACCGCCAGCAATCTTCACAGGTAAATCTACCCCCACAGTTCCTAAATCCATATTGATACTCATGTTTCTGGCTTGAAATGTAATTTGAATGTCGATACATTCATGGTGCGGTGCTCCAGGAAGGAGCCTAACTTTGTCAGGCTCTACGGAGAAACCAGTCCCAGTCAATACAGATTTGTCTATCGTGAAAGAGATCGGGTGCAATCCGGTGTTCTTCAGTCGCACCGTTTTCTTCTTCTGAGTATTGCGGATTACATTGCCAAAATCGCAAATGTAACTCGCCAGTTTCACTTGAGAGCTTTCACTCAAGCTAACAACACTCTTTTTGTCCGATCCTTTGCCTTGCTGTATTTTAGAGAATAGGATCGGAGACCCCACATATTTTCCCCTAGGTACGGGTGGCATGCGTGTGCGAATGTCATCGTTGAGTCGAGCTAGAAGGTCCAATGTTCTCTCCTTGAGAAGGAGCCTTTCAGCCTGAGCTTCTGCTTCAGGATCCGGAAATTTGCCTGGTGCATTGTCGCTAGCCAAGTTTTGTTTGGCCTTTTTGGTGCACGCAGACTTCACTTCGGCCAAATGCGCGTCGTATCGTTCATCGGGCATCCTAGGAATATTCAAGCTCAAACGGGGAAATGTGCCTGCTCCGGTAACTTGGATCTTCACCGGCTCAAATTGCGCTATCTGGACGAAGAAGTAGTCATCCACAGTCTCGGGAACAGCAAAGCAGCATCGTACGGCTAAACGCTGCTTCGTTCGAGGTCCAATAGTTCCTGCAGCTGGGAAGATGGCGATCTTTTGCTGAAGTGGGGATTCGGCCAGGAGCAAGGTGTTGAAGTCAAAGCTCACTCGCCCCATATTGGTGAGTATCAAATCTTGCTCCAAAATGTCTTGATATGACTGTGTCCCAAAATCGATTACATGGCGATCAAACTGGTACTCAATCAAAGACACCTCTCCTTGGAGACTGATCTCGTACTTTGGACCCCCTGCAACATCGCAAATGGCAACTGCACTAAATCGGCCACCAAGATGACCATAGAAGGTTATCTCAACGGTCTCGCTGTCGCCAGGCATCAGCATGCCGTGCAGTGGTCGAATATCGAAGATTTGGTCAATCAGGACATCTGACAATTCTGACTCGTCTTGCAGTGTCGTCTGAAATGCTGGAGCATGGAACAACCATGAATAGGAGACAGGCAAAACGCTGCAGTTTGTCATAACTAGCGTTTTCTTCTGTTCGGTATTGATCGGTATGCATCCGTAATCCATCGACATGGCTCCGAACGACAGGTTAGGGAAGGTGACTTCACTGTACATCTCCACTATATCTTTCTGTGGATGCTCAGCGTAACGAATAACGAGTTTGGCGTGCTCCTTTACAGTGACGCGGTCCGTATGGAAAGACGGGTCATAAGTGACCGTTACAACGGATGTATCTCCGGGATTTAGCGCATTCTCAAGCTGGGGTGGATTTACGGTATATGAGCTCGGGCATTTAAAGAAGACATGCAGTGGCAGTGGCGATGTGTTCTTCAGTTGCAACTTTTGCGTCAGTACCGTACAATCTTCATCTCTCTCATGGGCCGCAAAAAACTTTAAGCTTGGAGGTGTCAATTTCATTAATGGTGTAATAAAGTTTGCCGAAACTAGGGTCGTAAGGATTTGTCTACGAGTTGGATCTTTGTCGATAAATCCTTGGCAGACCAAGGTCTCGGAAACCTCAATGGCTTTGCTGGAATATCCCTTGATCGTAATAACTTGCTGACCATTTGGCTTGAGCGTGAACCGGCTAGGAATGACTTCAAATACCGGCTCCCAAATGCCATTAGCATCCTTGCTTCGCTTCTCTTCCACCGACCAGATGAGTGTTTGCGACCGTCTTCCTTTATTAACGAGGGTGAAGTCGCGACTGCATTCTCTACTGCTGAAAACATCGTCGAAATGCACTTCCTCCAGTGACTTGTCAAAGACAATTGTTGTCCCCTGTCCGCGTGCGACTAAATGGACCTCGTGAACACCTCCGGAGTGTGTAGCAATCTTAATAATGTCCGTGAATTTGAGCGCATCATCAAGAAACGCCGTGACCTCGAGATCTACTTCTGCTTGAGGAGAAACCCACCCTTCACTTGGCGATACTCGATATACCGATTGGTCACTGACTGCGTTACAAGAAAAATGAGCCGCAATCGGAGAGTCATTCTTGAGAGACAAAGACATAGGAACATCTTTCAAGACGGGTATTTTGCCCCAGTTGAGTTCGGTAGTGGAAACGACCACAGACGGACCAATGCCGTTTGCAGTGATGTCAACAACCACCGGTATCTCTTCGTTCCCGCTAATCGTTAGGAAGATAGGAAAGTTTATTTGTCCCAGCCTCTTGATTTGAATCTCCAGATTTATTTTGGTCTCTGAGTGCGGTTCTATTACCCCAATTGCGTTCCGTGAAGAGTACTGAAATACCGCCTTTGCTGATTCTTCCTGCAGCTGTAGTTTATAACGAGCCGGAAAGTCGGTTGGATTTTCCAATAATACATATCCGTCGTAGAGATAGTTCAGAAAGCAATCGCCATATTCCAACGCGAAAGAGTGTAGTTTGATCTAAAAGTAGAACAACACCTGTCAGATATACAGACGACAGCCCGTTAGGCTACGCGGCTGACCACGAACCTCTGGCACAACACTTTGTGCAAATACCGAAAGTCTGCACATATCATCGCTCACTCCAGGAACATCGACAATAATGTGGGTATCGTATTGTTGAACCGATGTGGGCGTAAAGGCCACATGGATCTTCTGCGATGCGGTCGGAGGTATCACCCCACGCGATGGTTCTATCGCGAACTCTGTTTCATTTGCGGATACCCGCAGATGGAAAGACATCGGGATTTGTGAAGTATTAACCAGAGTCACAGCTCGAACGCTTTCGAATCCGTAGGCAACTTTTTGGTAATCCAGCTCTGCCAGATCGAAGTGGAAGTTGGGACCCACTACCTGCCCTTTGAAACCAAGAATGATCGGCTCCGCAGAACCCTGCAAATAGTTATAGGCATTAGCTTCGCGGCCATAGCTTGTGCATTAAAATTTACAACCTGCAAGTTCCAGGTAAACTCTTCAATAAAAGAGCCAAGAATATCCGGATGGAATACAATATTGATTGCCTGTTGTTCACCGACACCAATGACACCAGATTCCGGGATGAACGAAAATTTTGGCCCAAATAAACTACCAGATGGTCGCAAGGAGAAGATTACGTCGATATCCCCCAAATTCTCTAGGATGACCTGCCACAACCGAGAGAGGCGGAAAGTAGGCATTAGTAAGCTACTATGACAGATTATTGACGTGCACCTGCAAATACGTACCTCATATTTGTGAACAGTGTCAATATAAATGTCCTCTAAATCCAACATATCATACGAAAAGCGAGCTTTTGGACCAACACCTTCTCCCTTGAGACTGGAAGTCAGCATCCCAAAGCTGTTGAGAACTCACAAGACCCACCTTCAGTTGTAGCGGCAGTCGAATGTCCCGACCAGCAACATCACAGTATATTGTTTGCGAGTGTACCCCAGGTGTGGTCGGCTCGAAAAACACGTTTACTTCAACGAAGGATTTCGGCCATACGATTCCATCTGTCGGTTCAACGCGAAAGATTGCGTCCTCAAACAATAAGGGATCGTTGTCGATTTCTCTCTTCTGATTCTAAGATGAAAGTGAATAGGGTGCTACCTACCATCTGCTGCCCAGAGGTATCATGACCATACCTTGTATTTTTGTGCCAGAAGAGCCAAATCAACAGAGTCTCCGATTCGTTCCCCAGACTATGTGTAGAAAGGGTTCTGAGTTAGAGACGCCGAGCTTTGGCCATTGCAGTGGCGAGTTACAATGCGACATTTTATGCTTACTGCTATCTCTTGGCTTCGACCCTTTTCTTCCTCTTCATAGCACAACAGCTCTGCATTTCGCCTCATACGGTATTGAGCCTCTTCTGTAGAATCCGCAAATCGTTTCCATTGAAACTTCGCCTGTCGCAAAGGTGAGATGGATCCTTCTGTCACTACTGGGTACTGAATACAACGATAAGGCTTACCATAATGTCGCTCCGGTTGAAGATCTTGACCGTCTTAATAGACGCCAAAGTGATATAAGTACTGTCCAGTTTCAAGGTCGGCTTTTCCAAACGAATATGAGCGTTCTCCGCGCTCCCCATCAATGAAACATAAATCTCCTCCCCAGTGTCAAAGCAGACACAAAGATCCTGTTTAAAGCTTCCACTTTGCTGTGGTAATGAAGGCCATTAAGCAACTGATGGTCTTCATTCACGAACCAAACGTTGGGGGTTCTGACCTCAGGATGGAACACAACGTCTATCTGCATGCTTTGCTTCAAATCAAGATATCCGTTGGTGGGGCTCACATGAAAGGGGGGCTCGGTCTTGATATGGAATTTTGCGGGGCGATTTCCAATATTACGAACTAATAAAGTGCGGGTGGTGTCGAACTTGACAGGTGCGTCTGTGAAAACCAATTCATCCGGGAAATCTAGTACGGCTATCAAAAGCAAGAGAGATTAGCTTAATTGTAGAGGAAATATTGTCGCAGACGTTACTAAAGGGCTCCATTGGATACCTCGTGCACCAATGGCTTCAATCGGCACCAGGAATGTCTCTCTTTCGGTTACGCAGACCAAATTATATTTGTAGTCCGTTTCGGCCTCTGGTGTAAAACGTAAAATATACGCAACATCCATTCCTGGGGCGACCTTGCCAGAGTTCAAATTGTCATTATTCGATCCAACTATTGTAAAATACGGGCTGTCTATGGGTTCTATTCGCAACCGTCTGGGAACCTGTCATTGGAAAAGTGTTCAAACAGTTCCCTTAGATCTCAGATTCGCTTGTCGCGAGTGGACACCAAACGTCTCCCTTTAGTGTACCTTATCGTTGTTTCTAAAGTTAATAACTATCTCGTAAGTTTCGAATGGTACACAGGACTGTAGCACGATGGTTGAAGGGAACGGCTGGAAGAGTGGCCTGTCTATTGGAACGTCCGAGGGTTTTGTCGCTGTGTCACTCTGATCGATATGCCCAATTATGCGTGGTAAGTAGCCAATACATGATACTTTTGCCATTCGTTCTGCAGTTGATAATGATCGTTCTTTGATAAAGTCTGATGGGCGCCGTTTCGTCGCGGTACCGCTGTCTGGGAAGATCTTGGCAGATGGACTAGTTCCCACCAGCGAGACTGTATGTATACCATGGCCAGCGGTATGACCCGTCCGAAGCCGCGTAACTAATCCTCCAGTCTTGTGGCCACCCGGAGAGAAAGGCTCACGGGGCAAGTGCCTTTGAGCACTCCCGAGGTCGGTGGCCGCCATTCCGGCGGCTCTATTTTAATACGCGTAAGATTATGCAGATTACTGCTGCAGCCTTGGAGGTGATCGGTTCAGATGTCGTCTGCTCCCCCAACGTTGCTGCCTGCTTACGACAATCTCCGCCCGTCGTGGTTGCGATCAGACTTGGTTTTGTACATTCGAACCGGTTAAGGTTAAGATAACTCGGTACGTAATCACATGAAAGGATCTTCCTCCAAAGCACTTTGTCCGTCATCTTCTGCCGACCATGGGTAATATCTCGCAGGTGTCGCCAAGAGTCTTCTCTCTACTCACCCGCCGCTTTACCACTGCGCTGACAGTTCTGGCAGGTAGACATCTTGCTGTGATCGCCACGTTTTATACGGTCGCGTTCAGCCTTGAGTCTTTGACAGTGAAGCCAAGTCGAGAAGCAGATTGGTACCTTCCTGCCGGGTTCCGCCAAGAAGGGGAACTCGCGGCCAATTATGAACTTGCTGCTGGAAATGAGCGTTATGAGTACTTGAAGCGCTTACTTCGAGAGGAACCATGGGAGGATATGCGACCTCTGGTGATGATACGCCGCGGAACGCCGAAAGATCCGATCATCATCCAAGGGATTGATCCTGAACGTTATATAGGTTGTACAGGTATGGTATCATCGTATTTTTTTGATTAGAGACTACTATATGATGGTCCCGATTAGGCTTTCCAGCCGATTCCCATGAAGTGATTTGGCTGACCATAAGGCCGCTGCCGAAGGGCCGTCTCGATCGCTGTCCACACTGCGGAAATTGCTACAAAGTGAGTGAAGCGGTTATATTAAGTTTTTTCTCATTTCAGGTGCGAACTCAATTCGTCACGTTCATTTGTTTATTTTTTAGTATATACGCAGGCCTCTTGCTGATCATTGAATGCTTCGATTTGAATTGCTTACTGAAAGCATATGCTGTGGGATGCAATCAACTATTATGTGTAAATACTATTTTTGCAGGCGTTGTAGTATAGTTGAATGGAGAGCGTCACTTTTTGAATGACCCAAACACCTGCACTTGCATCATGCCGGTAGACATTCCCCTGGGCTTCTAAACACGTTTGTGATGGAATCGCATGAAGAGTTATGTTTGTCTGAATCTTGTAGACAGATGCATCATTTTGCAACCTGCCCGTATTCTGCACAGACAATGATCGCAAAGGCAACCCTCCTCCAAATTCAGATTTTGAGATGCAAGCCGATCTCCTTCGTGGCCATAAATTTGGAGAAGGGCACGTGACTCTGAAGGAAGCGAAAAGGCGACAAACCCCCTTGCTGTTTGTTCCTCTTCATTCCATGGCACTCCTTCCAGCGAGGGCCAAGCAACACCCAAGGTCAAACTGAACGGCAGTATAAAAACCACCCCGCTTCGTAGTCGTGTGAAGGCAAACTCTGATTATCACTCATTGAAAAGTAACCAGTTGTTGGCCAATCGAAAGAAGATCTCAAGGTGAGATTCAGCAACCGGAAACATGGACCGTCTAGTTGCGATATGGTTGCCTTTGCTCAGTTGGCTTTGCGGTACAATACTGACGCACCAATATTATGTTGCAATAGAGCACAGATTCCGTGTGATCGGCAGTTTGCCGATATGTGTGTTTGATAATTGTTCGGCTGGGAACAGCGAAGCGGCTTTACATCCCAGTTAAACCGTTTATATTTCTCGAAACCTGTCATTTCAACCTTTTTTATCCGTCCATTTTATTCCATGCCCTCACCTGAAACTCCCATGGTAAGCTTGTATTATTTTAGGTGGACCATCTCATATATATTAGCTTACCGGTTGCGTCCCTTGCGTCCCTTGTTGACAAAAGACCCAGGAAGTTCCTTGTCTTGATCAAGACGGTTCTGGTGTCTCGCCAGAGCAAAATTCTGGAATAATCAGCAAATCACCATCAATTCTGAAGCAAAAGTCCGAAGGTGGAACAAATCCACTCACAGGGTCGCCACCTTGTGAGGATGATGATGTTGTATCCAGTTCATCTACTAGCGGAAGTGGAAGCATATCGTCCCCATGCCAGTCTGAGACCTCGGCAGATGCTGCATCCGAGGGCAATTGGGCCTCTGTGGATCCCCTACTATTGACCGCCGTACGAAGCTCTAAGGATCGGCTGTTTGTTTTGAAGCTGGATCAGCGGTGTGACGAATTCCTTAAAGACGCAAGGTTTGCATGATGGTTTCTATTTTCTAAGCACTCAAGGGAGTGCATGATTTCAGCGGTCAACTTACACCATTCTCTGGCGTCTAGTCAGACCCGACTGGAGTTTCCCCAGATGAACTCCTATCAGCGACTGATAGTACATCGTGTAGCCCAATATTTCAAGCTGGTTCACGTTGCGGACTCAGCTCGTCGAGCGGTGGTCTTGTATAAGAATGCAGATTCTGAAACGTACGATCTCTATATATCGGATTTTGCTAACGTGGGCAATTTATGTTAACATGCCCTTGTTCTCATTACAGACCTTGTCTACGACTATGCGATATCCCTTTGGATGCGAGTACTGCATCCCAGAGCGCGGTGTCCTCCATCCGAATCATGCAAAGACATTCTCATCATCACAATCACAGTCACAATCGAGCCTCACGCCATTCAAGCACTGATAGCGGTTCTGAAGGGGCTAATGGACCTTCGGGTGCTTTCAAATCAATTGAGGAACGCGAGGCTGCCTATCAGGCGGCGCGAGCACGAATATTTCAGGAAGATTCAGAGTCCGATGTCTCTAGCACCTCACGGACATCGAACCAGTCCAATAGTACAACGGGAAAGAGCACAGCCCGCAGTGGAAAGCATCACAATCGCAGTCAGGCTTCACGTTTAAAGCAGCAGCCAGGTGCAGCGCGGGGAAGAGGACAGCAATTCACTCCTCAAGGTGGCGTCCCATTCTCCATGCCTCCCAGCGATTATGCTCGCGTATCTCCGTACTATGCGTACGACAATGGACCTCGCGGTGGATATCCATTAAACCCTTCTAATGGAATTCGGCCGAACTTGCGTGGACATCCACCAGCATTTGAGGCAATGTATGGATCCGGAGCACCGCCGCCTTTCAACACCAACGGTCCTATGCCGTCTGGGACCCGCTACATGGGATCGTACGTAGACTGGAACGGGACAGTTTGTCATGCCCAAGGCGAGTCGCCCGGTCAATCTGTGCAGGAGCCCAAGGCTCTGGACTCTATAAACAATCCCTTCGGAACAGCATCCATACCTGCACCCTATCCGTTTGCGCGTCCGGATTTTGGCATCCCTCCGTACACGTCACCTTTCACCGCTTCTCACATGGATGGTGTGGCGCTACATTACTACCCAGAGATTGGTACATTTGTGCCTGGGCCAATGGTTGATCATGAAGGGGGCATAATGCAGCATGGTAGTGCACCAGGGCTAATGGGACCGAACGCCCCATACGCTGGTGGTTACCGAGAAACTGAACAAGGAGGATATGTTCCGCAACAGAAAGCACATTTCCCTGGAGGTCGCGATAGGCCGCTTCCTCGTCACGACCCATCTTTCTCAGATTTTTCTGTGCCAGATAGATTACAAGATCCATTGACTGACTGTTTTCGGCCAACGAACCCCCCCATATATCATTCACCTGATCCTCGGCCTCCTTATTCTTCCCACACACCCATTTTTGAAGGAACATCGGTAAGAGTTCCGACTAGTGGACTTGGACGAGGAGGTTATGGCATGGTGAGAGGAGTTGTACCTTATTCAAATGGGAGTAGGGTTGGAGGACCAGAGGAAGGAGAGGTCGACGATCTAATCTCGGGAATAAATAGCGTTACGATAGATAGCATTGGAGATCAAAGCTAGCGGCTCATGGTAAAGCTAGTTCTGTAAATATAGTGAAATTATTACACTCGAAAATATCCCCATTTCATCTGTTAAATTGTGGGGGTTTGGGATTTGATCATGTGAGCGCATGTGATGTGATACAACGGCCAATGTGACACAACCGCCTCGCCTCAACCCGTCGGACGTGGCTTGCCGCAACTTTTGGTTGGGTCCGTTTTGAGTTTCGGTTGGTGTGTGTTTGTTCATTGGGTTATCGGGTTTTGGAAATTATTGTGTTTTTTCAGAGGTTGCTTTTTGGTGGGAGCATCAACGACAGGTTAACGGGCAGCCAAAAACACATTTACTGGCGGTAACTCACCATGAACTTTGATTCAACCCTTCAACGCATTCCGACGGGAGGTTCAAATGAGTATCGGCCAGCACCTGCACGACACATGACATGGAGGTCTAGACTGGTATGATGATATTATACGACAGGTTTCTTTATAACAACTTTATGAACTTTTTGACGATCATTACAGACACCCAAGGATCCCTGGGCGAAGGGTGCTGTAATTTGGGCGACATCCCAGCTACTCGTCATTGTGATACTAGAAGCCGCCATAGCCAAAATTCACGGGGACTACCGCTCAGAGCTCGAAGCGCTCAACGATCCTGCCGTGGATCAAAGTGTTGTGCCAAACGCAAGAGCAATAACAATCTATCATGCACTTTTTATTGTCGCGCAGGCGTTTCAGTGGGTATTGGCGGCCGATGCGGTACGTTTCCTCATTCTTGTGGTTTATTTTGTTGGACTTTCGTTGGATTAAGGAGAGCTGGCATGATAGGTCCTTACCTCTTCCATGATCCAACTTGTTTCGACAACACTTTACAACACTGCGCTGTTTGCATACTCTATCGTGCAATTTAAACAAGCCAAAGATATTGCTGACCAAGTCACACAACTGGGGCTGCCTAACTTGCCCAAACCTCATCCCACAAAAACACCAGAATTTATCGTCATTGTCGCTATGGCAATCTTTGCAGCGGGCTGGATGGTCATCTCTCAACGGCTGTACCGTGTGTTCGGATGGAGTATTTTCAAAGAGCTTGGAGCAGATATTGCCGTTCGAAGTACGATGCATCGCTTTTTGGTCGGAATCCTGATCCTCCCTCGCTGACGCAACTTGTTCTTTTCATTAAAGACCGACTAAAGTTGTACCATATTTATATGATGCTCCTCAAGCTTGATGTCTTTTTCTTCCTCGGATTTGATATACAGTTCCTCCTTCTTGTTCTGCTGAACGATGGAGACGTTTCCTCGAGGTGGACACATGGATTGATAGCAATACCATTTACCTTGATTCTCTTGGTCATTGCGTACTTTGCGGTATGGTACTTTTGCGAACACTACTTGTTTGCGTACTCATCATCGTTTTCTCGTAGATTCGTAAAGAGAGCAACATTTTAATGACGCTGACACTGTTGGGATTATCTGGGGGGATTGGGTACTTGATTGCCAAGCTGGTCGATGTCATGAAGAAAGGGGATACGCCAAAGTATTCTGGCAGTCGAAACTCTTTGACATTCTTTGGTATGAGTTTTTGAGTGCCATGGCTATAGCAAAGACAGCGGCTCACAATTTAATTTTCTTATCTATCGCGTAGAGTCTATCACCTTGGCACTATCCGTAGCGACATTTGTAGTTGCTATTATGAATTTTAGAAATTTTGGGAAGGGGTTGAAAGAGCAATTGGAAAGAGCGCGCGGCCAAAATATGGAGCTGGACGACATACAACGGCCGCCGAAAGACAATCGCTGGACTCTTGATTAGATCTAAACCTAGATATATGGTGTTAGATAGTTTCTTGTTTGTATTTAGGTCGTCCTATTCTTATGCTTTTTTTAGTTTTTGCAATTTATTGACATGACATGCAAAAATCGCTCTATGACTGTCTGGAAAGATGATACTATTTTGTTGATTTGTATATTACGTAACAGGCCATAGCGTTCATCGTCCCCAAACGAAATCACCCAAAAACCACTCTTCTCCACACATTTAAAAAACATTTGCATTGTCCTTTAATCATTACTGGTATCTGCATTGCTCTTGGCTTTCTGTGTCGTAAGCTCTTCCAGAGATTTATGGCGTGAGAGCTCAGAGAGCACAGTTTCATCGACGGGTAACACCGACTTTCGCCTGAAGCGTTGTGGAGTCGGTCTGTCTTCAAATTGTTGCTAACGTGTGGGGTAGGTATTAGCGCTCAGCATGTGAATTGCATTCCAAGATGTAGCCAATGAAAACACGTACCAACTCCTTGTTCAGCACATCATCCTCTGGTGGCTCTGGCTTTGTTGGAGTTTCTTCCAGCGGATCAGCTGTCAGAGGTACGGCTACTATCATCCCACGTATTTTAGTAAAAACTCCTCTAAACATCTAATCACTAAATAACCCACATGGAATGACCGCCGTAACACTTGGAATGGATACCGGTAAACGTGCAGCCTGGGCGGATGGCAATTTTCCTGCATTCTGTGTCGCCAGCTGTTCAAGTTTCTGCCATATTTCTTCCCGGTCCTTTTGCTTCTTCCGCTCACTGGTATGAGAAAGTATGAGTAATCCACAAAGGAACTGTCCTCTAGCTATTGCACGCTTACAGCTGGCGATTTTGTTTGTATTTGTTTGTGCATTCGTCAAACAGCTTTGGGCTGATCTCCATGAAAAGCTTTAAGGCATTGTAAACTAGGCCATGAATGGTCCTAAGTCCACAAAATGCTAAGTAGGCTGAACAGAAGATGGCTTAAACATTGATTCAAGAAATACCTGTTCCAGTGTGTTTTTGAATTTCGATACAGGGAGGAAAACATGATGGGAAGTATGACGCTGGCATTGTCACCAATCAAGTTGATAATATAGTCGTTGTTCCAATAATACAAAGCTCGCTCTGCCACCTGAAACGAACGGACGTGAGAACGGTGGGCAAAAAGGTGGAGACCTGAGACCTGAAGAATTCGCTTTAGGCACTGAAATTACCTGGAAATGTGGGCTAGAAACGCATCGAGAGATTTGCTGGAACAATGGAACTTGAATCTTTACAAACTCTTGTGGTTCAATCACGTCCAATATTTCCTCAATCTCGTTCAGAAACATGACTTCCTTTGGGCTGTTCACTTTGGGCCAATACCGGAGCAGTCCGCACACCACCTATACAGAGGGCGTCAGCGCCAAATCTTTCACAGCTGACAAACGAGCTTCTGACCTCCTCAGTCAACGCGGGATCCTTTTCGAGAAATTGCACCACACAGTACGCCAACTGAGGATGATACAACGTCAACGATTTGGCCTTGTGCAGTGGGATCAGGACTCTAGTGAGGAAGACTTTGTGCTCTTCTTTCAGTGGCAAAGCAAAACCGTTGATGATACTGTGAAGCATATCGCTGAGAAATCCATGCAAACCAAGTAAGAAACGGTGCCAAACGATGGTACCTTCCAAGGATCTCCAACAATTCTGCGATACCGTTGTGCCGCTCCTGTTCATAAATGAACTGGAAGAACACGTTGTTGATGGATCTCCGAATGAAGGCTCGCAGGTTGAGAAATTTGCCGTAGATGCGATGCAGCGTTGTTTTAAGGAAATCACGCTCCCGTGGATCTTCGCTGTCAAACAGATCCAGCAACTATGCCATAGCATCTAAGTTTCTACACTGTTCATCGAATGAACGCCAAATTGACGTACCTGCAAGATGAAGTGCTGATCTATGTACTTCTTCGCAATGTTGGTATTGAAATCCGGCGATTCAATGAACCGCAAGAAAAATTCGTACACAATTTGCAGGTGGGGCCAAGCCATTTCAAGGACGGGTTCGTCTTCCTCGGGATCAAAGGCATCACCACTGGGATTTACTTGAGGAGGTATTGTTCGGAATAGGTTGGTAGCAAACTAATGCGAATCCATAAAAACAGTCAGTACTTGTGGAGCATTCACGATAAGCCATTCAGACGCTTGCCACACCATATTAACGACTTCCGGGTAGATCGGTTCCGTGATGACGCCCCGGTTGTTACTGATGTATTCTACCAGTTCGGTCAGAGTCTGACGTTTGATCTCCTTTCCTTTCAGGTCGGACAATGAGTCGCTAAAGTCGAAGATGACGTTACACTGTTGGATCTTCTTGACTAGAAGATCCTGACGTTCAGAGGCAACTACATCTGCAAATGACGAAAAATCACGTCAGCTCCGCTTGTGTGCCATAGAAGTAGCAAGAGGTGCGGACCTTTAAAGGAAACCAATTTCTCCAGCTCAACACGTTCTGTGACGTGGAAGCGAGATGACCTTTGACGACGAGGTGCCTTGCTGGTAGGTACTGCATCTTTCGGGGTGTTTTTCAATCGATTGAGCGGACCACTCTTTGGAATCTCTTTATCGAGTATTTTATGACCGCCAACGGATGTTGAAGAGGATGATGATGCCTGAACATTGACATTCAGCAAAGCGGCCTACTATTCATCAACTTGATACTATACTCACCGGTATCAATTGTGGTTGAGGTTCCATTTTCGCGTCTTCCCTCTTCGATGAAGATTTAGGGGAGCTTTCCTTTGTTTGCTTGTCCTTGGAAGACGCCTGTGCCTTCTCTTGTTTCTGCTGCTGGGGTTGTGGAGCAGCCGCTACCTTATTCGAAGCCGTTGACTTGCTAACGTTTGAAGAGCCGCTGGAATCGGGGGTCTTATTTCTAGACAACTGCATTTCGGATACATGTTTGTCAAATGGGTCCGATGAAATGGTGCTTGGACAAAAGTCGTCCGCTGCAGAGAATGGATACCTACGACGCGATTTTTCAGCCCTTTCATCGCGAGGCGGGTCAAGTAGTCCAGGAAGGAGATGCCCACAACAAGCGAGCAACAACACGCTAGGGACAGCGAGAAGATGGCCCAGATGTGGAGACAAAGTGCAAATCACGAGAGAATGCGAATGACGAAAATGGAAGCGGGCAAGCAAATGCATTAGCACCTTACATAATAATCACACAAATTGCAAGAAGCCCGGGTTGAACATACCGGTTTGAAAAACGAAATAACCCAATAGCCGAGTGCAAATGGGAAGCACTGCTGTTCTCACTAGTCCCTGTCAGCGGACGCACGTAGGACGCCGGAAGGTAAAAGCAAACGAAACGGACGGGTGCGGGAGGCAGCCAGACTAAAAAAGATGAAAACCCAAAGGCACTGTTAAAAGTCCAGCTCGTAACGTGCCAACGAAAATCCTCTTTGTGTGTGATTGCCAGCTATCTGCAACCAAAAACAACTGGCCGCGCGTTTGGTTATTCCCTTCTACAGGCCCCCCGGCCCGAACCCGTCTCGCGTAGCAAAGAACAAGTTGCGAGAATGTCCGCAAAAAACAAAAGCAGACAGAAATCACGATGCAGCCAAATTTCCCCACGCCTTTGCAGAACGGCACGCCGAGTTCGGAGTTTTGCCCCGTCCTTTGATTGAATCCCGCTGTGTGTGTAACCGCCGCGGCTTAGTCTCATGATGGCCCCTCCCCCAACGAGAAGCCCCGCTTCTGTAAGTCTTGCTATCGACGTTTGGCGACTTTCCAAGAACGAGAGCAGCTTCCAGCGTTCAGCAACGCACATCCTCCATTTTAGGTTGACATTCCTTCTTTACCCCCCCTCCATGGGGAGTTGAAGGAATAAAAATACATTCTTGTCCCATCAAACTCGTGCGATACGACGGGGCGGCCGTCCTTTTTTTTTGTATCTGCTCATGAATATCCCCATGTCTTTTTGCTTACCTTGCTGTCCCTTTATGAAAATGTTCCAAGCAGCCCGAAAGCAGTGTTACTGCAAGGTCGGGAAAAAAAAAAGGCAACAGGGTGCAGCAAATCACAAAAAGGCTGCACGTTCAAGAACAGTTTGAAATCCTCATGTTCAAAACCTCCTTCCAGGGCGATATTGTCATCATCGTCTATATATAGAGATGCATTGAAATTCGTGTTGGGACGCGATCTTCTTTTCGATGCAAGCCACACATACATTGCTCATAAAACGAACATGTTCTGGAGGGCCACAACTGGTGGATGGGAGTGGTGCCCAGTTTCATTTAGCTTGCATTTAGCTTGCTGCTCCAAGGTATTTCCCTGGGATGGTACACACATTACAGGAAGAAGGTATTATTTACTACCACTATACAAACAAGCCAAAGATCACAATCTCTACAGCCAAAATTATCTTACAGCAACACTGACAATGGAAAGGTAAGTACATCTTTGAAAAATCAAACAGTCAACTCACAACCGTAGAACGTACATGTCGTCAATCTTCATAATCATCTTGACCGTTTCCGCTGCAAGCTCAATGGCGCTGGTGGATACCAACAACGGTTGTACGACATTCTCCTCCAAGATGTTGGAAATTGTCCCCTGACAAATAAGCAATGTTTAACACTTGAAAAAGCACCAATGGTCCAGAAAAAAATGAAATACCTTGCGGACATTGATGCCGGCAGTTTTCTCGCCTTTGGCATGTCTGTTACGCAATTCCGTCACAATCGCAATCGGGTGCAATCCAGCATTCTCCGCCAAAGTGGTTGGGATGATCTCAAGAGCTTCGGCAAAGGCTTGGAAACAATAGGCCTCCATGCCCTTTAGCGTCCTGGCATGCTCCATCAATCGACGAGAAACCTCAATCTCCGGAGCACCGCCCCCAGCAATGAGCGCACGTTTCTTGACGAGGCACCGAATCACACAAAGAGCATCGTGTAAAGACCTTTCCGCTTCCTCCAGGACCAATGGGTTGGAACCATGGATCAAGACTGACACAGTCTTCCCGGCATTCTTCACTCCCTGCACCTTGACCACCTTGGCCCCAGCGCTCTCGACCTCCTCCACGACATCTGCGTACCCAAGTTTGTCTTCGGTGAATGATTCGATATCGGCAATCGGTTTGCAGCCAGTAGACTAGTGGGTCGTCTCATTGATTAAACGTTCAGATATAAATTTTAGGCTTCACTCTGGAAATACCTTGCAAATGAATTCGATCTCGTCTCTTTCCACATCTCTAATGGCCAAAATCTTCAGCTTCGACAGGAAGTGTAATGACAGTTCATTCACAGCATCGCGAAGAATGGACTTTTGAATCAAAAGAACGTTGCACCCGGTCTTTTTGATCTTCTTGCACATATTCAAAAGATACTGGCGCTCCTCTTTCAGAATTTTATCCATTTGACGGTAATCATTGACAATGACTTGATTCTCCATCTGTTCCGAACAATGTTCATGAGACTATTGCTATGTGCACAACAATGTCATTTGTGAACTCACGTCAGGTTTAGGAGGCGATAACTGGAACTGAATCAGTCCAATTTTCGCCTTTTCAATACGGGTCGGGCCACCGGCGCTTTTTATCACATTCTGTGTCAAGACCAGACCATCCACCAACTCCGTATCGTCAATAGTACCCCCAACTTTTTTGACTAGCCGGATGTCTTTAAGATCCACATTGTCAGAAATTGCGGGATCAATGACGCGGAGAACACTATCCACGGCGATAGGAGATAGAAGGCTAGAGTATTGAGACACAATCTAGTTGCACCATATATAATCTATCAATCTCGGGACCACTTTGACATAGTTGTTGCTCGCTGTCACATACCTTTGAGCTAAGCGAGGTGGTTGCACTCTTCAGTAGTGATTCCCGATCATTGAGATCCAGTTTTACGGACATTTCAGTAAGGTACTGAGTTGCTTTTCCAGCTGCGCGCTGGAACGACTCGGCAATAATTGTTGGATGAATTCCTAAGCTAGTATTAGGAACTCAGGCGGCCATAACATGCACATCATAGGACGCAAACCTTTCTCAAGTAACCGTTCTGCGGCTGTCAATAGACTTCCTGCCAAAACTACAACTGATGTTGTTCCATCTCCAGCCTCCACGTCCTGTGCTGCGGACAAATCCACCAACTGCCCAGAACTATGAATATCACCAGCGCAGTAGAATAAGAATAAGATCTCACAATCTCTTACCATCTTCGCCGCGGGATGCAGGACAGACATATGCTTCATTATGGTTGCTCCGTCATTTGTAATCACGACGTTTTCTCCGGCCTTTCCTGTTTGAATCTGGATATACGGAATGTGAGATTGCCCTGCGCACCGCTGGCGAGACACGATCGCATCAGATCTCACAATACCATCTTGTCCATTCCCTTCGGTCCCAAACTCGTTCGGACGGCATCTGCCACAGCTATGACACGTAATGGTAATGCGTTAGCACTGTACGTTGCAGTTGGCGATGGGTTGCAGATGGACGTGTTTGCTCGCAATTTCCGCGAAGAGACAAACGTCTCTTCGTAGTATCGTTCTACGGGCGCCAAATCCTCATTATCCTCCATCTCCAGAAGCGCACGCTTACCTTTTGCAGCGATGATATTACTCGCTCGAACCTCAGTGGGCTTCTCCTTGTCCTGGAACTGCTTTGGTTTGACTGCTGCCATATTGAGACCAAGGGGACGACGTAGAATAAGATATCACAAGGTGGTGGATGGAACGTTCGGATGGATGGAGAGGTACGAATTCGAGGACGGATGGAAGGATGGATGGATATTTGGGCGATGGATGGATGGATGAGACTTCTACGGATGGCCTGTCGCAAGCGTATCTTGCAATCGGACTCGTTAACGCGCTGCGCATGTCCGGACGGGAGACACGTAAAGTACGTTACACACATATTTGACCGATGATGGTGGACGACCTTTGACCTAATAGTTTTGAACGGAAGTAAAGGGAGCATCAAGGCGATCATCAAAGCCTACGTCTGACACTCCTTCAGATGCAATGATTGATGGCAGTTGCTGGACTGTTCATCAATTAACTTGAACCACTAACTGGGTGGAGGATGAAATGCCAACCCTTGGGAGAGTCTAGAAGCCGAGAGCTGAGGAGGTTGCAAGTGACGGCCCTTGGTTATGGACCAACTGACTTTCGATGTATAACATATGGGAGGAATTTCAAGATATCTCTGGCCACCTATCGCTAAAGTTGACATTTGACATTCGATGCCTTGTTGAGTAGAACTGGATACATTTTGCACAGTCTTTTGGCTATAGTCCAAGATTAAACCATTGTCATGCTCGTCACTACTTGGCAAGTTCCACAGAGCACGGACATGGTGCCACATTTTCCAATCAATGCAGGCAAGAAACAGCATGTACCATTGACCGTTCCAAGATGATACGCTCCGCCTGAGCTATTCCCCTTGCTTGCTCCCGCAAATAATTGTAGACAATCCTCAGCTGTTCAGCCCTTCATAGTATTTGAACGGCTAGCAAGGCACGAGTCAGTGTAAGAATACCCACCAAGTTCTGTTTTAGGAAGCATCGTCAAACCATCAACGTCTTTTCCGCCATCTGTACGCCTAGCCACCTCAACGAGATCAATAGATATTCGTCACCGGAAGCTGCATTTGACGACATCTTCCAGATATAACCCCAATACGGCGCCATAGAGGACCATACTATGTTACAAAGATCATCCAAGGAAGTGAGAGAACACAGATATGACAAAGAGGCCCTATATTCCAAAGCAGAGGGTTCCACAGATGATGGAGTCCAAACCTTGTAGGTTGGTTCCCATATTTTCTTTTTACAGCGCATTGGTGGTTGCAGCACAGTGGTGAGTGCCGTGTGAAAACAGACTTGGAGAAATCACAATGTCAACAGGCTGCAAAACACTAGCACCTAAAGTCCCGCCTAGTCCCATCCTTCGAACAAGGGCGGGGCATTACTGTCATTTGCGGAGGACAAATGTCAATTGCCATCCAGCTTCTGGACGACGAGCGACAAACAATCAAACACACGTGAGGGAAGGATGCTTGCGGTCTTGTGTGACGTGTTGTACATCCGTGGCTTTTCGGTTGTATCCTTTTCCATCAGCGTTGTACAGATAGCGGCCAACGTTGAACGAAGCGCATCGCTCGGAGGATTTGCACGACGACGAGCGGATTGTCCATTTTACTGCATCCATTTAGTTTCTTGGTCGACGTTGCCCCTTCCTTTGTGGATCCCAGTTCTGGTCGACTGGTGCCACTGGTGCTTCTACAATAGACTAAAAGAATAGAGCACAATGGGCAACTCGTTCGGCAAAGAAGATATAGACTTTAAGTCAGTTCCTTCTTGAACAATTCCGAGTAGCTTATCGGTTTTTGACATACATGCTTACCTTTGTTGTTCCTTATCCGAATAGTTGAGTTACGGCATTTCGAGCTACTGCGATGTGTGGGGAAAGGAGCTTTCGGCAAGGTATGTTGCTTATTGAATGCCAGGTTGAAGAGCGGGGAACGCAAACAAACGCCGCCCTTTCTCTGCCAGGTCCGAATCGTTGAAAAGCGGGACACAAAAAAGCTATATGCTTTGAAATACATCAACAAACATCAGTGCATTAAGATGCGGGCAACCCCTAATATCTTTCGAGAGCGAGCTATCCTTGAAGAGATCGAACACCCTTTCGTAGTCAATTTGCGGTTTGCGTTTCAGGATGACGAGAACATGTTTATGGTGATGGATTTAATGATGGGAGGTGACCTGCGGTTTCATGTAGATCGGATGGGAGGATTTAGCGAGGATGCAATGAAGTTTATCACGATGGAACTCGTTTGCGCATTGGATTATCTGCATCGAAAATTGATTGTGCATAGAGATCTGAAACCGGACAATGTCCTACTGGATGAACGAGGTCATGTACATATCACGGACTTTAACATTGCAGTACACTACAACACCAAGACCCTAACTTCTCAATCGGGAACATTGGCGTATATGGGTATGTACCGGTAACGAGCATGCAAAATGACCGTCACTTTACTGAAGCGCTTGGCATTTCATATTAGCTCCAGAAGTGTTTGCTGGAAAAGGTTATAGCTGGCCGGTAGACTATTGGAGCTTGGGTGTCATGCTGTACGAATGCCTGTTTGGAAAGCGACCTTTCCGAGGACACACCGATGACCAGCTGAAGGAAAATATTTGCCAAGGACCGATCAAGATTCCGCAAGTCAATCTCATCACCAACAAGCCGATGACCATTTCTAAAGAATGTGAGGAGTTCCTGCTCAGATTACTGGAACGTGATGTTTCTAAGCGAATAGGATGCGGGCGAATGGGGGTGGAAGAGATACAGGCGCATCCATGGTTTAGAGGGATTGATTGGGATGCCGTGGAGAGAATGAAATATCCACCACCTTTTGTACCGGACCGGGATAAGGCAAACTTTGACGCTACATACGACCTAGAGGAGTTACTCTTGGAGGACAATCCCCTAACGTATCGGCCACGAAAGAAGAAACAACAACCAAAGCAATCACCAGACAAAACACATTCAGCACCACTCTCGCAAGCGCCAGCCACTAAAAGTCGTCCACATTCCTATAACGTACTTTCGCGAATAGGGCGTGGAGGCACCAACAGCCCGAACCCTCCTGCAGAAAAGGAAAAGAAGAAGCTTTCCCAAAAGGAAAGACTACAAATGGAGCTCGATTATATTGATCAAAACTTTAAGCTATTTGATTCAAGCGTATTTGATAGATACACGGGATTTGTAAATCCTCACACTCTTCAAGTATCGGACGACGTCCCAAGTTGGGTCAAAAACCTGGACGCCGAACTGAAGCAAGCGCAAGTTGGTAATGAGAATCTACCGCCACCCGTCCCGCCTGTGCCTTCGTCATTGCTCGGATCGACTGAGAGTTCACCAGTACTCTCGCGGAGCAGACGAGGTAGCGCATCGCAATACAAACCCCCACCACCCCCGCTGTCCGAGAGGTTTTCAAATTCGTCTTCTCGGAGAACCAGCGCTCAAACCAATAATTTCCCACCCGCTGGGAGCGCCCCTTCCTCACAGTCTGCGCGATATAGACAGTCTCAGCATCGTCCGGATGAAATGGCGGACTTGTCAGACTATGGTCGACGAAGACAGCCCGACGCATTCGACGTTGTGGATGCATATGCGCCTCAACGAGCCGGCTTAGTTCCCGTCGCTTCAACCTCACCATCATCACCAAAAGCGGGTTCTCCCCCGCCACAGGGCACATCGCTTTCGTCGAGATCTGCCCGTTTTAGGAGAGGCAGTAGATAGAGAGTGTAGCCTGATTCGAACCATTTTGATGGCCAGCCCTTCTTTTAAATTTCTTTAACTTAGCTAAATATCAACCCATTTTTCAATGATCTCCATCATCGCTTGTGAATTGGAACATTTTACTTACTCGTCAACAGAGGATGCAAATGCTGTGGTTTGTTTGGAGGTGTAGTTGACTTGAAAGGCAAGGTGTCTATACGGGAGTATGAGCAATTGGTGAGGTGCATCCAAGCTGGGTTCCCATGTTATCATATCCACATGGGGTTTTGGTGCAGACAGCATATCAGAGTCATTAGATGCATTCCCAAGTATTGTAACGGACAACGTGAAGGTCAAATCTAATATATATATATATTGCTAATTGTTTAATAACCAAAGCTAGCCGGAGGCAGGTGGAAAGATCGATCCTGGAATCTGGCAATTGAGCATGGTAGCCGACCGTCTCTGGTTATACTTGGATCAACTTGCAGAATGGCATATTTGCTAGAACGAGTGTTAGGTGACGAAGCAAATGATGCTGACAAGTGCTGACTGGAAGGGTCCTAGATGTAATAATCTGCAAGCGCCTTTGCATCTCATTATTAGCACTGGTTCAGACTCCTATCTTGTCGATGATGAATGATGGCATAATGTCTGCTTGCTTTCAAAGAGCGCTATTTGGAGTGATGCTCGTTTGTAAAATCGGACACTCACGTGCGTGATGTCCGAATGCGCGTCCTTCTTCGATTTCACAGTTTCGTTCCTTCTGCAATACCACCAAAGCATCAAGCAGGTAAACATCCACATCCTCCAAACAACCCGTCAAAAAGGGAAGACGGCCGGGAAGAAGACATACCTGGGAGCGCGAGACACGTGCGAACACTGGTGAAGGTCCCCAGACGATGTTCTATGGAGGTTTCGGCGAGCGAAGCTCTAATAAGGAAAATGGGCGTCCTCCGTCGCGTGGAGGCAGCGGGGGAGATCATCACACTGTGAAGGTGATGGGCGTACGTACAGACGACGTCGACATTCTGAGGAAGGAGCTCCACAAACTACGTAAGTATGAAATATGGGAATGCCAATCACTACGCGTAGCTGCGAATACACATTCGCTGAACTTGATATCCTTGTCTCTTTATCGACCGTAGAGAACCGCGTAAACGAGCTGGAGACGCAAAAGAACAAAGCTGAGAATTTGCTTGACAAAAAGGCGAGGGATTGTGACGAACTACAGAAGCAGGTAACATCATTGTTAAAAATACGACACATGGACCCCTTCTAAGCGAAAACTGGCACAGAATGCCGAAACGCAAAAGAAGAATGGAATACTTGAGAATGAGAAAGCCAGGGTCGAACAGGTATCCAACTGGGGCACAGCGCGACTCTCATTCTCCCGTAGCTAACATATTAGACATTGTCACAGCTAAGAAACCAGTTGCAAATTAAGCACGACAATGCAAACCTTCAGTGGACGGCAGAAAAAAAAGAATTGCTTGCAGGTACGTTATTCCGCTGACCTGATCTGAAAGAATCCAGTACTTAATACATCGGGCATCGTTACATTGCAGCCAAAGATAACCTGAAGCGTGAAAATGGTGAACTTCAGCGTCGAAATGACCAACTCGAAAGGCAAAAGGTAGAACGAAATGTTGGCTCCAAGTCCTTGGAGGGCGCTCGAAGCCCTGCTCCAGAGTCTCAAGTAAGCTGCTGGCGACAGTAGATCTGTTGACGCGAGGATCAAAATTAAATTAGATATCGTAGGTCGCAGGCGGCTCTTCCATTCCACTGCCAGCATCCAGTGGAGGACGATTCTTTCGTGGAAGCCGCTTACCAGCACCGATGTCACCCATGGCGACTAGCGCGGGTACTGCCTTCCAGAGCGAAAACATAGCCCTAAAGCGGCAAATCAACAACTTGGAAACAACCAAGATTAACTTAGAAAACAAGGTGTTACATTTGGAGAAGCAGCTGAAGGCATCAGAATTCAAGCTGAAGGAAGTAGAGGTGGAGCAAAAGCACATTGTCGATGACTTACAAAGTCAGCTCGATGAAGAGAAGACAAAATGTGTTAAACTCAAGAGAGAATATGAATCGCAGCTGATAGACGCCCAAAAGACACTGATGAAAGTTCAGAACGAGGTTCGAGAGAAGGAGGCTGAGGTTACAGGAATAAAAGACCAAAAAGAGGCATTTAAGCAAATGATCGATACTTTGGAGGCCAAATGTCAAGACCTGGAGGCCGAGAAAGAAAAGCTCGCGGCCGATATCAAACGCATTGTTGTCGAAAAGGATAACATTCATGCAGAGTATACGGCGGAAAAAGGCACCCTCCTCGAGCAAGTCGCAACCCTTGAAGTTTCCCTCGAAGCTGCCAAAAGCCATGCCGATCAATTCTGTACCCATGCGAGTATTGACTCGGCCGCTGTCGATCAATTGCGAGAAGACAACCAGACGCTGCGTCAGCAAATCGAGGAGATGACTGCGTACAAAGCCGAACACGAAGCTGCTGCTAAGCTACAGAAAGAGACTAGTCAATCACTCGAGGAGATGAGAACTAAGCATGAGCAGATGCTTGTACATATCGAACAGCTTGAAAAGGAGCGGGAAGCTCATAAAGATGAAATTTCTACCTTGCGCGAACGGTTGGCAGCAAGCGAAACACAGAAAAGTAGTGTGGACGAGGAGCTCCATGCAACGAAACAAATGATTCAGGAGCTTGAGCAACAGCGTGAGCAGCTCTCAAAAAGTATTCCTGAAATGGAAGATCAGCTCAGAAGTCTGAAGGACGAGTTGGGAGCCAAATGTGGCATTATTATGGACTTGGAACTACTTAACGAAGAGCTTCGGGGACAAACAGAACGCGCTGAGCAGGTGGCCACGGCGGAGACTGAATTCAGGAAGCAGTTAGAGTTGGCGGTTGCGGAGGCGAAGGATAAGCAGATGCAGGCTGAAAACCATCTGGCTAGCGTCGAAATCGGCGCAGCCGAGAACGCCGTGCGCTTGGAAATCGAGCAGAGTGAGCGTAAATTGGCAGCCTCCCGCCTAGCCGATCTACAAGTGAAACTCGACTCCACCGAACAAGAGGTCACATCTCTGCGGGCACAAATCGCTACACTCCAAATTCCTGCAAATGAACCAGAAGCATTGGATGCGGACAATTTGAAAACACATCTTGGAAAAGCCCTCAAGGAACGTGATGAAAAGATCATCGAACTTGCACAGTGTCAAGCCAACTTGACGACTAGGGAAGAGGATTGCGACGAGTTGGCAACCCAAAACGAGCAGTTGCTTGATGTCATAGAGCAGAAGGAGAAGAAAATTGCAGAACTTGAAACTGCAGTGGGATCTCTAGTTTCCATCGAAGCTATGGAAAACAAACTTGCTGAGTCAGAGAGCGTAAGGCTGAGTTTGGAACGCAGGATTGAAGGCATAGAGCAGTCTCGACTGAATTTGCAGCAGCAACTGGATCGTGCTAGCCTGGAAAGTGAAGCTTTGGCTTTGCAAAATGAAGAACTGGTTTGCCAAGTGAAGGAACTTGAAGGTAGTCGTGTAGCCATACAAGCGCGTATAACGGAGTTAGAAATGGCTTTGGAGGGAACAGCAAACGAGCAACAAGCTGCCCGACAGCGGGTCAGCGAACTTGACGACATGATCGCTATCCTGCAAGAGCAGGGCCAAGCCAAGGAAGAGCTGTACAACGAAGAACTTGCCCGTAACATGCAGCTTCGAGCTAACGTCAATGAATTGACGGCGCAAGCAGAAAAGTTACGCAGCGACCTACTAGACAAAGCACAGCGTTGTGAGAAGTTTGAAAGTACACTATTGGAAGGCAGTGAGAAGGATATACGTATGGGAGAAATGGAAGCTCGGATAGCACAACTGACCGATGAGAGAGATCAATCAGCTGAGCAGATGGCGATTTTCGAAAGGGAAGCAGCGGAATTGAAGGCCAGTCTCGCGGAGAAAGACACGTGTTTGGTTGAAATGGACGCTCGTATGGGACAACTGAACGCTGAAAAAGATTTTGCAGCCGAACAGATGGCCAACCTCGAAAAGGAAACTATTGAATTGAAGGCTAGTCTCGCGGAGAAAGACACGTGTTTGGTTGAAATGGACGCTCGTATGGGACAACTGAACGCTGAAAAAGATTTTGCAGCCGAACAGATGGCGAACCTTGAAAAGGAAACTACTGAATTGAAGGCTAGTATCGCGGAGAAAGAAACTTGTCTCAAAGAAATGGACGCTCGTATGGGACAACTGAACGCCGAAAAAGACCGTGCAGTGGAACAGATGGCGATACTCGAAAAGGAAGTTACTGAATTGAAGGCCAGTCTCGCGGAGAAAGATGTGCACCTGGAAGAAATGGGCGCTCGTTTCACACAACTCAACGTCGAAAAGATTAGTGCCACGGAACAAATGGCGATTCTCGGGAAGGAAGTTATTGAATTGAAGGCTGGTTTCGCGGAGAAAGAGACGCGCCAAGAAGAAATGGACAGTCATATCGCAGAACTGAACGCCGAAAAAGACCGTGCAGCAGAACAGATGGCGATTCTGGAAAAGGAAGCTACTGAATTGAAGGCTAGTCTCGCGAAGAAAGATGTCCACCTGGAAGAAATGGACGCTCGTATCGCAGAACTGAAAGCCGAAAAAGACCATGCAGCTGAACAGATAGCAAACCTCGAAAAGGAAGCTACTGAATTGAAGGGGAGTCTTGCGGAGAAAGACGTGTACCTAGAAGAAATGGAGACTCGTATCGGACAACTCGATGCCGAAAAGGATAGTGCCACGGAGCAAATGGCGATCCTCGAAAGGGAAACTCCACAGCTGAAGGCTGATCTCGCGGAAAAGGAGGTGCGTTTAGGAGAAATGGAAGCTTTTATTCGGAAACTAAGTGAGGAGAAGGAAGTGGGAGTTGAACAAATGGCAGTCATGGAAAGGGACGCCACAGTCATGAAGGCTGATCTCGCGGAGAAGGAGGTGCGTTTTAGGGAGAAATGGAAGGTCTGATTGGAAAACTGAGCGAGAGAGGATACTGCACTGAGCAGATCGCGATACTCGAAAGGGAAACTACAGCATTGAAGGCTGGTTTCGCGGAGAAGGATGCGCGTTTAGGAGAAATGGAAGATTTTATTCGGACGCTAAGCCAGGAGAAAGAGCTGGCAGCTGAGCAGATGGCAATGATGGAAAGGGACGCCACGATTTTGAAGGCGGATCTTGCGGAGAAGGAGGTGTGTTTAGGAGAAATGGAAGGTCTGATTGGAAAACTGAGCGAGGAGAAGAACGAAAGGGAGCAGACCCTCGAAAAGGAGAGACGACGGGCGGAGACTGCGGAAGCCGAGAACCAGAGTATAGTTCGCCAACGTGACGATCTGCAGGTCCTTGTGGCTGATCTAGAGGTTGTCTGCGCTGCACTGAGAAATCAAGTCACGAATCTTGAATTTGAGAAGGATGAGATCAATGCTAACTTGCATTGCGAACATGAAGAATCCATCATTAACCAGCAGAAGTTGCGCGAAGCAGAGGAAATGGAGAAAGCCTTACGAGCGGCACTAGAGCAAGGGCACAAGGAACTCGGAGCTGCAATACAATTAAAGGAAGCAGCCGAACATGCTCTGCGTCTTGCTCTAGAGGAAAAAGAAGATGGCCTCGCTGCGGCTCTCAAAGAGAAGACGATCGCAGAAGCAAGTTTGCGTTCGGCGCTGGAGGAGAAAGATCAGGTGCTACGTCATATTGATATCCTTGGCGGACAATTAAAAGACAAAGTACAGGAGATGGAGGATTTGAGTAATCAGCTTCGCCAGCATGGGCAGAAATCTGTCGAACTACTGGAACGACTGGAGGAGCTTGAGACACTGAATGCTCGGTTAGAAGAGGATAAAATTGGTCTGTCGGATATCCTCGACCGTCAGATTGTAGACAATGAAACTTTGCAAGAAGAGAACGCAAGACTACAGACAGAGTTACATCGTATGGATGAAAACGACTCAAAGGAGTTGGATGAGCTACGCGAAAAATGTACTAGAGCAGAAGAGGAGACCGAAGAAATGAGGGTAACCATTGATAGACTTCGCTGTCGGCTGAAGGAGGTAGAAGAAAAACTGAAAGATCAGGAAAGACGCCTGCTAGAAGTCCAAGGGGAGAGACAGAGCATGGAAAACCAGAATGACATACTTGAATCTGAAATCTTGGAACTACGGGCAAAATGTGACGAGCTTGCAGGCGAGTTGGCCGAGGAAATAGAAGGTGGACAGGTCACAGCGCAGAAACTCGCGGACACGTTGGCTAAATTAAGTGAGATGGAAGCAAATATGGAAAGCTACCGTCAACGCCTGGAAGCACCAGCGAGTCCAAAGCAGCCAAGCAAAGATGACCACACCATCGCACCTACACACGTTGAGGTAACCTCACCGGACCTGGCTGAAATCGAAAACTTGTTGGAGATGGTCCGAACTCTCACCAGCGAACGAGACGAAGCTCTGCAAGCTCATGAAAACTTGGTCAAAGAGCGAGATGAAGCGTTCCAGAAGATGCACACTGCGTTGGCGGTTACCCACGAGGAAGTGTTCCAAGGCGGATTACAGCTGATTTTGCAGCAGCTTGAGGACGTCCGGCAGCTTGCTGCGAGCAAAGAAAATGACGTGCAGGAAAAATATGTTTTATTGGATGCCAAGCTTGTGGAACTGGAGAACGCACACCGCGCGCTTGGGGAAGGGGTAATTGTGCAGCAACTTGAGAGATTGATTAAGGAGAAAGAAGCAGAAATAGAAGATCTTCGAAAGGACGCTGAATCGAAAATCGAGCAAATGGAAACCTCCCACAGTACGGCGTTGTGCACCGTGAATAAACAGCTGGAGGATACAACGTGCAGGATGGAGGAGAAGGAATCAGAAATACAGCGCTTGCAACAGGAGCTGGACTCGTTGAAGGAAGCGACAGAGCAGATGATGGCACTTACCCAGAAATTGGAAGACGCCCAGATAGCTATTGCTGAGAAGGAGGCGATGCTGCAAGCGTTACAAGACGAAGTGGACACCTTGAAGAAACAAGCTGCGCAGAGGGTAGAACTCGATCAGCGACAGGTGGAACTTGCGGACCAGCTGGAAGGTGCTCGGGCGACGATTGCCACAAAAGAGGCGATGCTACAAGAGCTGCAAACGGAGCTCGACTGCCTCCAGAAAGAGGTTGCGCAAAAGAACGAACTTGCTGAGCAGCTGGTCAAAGTTAACACCATGGTTGACGAGAAACAGTTGAAACTGCAAGAGCTGCAAGAACGTTTGGACAATGCGAGTGCACGATGCGGACGAAGGAGGATGAGCTGGCTGCCATGATCCAGGA